GATTAATATGATCATTATTTTCCAGTTCAGTTCAATGCAAATTAATGCAATTTCATAATATGCTGTTATCAAAAAGGATAAAAATTAGAAATTCTGTTTTTAAAACTATATGTAATAGTTCTCATTTAAATGGTAGTGAATTTTAAGCAATAGCATAAATCATTAAATTTATTAGAATTAACTATTCAAAATATCAAAATTTAAATTTTCTATAGTTGCTACTCTTAAATTCTCCCTATGCTGAAATTCATAATCTTTCTTATATTTAACTTTTAATTAATGTCTTTTAATGCATAAGATCCAACAACAAATAATTATAAGCTTAAATAATCTTTTTATAATTTAATTATTTATTATATACAATATGTCATAAAATTAATAAGGTGATAAAGCACAAAAGGAACAATATTTGTCAGACCAAGTTGAGAAAGGATTAGACGCTGATTTATGCGCTTAATTTCTCGTGAGTTTGAAGCCTGAAGGCGGTGATGACATTGACAACTGGAGCTTGAGTGAATTGAGTAAGAACTATGTGTAATGTTTTAGAGTCCGCAATTGAATAATTTAAGGAATCTTAGAAATAAGCCGAAGAATAGCAGCCGAATAATTCAGAAGATTAGAGCAATTTGTAATAAGCACAACCACAAGAATAACCTCAACAAAATTAATAGATAAATTAATAGAGTAATACTCCTGTACTTGTAAATTGCTATTAAATCTTACCGAATGAACTATCGGGTGATAATGTGTCGGCTAAGATAGTGACGTAAATCTATTTGATATCAATAGATATAAAAAAGAGAGCGCTGGTTTCTTCTCCTCTTCATATATTGTATTTTAGATTGAGACACAACCTCATGGGTGGGTTGTTTTCAGAAGATATTCAGATTTTGAATGGCTTAGAGATTCATTATAGAAATTTTATCCAGCTTTTGTTGTTCCTCCAATCCATAAAAAACGATCAAGGTCATTTGAGGATACTTATTTAAACAAAAGGGTGATTTTTATGTAAAGATTTCTAAACAGCATATTTAAATCATATGAATTAAAAAGCAATATAATAGTTAAGAACTTTTTGAGCTTAACATAAAATAATGAATTTAAAAAATTCTAAGAAGTAAAATTCATTAGTATTTTTAAAAGAGTATCACTAAGAGTGCTCCTCCATAGACAGTCTAAAGGATGTTCTCAAAGGAAGGTCAAGTGAATTGTGTTGCTCCAGGAGAATTACACCAATATGCCCAATAGACTTAGGATTATTTCTATGAAATTGATGGAGTCTACAAAAAGCTTAGAGTATTAAGCAAGAGTCTTAAGGAAATACAATAATAAAATTCGCTAAAGATATATTGTGTTGGAGAGATCTTTGCTTCTTTATTCTAGCATTTAAATAAGTTAAACCAAGTACTGCCAACAGGATAAGCACAAGGGTTAGCCGCTACCTCTCGGTATTATAAATAACACTATGATTACTTGGGGCAATATTATTGGAAAATAAATAGAATAAACAGAGGAGTATTTGAATAGTTTCTTTAAGTATTAACAGCATTACAATTCATCCATCAAATAAATATATGAAACCAGAGCAGTCATATCGCAAGACTTAGAAAAATTCAAGTCTAAATTACATTATAAGAAAGAACGATTGTTTTAATTAGGAGACATTTCGAAATGGGATTTAAGCAAGGACATTAAATTAAGTCCACAAGAATTACAATAAAATAAAAAGTTGGCATTCCAATATATGTGTGATTAAGAAACTAAACAAGAAATGGGGATGGAAATGTTGGTGGGATATTATACAAATTAAATATTTTCGTAAACTCAGTAATTTTTCAAGTAGCAATAACAAGAATTAGTTGGTCATTTTATTAAATTCTGTCAAGTGTAGGCGTTCAATATCACAGATGTAATTTTTTAGTTAAATTAAAGCATCATTAATTATGGGCTGATGCAATAACGAATCTCTAAAACAATTTGTTAACTCAAAAGCGGTAGACATAATAAGTAGTTATAGAAAGTGTTGGTTGATAAATTGAGAGAATTTATTAAATAATATTACATTTATTTATCATTGATAAAATAATTATCTTTATAATACCTCAATTTCTTGTTTTAGTTATTTCCTATATATCTAAGTCGAAAATGCAAAATTAAAATTCCTCCTTAGTTATTTTACCATTTTAAAATTAATTCATAAATTGAAACACATGACTCAACACTACGTCATTTCTACCTTCTGGATATATTTTCCTACAGATTATATAATGCTAGTTACAAAATTAATTTATCCATTTGTTATTTGGTTATTCCTCCTATTGAATTAGGATCATATTTGTTAAAAAGGTCGTTTACTTTTGTGTCAAATTTGATCATAGAAGCCTTGATGCTCAGTAATACTTCCACAACCTCTGGGTACAGAAGTGAAGTATTCCTTACTTTTTTCCTATCCAAATTCATAGTCCATCTAAGAATAGGTAAATTCTTAAGTTGATTGTCTTATTCAGTTTATTCTTAGGGCATCAATGGATAATGATGACCTCTATCTCCTTTTAATCTGTTTTTGACTCTGTTTTACCAGTTGCTAATGTCTTTATTAGTTATATGAGTAGCTTTGAACCCTGCTATTTCATGAAATAAAGAACTAATTTCTTTTATCGACGAAGTATTAGTTAATCTTTTAGCACTTTAAATAAATCTATCAATAATTAAGTCAGATGTACTCTTATTTTGACAAATTTTCAGTGTTATCACTTTATGAACTCATTCCAATCATTAGATAAAGATCCACTTTGCTGCTGGTTTGCAAAAACTACTCCTTAAACTATGTGTAGCTTTATTCTATTTTAACATCGACATTAATGCCGAGTTAATTTATTACAAAAGGATGCTAATACACTTACTCCCAACTCAATCTTTCGCTCTCTGAATATTTGATGCATTAAATAATAAACTCATAGATTGGTTCTTGTTAATAAGCATTTGTGAATTCCTTAGCTATTTAGGTTTCATTGTTTATAATGATTGGAACTTAAACTAAATGTGTCTTTTACCTGACCCTTACAGACATTCATATAATATTATGCCAACCGACCACACATCACATTTGCTAGTGTAGATTTAATTTAAAGTCTTCTATGGAGACTAATAATAGGTTTGGTTATTTTCACCTTGGAATCGACTAATCATATAGCCATTTCCTAAATCTAAAAGTCATATGTGACTCATTACCAGAGTAATAATATTAGTTGTTCTTCTTAAGAATTCCTTCTGGTTTAATATCCTAATGCAGCACATTCTAATTTATCAGAAAGAGATAGCCATCTAATAGATTTTTACAAATGATTTTCACTTGCTCCAATTTCAGCTTACCAAATTCTGCAAGAATCAACTCCCTAAGAATAAGCAAAACATTACTATCTTAAGCTTGTCTCAGCCAATTCTGTTACCCAATAGACTGAATTCTATGTCTCTTCAAGAGAAATGCATTTTATAAAATTTTCTGGCTGCATCATCCTTAAAAGTAATTCCTCTTATTTCAGTATTTCTCTCAAGTAGAAATTTTTATCGTTTAGCAAATCTGATCTAAATTTCTTTAGTGCAATGACCGAATTATCTTTTGTATTGTGACCTGCATATATCACACTAATCCTCCCCTCTCCCAAAACTTTCTTTTGATCCCACTAAATGTATTATCCTACTTTGCAAATGTCCTATTACATTATTAAATTAAAATAATTAAGAAATCTTATAAATATAGAGTTATTTAATATTACATGGCAAAGGACTATTAAGAGCGGATCATTTTAATCCTATTTAAATTGCCTAAAAAATAGTGTAGAGTTTCATAAATTCAATCTTATTTAATCTATCTAAAATAAAAAGTTGAAATTAGATGATATTCAAATTCTTAAAATTATAGAAAACCTAAGATCAAGTTTATAATATGCTATTATTAATTTTAAGATGCTATATGTTATTGAATAAATAAACAAGTTTAAAATAAATTAATGGATACTTTTAAAATGCAATCAACTTTATAATCTTATTATTTTCAAAATCATAAGGTTATTTTCATAATCATAGTGATTATTTAGTGATCTTATTTTTTAATACAATATAATCTTATTTAGAAATGGTTCTTTCGATAAATAATTTTATTTTATAACATTAGTATTAACATTATATAGAATATAGTAATATTATATAATATATATCCATCACTCAACTTTAGTCACTTAGAATCAATAACTGAATTAGATTCCTCAGAATTAGCCACTCTAACGACGCACCCTTAGTGTTTCAATATATTTATAGATATCCATAAGCATGAATGACATCATGGTATATTTCATTCCGCCACACGAATCGTGAGATAATATTATCATAAAATATATCATATCATAAGGGAATATCGCAACATTTCATTGAATGATGTATTATTCAATTTTTATGGAAGGATTATTCATCAATCTGTTATTATGTATTTTTAATGTAAATATTGTGGAATAAACAAGTTTCTGATAATTAAGATTTATATATATATTCAAAAATGGCATACAATCAACCACCTCCTCCTGCCCAAGGATATGGAACAACACCACCACCACCTCCAGCTGGATAACTAGGTATTCGAATCAAAAAATATTATCAGGTTAATATCCTCAAGGCTAATATCCTCCCCAAGGATAATACCCTCCTCAAGGACAATATCCCCCCTAAGGCTAATACCCACCACAAGGATAATATCCTCCTCAAGGACAATATCCCCCTCAAGGCTAATACCCTCCCTAAGGACAATATCCTCCTCAAGGGTAATATCCTCCTCCTGGACAATACCCCCCCGGACAATATCCTCCTCAAGGTTAATATCCCCCTCAAGGTCAATACCCACCATAATAATATCCTTAATAACCAGGATATTACCCACCAGGAGGATATCCCTAATAAGTCCCAGGTTAATACCCTCAAGGTCAGACAACTACTATAATTGAAATTCAACAATAACCTACTTAAAAACCTCCCTAATAATCCCACGGTGGTGGAGCTATGGTCGGAGCAGCAATTGGAGGAGCTCTTATTGGAGCAGCTTTGGCTGATAATCACCATCACCATCATCACGGTCATGGACCAAATGTTGTTGTTATTGAAAAAGGACGCAAGCATCATTGATTTATTGATATTTATGTGCAATTATACAAAGAAAATTACGTATACTTAGCTCTAATAATCATATATGTTTTTAAATTATTTGCTTAATATTATCTTATTTGTAATTAAGGATTTTCATAAAAAAGGATTGAAGAATTTCTTGGCTATTATTAAATATCTTGTTTATTATTATTTATTATATCTTATTATAAGTAAATCCTTAAAGTTAACTGAGTTACCTTAAGAGATGATAAATTATATAATTTAAACTTGAATTATTTTAAAACACATTATGCATAGTATTAATTAATAATACAATTTTAGAATTGTTATATATTTATTATTATAATCTAAGAGAATGTCTAAAGGTTTTGCTCTTAATTTAAAAAATGACAATGTGATGACTTTTGAATAAGAAAATGAATTGTATGCTGGACAGAGCATAAAAGTATATCATACAGATATTATCTAGTTAAAATTTAAATAGGAAGAGAAGCAATTTGAGTTAGAGGTAAGGATAATTCGCTCATAACAAGTTAGTTCAAAGTTGGATAAGATGTTGAATGGGCTAAAAAATGTGTTGCTGAAATATTAGATTGTGGAAGAAATGATTTTGTAATTTAATTAAGAAATTATGTAAATAGGACTTGATTTTTGAAGAAAAGGTAATGCCAGAATTCTTTTCTCTAAATGATATTCCTAATTTAAAGGATTAATCATACATTATAATAAAAATGAAGATTTGATTTTATCAATATAATGAATATACATTAAATGAAATTTTATAATGCTTTACTTATCAAATTATCTCACTTAATTAGAATCTAAAAATTCGTGTTTAATAATGTTCTAATTATTTAACCTAAAGTTAAAATTGAAATTTGAGAGAGACTATCCTTGTTAATTAAATATTATTATGAATAGTACTTATATTATTTTTGTTGCTATTTAAATTAAAATAATTGAATTTGATAGAGCTAAATTCTGCTCTATAAAATGTATTAATTCATTTAAAATTAAATTGATATTTTAGAATAACTCGTGAATATTAAAATTCTATAATTTCTTAAATTTTATTGAAAAACAATAAAGAATAGAGAAGATCTAAATAGGTTTTTCATATAATAGACATTCGCAAAGGGTAAGAATATATAATATATATAATTTAAACTTGAATAATACTACTCATCATATCATCATCTTTAAATTAATATCAACTACTCTATTTAATCCATTAGCTTCTCTAATGATGAGCATTCCATCTTAATTAATCTCTTCTAAGATACCCTCACAAACATATTTCTACTCTTAGTTTACAAATACACATTTTTCTCCTTTCCTATAAAGTTATTAATTTATGGGTTTCTAAAATTATTTAAATCCATTCTCGTTAAGTAATATTAAATTGTGCACAATCTTTTCTTTCAATGAATTATATAATTCTTCAACATTAACTTATTTATTTAGAATTGCTTCTATATTTGTTCCATTTTCAATATTCCAATCCACATTTATCCCCACTCCCATAAAAATGACTACATCTTATCCTGTTATTTCAGACTAGACCAATATTCCAGCTTATTTCTTATCCGTAAAATATATATCATTAAACCATTTAATACTTCCATTCAAATCATATAAATTGTTATAAACCTGCAATACAGAGTGAGCAACAATCAGTGGAATTGTATTTATATATTAAAAATTCTTAAAATAAGGATATATTAAGGTGAATAATATATTTCTTTTTGATTTGCTTTCCCATTTTTTAGTATGTTATCCTCTTCCATCAGTCTAAAACAAGGCCCTTATTGCAGTTATTTAGTCTTTAAAGAGTGAACTATAATTTGAAGTGGCATAGGTTTAGGTGGAATCAATTTCGTCAAATAAAATATCAACAATTTATTTATTATTCATAATTATATATATTATTAAATATAAGCTTGAATTATTAGTCAAGTTATCATTTATATTTGAACAATTATGATTTCATACTATGATATTTTAGAATAGGCTTTTCAACTGGAAAAACATTATATTGTGGACTTATTGGATTATACCCCTCAAAAGGTTGAACTTCGGAAACAATTGTTTTTGCTTTGGGTTCTTCACTTAAATAAAACCGTCCATATTTCTCTGATGAGGGCAGGTAAGCATCTAATTTATTGTCGCTCAAATTCATTGGATCTGATCTTAGGAGATATCTCTGACTATATTTCCCATATCTATTGATGTGTGCTAAATAAACAAAAAACTATACCTTAAGTGGGAATAGGATTATTCGGTTTCAAATCGTGAACTTACTAAAATATGAGTTATTATTTACTTTATGATGATATATTTTAGGTAAAACTAAGCTTTAGGACTCCTTTATCAATAATTCTTCATTATCTTTATCCTTGCATACTTCCATATCTGTGTTCTTCCATGTCATATCAATCTAAACTTTGTGATTTTAGTGCTCTCCATTTATTTAAATTATATACCTTAATTCAGCTTTTTTTAATAATTTCCCTCGCCATCATACATTATGAATTTCGCCATAGGTCTTGACTTATGTGAATAATAATAAATACTCCAAGGATTTTTGTTTTTTGTTCTTTGAATGTTCCATCTTACTTTGACTTATTGATTTCAAACTATTCAATGCATTTCCCACAACTTTTGTGTTTATCCAATTTATCCATTATTTAATAAATTATAATCAGATGGTAGGAAAAAAAAATATACAAATCTTAATATTTTAGACAAGATTCTAATTATCACAAATTATATCCATAAATTATAGTTGAACTATCATCAAATTATAATTATCAACACATCAAATAACATTTTAATACCATATTTTTTCTCTATATTTGAAACAGATAATGAGTTTTTATCAATTTAATTATGAGTTTAAAGACTTTCACATATGTTGATTAGATAATGACATTTAGAAATCTTAGTATTACTTTTTTTATGTATAGAATTCAATAATGACTTAATTTAATTCATAAATTAATTGATGTGGAAATAAATCAAAGCTCTAATTATACTCGTATTCTTTATGTTTTTTGTTTTTAACTCCTTCTTTTACACACCCCCCACTAGAAATTATACCAAATAAGAAGCTGAAGAAATAAATAAATAAGAAAGGGGTATTACAATCAATAGATTGCCTTAGAAAAGAAATAAGCTAATAATAATACATTAATTAATGATCATAATTAGAGCATGAATTTAAACTCATCCATGAATGAAACAGTTTCAGAAGAAGAAGATATAGAAGAGATAGAATTTGAGTTTCCATCAAATGATAAAGGAGAGAAAATTAATAGTGAGGAAGAATTGCTTAATAAAGCAGAAAGAGAGAATATATAAGAAGATTATATTGAAAGCGATGCTGAGAGAAAAACCGATGTCATTAAAACTGAAGAATTTGAATATTATTATGAGTACATTTATGAAGAAACAAACACTAAAAATATTGCAGAAGAAATCCTTTTAACATAAGAGGACTCTTAACTTGATTTTATGGAATAAACAGTACATACAGATTAAAATCAATAAGAAAAATAGTTACCTCATAATGAAAGTGTATTAAATATATCAGATTTCAATATAAAATAGGATTCATAATAGAGCGCTGAAGATCAAAACTTAAACTCTTAAGATTCGGGTTAATAAAACGAGAAGTTAAATTAAACTATGACATATAGTGTTGAAGAAACTGAGGAAATAGATAATTCATAAAAGTAAGATGAAGAATATTAGAAAATGGTGGAAGAAGAAGAAGAAAATCATTATATTATTGTAGAAGAAGAAGAAATCAACATACACCAAGAGAATTAAGAATAATCTTAAACTATATAGAATGATGTTATTAATAGCGATGATGAATAAATTATTGCAGACCCAAGAGCACCTGAATTCAATAGAATGAATTAAACTATCAATTAAGAATAATAATAGTCATAAAAAATTTACAATAATTAATCAAAAACTTCTTAATAATTCTCAAATTAAATATTTAGTCTATATTTTGATTTAGTTTGTTATAAGGATCACAAAACTATTGAATAGGAAGATATGATTCCGTCATCTATAAACATACCAGAAACATCTATCCCCACCTAAAACATCAATCCAATATTATTGGTTCATACTATAATATTGACTTTAATGCTTATTTTAGTTTCTATAAATGACAAACAAAATATAAAAATAAAAAAAGAACCAATTCAAGTTACAAGTATGTCAGAGTTGTCTGAATTGAATGAATATATGGCCATGATGATTAATGGATTAGAATAACAATATAATTTGATATCAAAAAGTTAAGAGCAATTAGCATATTAATTAGAACTTTTAGAGTAATGAAGGAGTTAAATAAACATTTAAATGAATATAATATAAGTTCATTTATTTATACATTTACATTCTACAAAAATATGAAGGTACTTGAATATAAGTTCATCTAAGGACAAAAATATTAGAAATTACTCAAATTTTTCTTAAAGTCTAATAGAGACTTCTTAAAGCAATCTAATTCAATATAATAGATGCTTTATTATTCGGTTCTGATTTCTTTGTACTTTATTCCTTTTTTCTTTAACAAGCAATTAATGAATTAAATTTAATAATAATACATAATTAAAAAACTCAAATATAATTTATGCAATTTCAATCTGGTGATTTTGAGATATTTCTTTTAAAAAAATTAGAATTGGTGGATTAAGAATTTTGATTGTCTTGATTTTAAGTTGATGTTTATCCATTTTTTTGATATTTTAAAAAAACAGGAATTTCATTTATAGGTGGTAATTCATTATTGAAATAATCTACAAGTATTTCATCATCACTATGTTATTTTTTGTAATTCGATTTTTAAGTATGAAAACTACCTTTTGCATGAATTAAATTAAGATTTAGATTTCCAATACTGGGTCTGAAATTTTCTCGAAAAAAAGAGTGCTACAATGCTGATGTAGCTTTGATTCTTAATTTTGGGTCTTCATGCAACATTTCTGAGAGTAGGTTTTGAGCAGTTTATGGGATATGGATTAGTGATAAATTCTAAATATTGAATTGACATCTTCTATTAGCTGATAGTATTTCAGTTTAAGTTTCCCCTTGAAACAGATCTTTTCTTGATAATCTTAGAAAATTATAATTTAATTTACAATTTATAGAACACGCATCCAATCGAAAAAATATCGCTTTCTAACCCATATTTTTCATTTTTCAGATTAATTATCTCCGGAGCCACGAATCCGGGAGTTCCACATTTTTTAAGTTCTTTATTTGGTTCAAGCTCTACAGAAAGGCCAAAATCAACAATTTTCAGATCTACTTTTTTCTCTTGAATATTTAATATAACATTCTCTGGCTTTATATCTCTATGTATTATATTTAAGGAATGCAAATAGGCAACACCTTATAGTAATTCCAAAAGAATGCTCTAAATGACTCTTACATTTAATTAATGTTTTAATTCTTTTAAGTGTGAATTTAAAGTTTAGCCTTAACAATACTCCAAAACAATATAGTAGGTTCCATCACCAACGTAGAACTCTTCAAAATGAGGAAGATTAGAGTGGTTTAGCTGTTTAAGGATATTCAATTCATTGTACAATCCATTCTAATTTATAAACACTTCAGTTGTACCATTTTTTCAACAGAATTTTAAATTGTCTCCTTTGTAATACATTTTGTGACAAAATTATTATTTTTATCATTCTTTCTAACAACTTAATAAACTCGACTGTTGCTACCACTTGCCAAAAACTCTGTGGCTTCATAAAAGTCTTATATTTAAGTGAAAGAAACAAATTTGGAAAGGATCTTCTTTAATATTAGTAAGTCACTTTGTTTAGCATGAAACCATTTAAATTTTTGTGGTTATGTGTGAAAGCCAAAAGCATTTTCTTTAGATGTTAATTACCATCTTATCTCTGAGGACCAGCTTAATGGTAAGAAGTATTTAGGAGTACCGGGTTTCTTGGGCTATAGAGAGATTAAGATAGAGAATTACATTTGTTAATGTGAGGGCATTTTCGGTGAATCTGATCTCATAAATTTGATCACCAATCAGATGTTTACGATAACAGATGATGGGTTCAACCATTTGCATAATAAATAAATTAAATTTCAGAATATATTATATTCATTTGGGATATGATTAAACTTCTGTAAAGAATAAACTTTGTATTTTGTTGTTGTTTAAATCTTTTTTTGATGTTATAAAAAACTTAAACTATTTAGTTTTTTTAAATAATGTTTCACTTTTTATTCGTGTTCTTAAGCAGCAATTAAATAAAGTCGCCTTTAATAAATACTAAAATCTAAAGGATATCTCTAAAATATAAATAAAAATTTTATATTTCTTCTTTAGATAAAAGAATGAATATATTTTATAGTATATTATTTATATAAAAATAATAAGAGGATATTATAAAGAATCTTCAATAAACATATTTGATATTGAGGACAATGACGTCAAATATCCTTTCATCAATGTCAGTTATGAAGATACGTACTAATTCTTCACTGCCAGGCAAAACTCGGATCTTGAATTAAACAATTTCATTAGGTCCTGTAGAGATACTAGTATCAATAATCTAATCAGGAATAGTGAGTTATATTTACTTTGACAAATTCACTAGAAGATACGATATTATATTAGGCAGTATAATTGACTTAGTTTTTGTAATTGACTTAATGACGAGATTCTCTTCCATCAATGCACCTAAAAAATTAATAAATAAATACCTTAAATCGTATGTAGCACTTGGGGGTTAAGGTTCAGCATGGACATTCACTAACCAAGAATAAATTAGTTCTTGAGAGTGAATGTCTACTCCATTTAATTTAATTAGATGTTTTCCATCCTACAGAGCCTAAATATTAATGGGAACTAAATTTATTTTACCAGGTAACATTGTAATTTCAGAATCAAAAGGTTTAACAAAAGTTATCATTTTATTGGATGAGGTCATTTTGATAATACGAGTAATATCACACGGAAATGTTATTTTAGTGCATACTCTTTAACCCAATGGAACTTCAATGTCTATGGTTGTTAAACTATAAACTTCTATCTTCCAATTGGCTATTATTTTATGTTGATATTGATCCTAATACAAAAGGATATTGAAGATCTTAACACTTTATGGTTCTCCTATCCTAAGATTCAGTCTTATTGAATTGAAATCAGATGACCATTCAATCATGACATCAGGATCAGTGATATGTACATGAGGCTATTGTTGTAAGGGTTAGTTGAATAATCTAGGTATTATAAGTCTAGTTTAACGATTTTCTCTTTCATAAAACCTAAGCACATGATCTATTGGCTATTAATGAGGCTCAACAATTATACGTAATCCATCCATCATCTTACCATCTTATTATAATAAAATTGTTATGTGACGAGATTGCATGTATTTTTTAATATATTCAGGAGTCCTCTCATGATCATCAACTCTATAATCATATTACCTAAAACTTATAAACTTAAATAACAAAGTAACTTCCTGATTAGGATCTAAAATAAAATAATATTAAGTTTTTCCTTAATTCTCTTTCATTCTAATTAAATCGTAATTTTCAGGTTCTGGGTATTTATTATTAGAAACCCAATATTTCCATTCAGCTGGATTACCGATTAAGAAGAATTCTTAATACTCTAACATTCTACTTTCTGGATCCTCTATATTTACAGTGAATTATTCGGGTTTTGGATGGGTATTTTTAAAGTAAAGAGGAACTATTTCACATTTACCATAAAATGAATGGACAACTTTCTCATTCTATAAGAATCCTTACATAATTGTCTTTACTAAAGTTGGTTTTTTAATTTCTTTATATTTTAACACTTCATTTAATGATCTTTATTAACTCTATTTATTTTTAATCATCTCTTATAAATTTTATTGTTTGATCTTTTTGATTCTGTCTTAAATACTATTTCCATCAAAGGCTTATGCAGGAACATCTAGTCTATTCACTGGCTTTTCTGATACTAATTTCTTTTTCTATAAACCGTTATATGTGTTTTCCAAAGGGACTGTTTTACTCATATCTTATTAACCAATTTTGCCAATATTTTTAATGACAATCTACAATGTCCCTTTAGCTTTCTTCGATTGAGGATCAAAAATTTCAACATCAGCCATTATTTATGCATTTTGTTTACCTCCTCTCATTATGCCTCTCAATGGTATCCTAACACTACCAAATAAAAATAAACTCTCACTATCCCAAATATCCAAAATTAAGTTTTTATTGAATAAATATCTTGCAAAATCCTAATCCAAATTCGCATATCTTTATAAAGATGCTTCAATATTAAACTTACAACTGAAAACCTCATTATTATACAACAATCTTAACGGATTGCCATTGTCTAAATTATATTTGAAATTTCTTTCATCATTATAGTACTCTAAATTTAAGAATGGTGATTTAAAAGTCTGCAAATCATAGAATATAATTCCTATTTAAACTGATTTACAAATAGGATATGGTCCCAAAATTTATTTCATAGACACTGGTTATATTACAATTATTTGGTCCTTCCTTTCATCTTGCATTTCAAGTGCCATCAATCTGTTTTCTTAATCCATTGATGTTGGATCATCAACCAAAGCAGTAACATCTGTGCGAGTTATTGGCTTCAAAGTGGCTGAAGGTACAGGATATGCATAAGAATCTATGGGTTTGATAACAGTATTTTAAGGCCTTGCCTCAGCCAAAACTACTGGAGGAGCAGCAGTTCTCTCAACAACCTTCTAATCTTTAATCAATTTCTCAAGTCCTTCAAATTATCGAGCCTAAGTAAATTACAATAATCTATTTTCTTCTCTTAATTTTTCAATTGCTTATAAGTATTCTTATTATTTCTAAGGATCTGAAGTTTACTAAATAGCTAATCTTCTTAATCTTTCATTTTCCTCTTGCAATCTCAATAATTGCTATTCAAAATCTTTCAACTTTACTTATGTTCTTATGTCTATATCTGATCCTCTTACTTATTCTTACTTATTTTAGTACTATTATTAAACTGGTTAGTTTGAATTCAAATTGGATTACTAAGGCAATTATTAATGTCCTTGCTATTGAGGATGTTATTGTTATTACTAGGCTGCTCCCATATATAAATCTTGAATTTAAAATCCACCGCCAGAAAGATTAAGACTCCCCTTCAATTTAATAGACTAGTCAGGATTCTAAAAGGTTACAAGAGGTCTCCCATCTAATGCTTTTCCTGGTCCTACAATGAAATCTTCTTCCACCATCTCGTCAGCTCCAAATTTATTATTAATGTAAATAGGAATCCATCCAAGTGTCAATTACATAGTCTCTTTAGTTACATTTGATACTAGAAACATAGCTTCATATTCTAGTTAAGCTACTAACATGCCCGAATTAACAGTATGATCAGTTGAGCAAACATTGTTTATATCTATTACTCCATGATATGCTAATTATTTGTATTGGATTTGTTTCTGATCAACAAATTCATTAACCAGCATTCTTGTTTCTCCAAGAGGCACAAAATTATTTGTTCCTCTAGTATTTATAAATGTCCAGCCATTATGAAATGCAACGATCAATCTTTTATTTATAATCTAAATATCACCTTTATAGTCCTCTGGAGTTCTGTATTTATAAGTCCTATATTTCTATACTTATCTGTATATATCTGCTTCCATAGTATCAGGTATTAGCACTTGTATTTTACTCATGAAAACAACCATACTTCGCGATAATTCAAAATCCCCAGCAACAAAGCTCTTTTTAAGTCCTGGTAATTCGTCCCCCAATCCACATAATGCATTTTCTGGTGCCAAATGCATGCTTATTTGAAATTCTTCACTCTGCACGATATCACATGTTACAGAGATACCAGAAGATTCAAAGTTCACTTATTACCCTAATAACAGAATTCTTGGACTTCCCTTCCTAAAATTGAGCTTTGTTGACTAGGTAGTAATGGTTAATGCTGCAAGTTCACACCAACCCAAATGCATGCGTTTCAATACTAAATCTTATTGAGATTCAAATGCCTATATTTCTAGAATTATCAATAAAGGCATTTCCTTATTGTTGATAATTCTAGTGTGATAATAGATCGGTATGATTGGATGTTCATAATTTACTCCATCGGGTCCAAATTCCACATTTAGACGAGGACTATTGTATGTTCTTCCAAAAAAGCACTTTTCTCCATGTGAGTTTTAAATAAAAAAGTTAGCAGCTACTGAGAATTGTAAATTGAGCACCGGATTCTAAGGACGTCTGAGTCCGCCAATTCTAGACACAATCAACTTATAAGCTTTTGAATCTAAGCCCATTTGAATTGGAATTGAAGAGGGTAGACTCTTATGCATCTTCTGAAATTTAAGAAACTTCTTTATTGAGTTTATGTCTTCGGTTGACATTAATATTATTGTTTGAAAATAAAAAATATCATACGTAAAATTATATTTATACATACTTCTTATCTGTAAATGTAGTTGGTATTGTCTCATGCATATACAAAGAATTGTAATTGTGATAAGTTATACAATTTATTTATTAATTAAGTTCATCTATAATACTAAATATATCATTATTTTGAATCCTCATTATCCCAGATGTTATCCCCTTCAAATACCTCTCCTTATTCTTAATTCTCCTCTTCCATCGCTAATCTAACGTATTCTTGATATGCAAATCTATCCCAATCTGTAAAATCTGGATGATCAACTATGTCATTTCTAACTTGAAATGGATCTCTATTCTCATAAGCAATTAATTTGTTTAAATTGGTTAAGAAATTGAAAAACACTCCACAAACAGTAAGATTCTATTTGAAATGACTTAATTTAAAGAGGATATCATTTTCAGGATGCAGAAGATCAACCATCTAACAAACAAAGTCATGGAATAAAATAGGTTCATGATTTAAATAATCCATTCTCTATTTCAATTCCTCATAAAAGTAGTCCATCTCGAATCCTGTAATAATTCCATTATCATCCAAATCAATCACCTTGAACCAATATTCTATGGATTATATAGTAGTCTTATCTTCTTCACATATTATGAAGTAAATGAAATCCTCATAGGACATCTTCTAATCTATTTAACTTCTGAATCTACGAGGAATTTGATCAAATATTCTATCAACAACTTTACGACTTAGACCATGACTGGAATAACGAGAGAAGTCTTCCTTGCTGATATGGAAATCGTGATCACCATCTAATTCCCAGAATTTGCAATAAATAACATAGAAATGTTCATATGAGAAATATTATCTGATCTAATATAGGAACTTTGAAATAATACTTTATTAATATCATCCTCCTTTCCCAATATATCCAAGATATCGAATAAATTGCTTGATTTGAAGTCCCGCCATGTTATTCTATTGTTATCCTTTCGACACAAATGATAGAATATTCTATGTATTACTGTGTCTGCATATCGTTCTTAAAATTCCGGTGTTGCTTACAAAAATTCCAACCCCGGATGATATTCAAGTAAAACTATTTAGGAAAGAGAATGTACTCTTCATGAAAGGTTTGAAATCATCAAATTAAATGTAGTCATTCTTAGGTTTTTTGAGAATATGAAAACACCTCTGTTTTGGTTCTTTTTATGCTAATTGCTAATTCCAATACTTGATAAAAGCAGTTTTACTAATTTTGTTGCCGGTACCTTCTACTGCTGTCATTAAAATTCTTGTTAAGTATTTGCATAGACCACATAAATTTGTAGTGATCTGCTCAAAATGACTAGCATCAATCTGTTCAGCTTTACCAAATATTTCGTTGATAATTTTCTATAATACTATAAATATGTGGACTATACATTCTATTCTTATTGTAATTAAAGATTGATCTCTTATGTTGGGAAATAGAATTGGGGAATCAAATCATAATTTTATACCTCCTCAACATGAAGCTTTTTCTGAATTATTTATGATTATGTCAATGATTGTGATAAATCTTCTGGAATACGCGATTTAGTTTCATGAAATGAGTCTGCACGAGGAGGAGTTGAAGGACCTAAGCTTTTTTTGTTAGGTGAGCTTAAGAGAGCACTTTGTGACATCCCAGACATTGTCATCTTATTTGTGAAAAAAGCATTAGGTTGAGTAATAAGATTATTTTACTTTCCTTCCCGCACATCCTTTATCAGTTGATGTACTAACTTTTAATTTTAAGGTAAAGTTAGCCATTTAATAAAGAGATCATCAACTCGATTTTTGGCCAATTAATATCTAATATTTTGTGTAAGTGGGAAACCTGCTCCAACTCCTTCAGAATACGATTTCTAAAGCATAAAATAATTAAAATATCTTTTTAATTCGATGTTTGCTATCACAAAGTAGGCATTGTTTAGGCAATAAGCAATGAAACTCATGAATCGATTTGCTGTAGTTGCCAATAATAAACCAGAAAAAGGACCATCATAAGTAATATTAAATATTAATGATAAAAGGGTCATTTGACAGACAAATACACAGTCATTGATCACACCTATGATGCAGTCGTTGTAGGAGCAGGTGGAGCTGGTTTAAGAGCAGCCTTTGGTTTAGTTGAATTAGGTTTTAAGACTGCATGCATATCTAAACTATTTCCAACTAGATCACATACTGTTGCAGCCTAAGGAGGTATTAATGCAGCATTAGGCAATATGACAGAAGACGATTGGAGATGGTATTAATGATCAAAATTTACTTAGGCATGCATATGATACTATTAAAGGATCTGATTGGTTGGGAGATTAAGATGCTATCTCATATATGTGCAAAGAAGCACCGAAGGCAGTTTATGAATTGGAAAGTTATGGTTTACCATTCTCTCGTACTCCTGAAGGCAAAATTTATTAAAGAGCATTTGGAGGTTAAAGTTTGAAGTTTGGAACAGGAGGATAAGCATATAGATGTTGTGCAGTGGCTGATCGAACTGGACATGCTATGTTACACACACTGTTTGGCAGAGCTTTAGGTTATGATTGCATTTTCTTTGTTGAATATTTTGCACTAGATTTAATGATGGATGAATAAGGGTAATTTTATATTTATTATAAATTTGTAGAGCATGCAGAGGAGTTGTATGCATGTCAATGGCAGATGGATCAATCCATAGAATTAGAGCTGGATATACAGTCATTGCAACTGGAGGTTATGGAAGAGCATTCTAATCATGCACATCAGCACATACTTGCACTGGTGATGGTGGTGGTATGACCATCAGAGCTGGTTTACCCATGGAAGACTTAGAATTTGTATAATTCCATCCTACTGGTATTTATGGATCTGGATGTCTTATGACTGAAGGATGTAGAGGAGAAGGAGGTATTCTTAGAAATTCATTGGGTGAGAGATTTATGGAAAGATATGCTCCTACTGCTAAAGATTTGGCTAGTAGAGATGTTGTCTCTAGAGCTATGACTAAAGAAATCTTAGAAGGAAGAGGGTAACTATTATATTATTATTATTCCTAGAGTTGGACCAGAAAAAGACCATATTTATTTACATTTAAATCATTTACCTTCTGAATTGCTACATGAAAGATTACCAGGTATCAGTGAGGCTGCTAAGATCTTTGCTGGAGTTGATGTTACCAAAGAACCAGCACCAGTATTGCCAACTGTTCATTATAATATGGGTGGAATACCTACAAATTTCAAAACAGAAGTGTTAAATCAAGTTAATGGAAAAGACTAAATTGTTCCAGGACTATTAGCTGCAGGTGAAGCTGCTTGTGCCTCAGTTCATGGTGCAAATAGATTAGGAGCCAATTCATTATTAGATATTGTTGTCTTTGGAAGATAAGCAGCCAATTTAGTAGGTGAAAAATGGAAGCCAGGATAGAAACAACCAGATCTTCCCAAGAATGCTGGAGAAGCTGCCATTGCTAGAATTGATAGACTTAGACATCATGAAGGATCATAAACTATTGCCTAAGTTAGAAAGGATTTATAGAGAACCATGTAGAAACATGCAGCTGTGTTCAGAATTGAAAAGACTTTATAAGAAGGTGTGGAGAAGGTTAAGGAAATCTATTCAAGAAAGGATGATGTTAGAATTAAAGATAAGGGATTGGTTTGGAACTCTGATCTTGTTGAGGGATTAGAATTAGAGAACTTATTATGTATTTACTATTTTATATCTAATACTAGTATAAGGAAAAATGACCATCGAAGGAGCACTTAATAGAAAGGAATCCAGAGGTGCTCATGCAAGGGATGATTTTCCAGATAGAGATGATAAAAATTGGATGAAACACACTCTCGCTAGAATTCAAGATACTAAGTAAGGAGATGTTCAATTGACTTACAGAGATGTACATATTCATTAATATAATCATAGGTCATCACAAAAACCCAAGATCCTAAAGAGTTTGACACTGTACCACCTAAGAAGAGAGTCTATTGATAATATAAATAAAAATATATATAATCATTTAAAACTCCATTCAAATATCTGTGTAATTTTAAAGTAATTTAAGTATTATTTATTAACTTAATTTATGCTGAATTGTTTAATATATTATCACACATTGTTTATATTCATTTTAGCATTCTTAATTTTATATAGATGATCTTCATTCTTCTCAAACCTAATTGAACTAATTTTGTAATTTTCTTTAATATCTAATTTTATATAATACCATCATAATTACTCCAATGCAAGATTTTTATTCTAAACTTTTATCTTTAATTTTCTAACTTAAATTGGAAAGAACTCTCTTTACAAATACTTTTTAACCTTGATAATCTAATATAAACATTTATAACTATAGTTTTCCTTGATTAAAATAATTTCTCTAGTTAATCAACACATAAAGTTAGATTATTAAGTTTAAATAAATAAGAGAGGATGAAAATAAAGTCAAATCATTTTTGAAACTATCTATTGAATTTAGACAATAATTTGAAACACTCAAAATATCTCTAGGCTAATTTGAATTAGGTAACATAAAGTTCTCGATGAAATCATAAGAAGAGTCATATGCATAGAAAAATATGAATAAACTTTTATAATTTTAGTTAATTATTATAATCACAAATGAAATTTAATGAACGTTTTTAGTTCTAATCAAAGTAGGAGGAAATTAATTTAGATAAGGAAGCTTCTGATATTGCTCAAAGAATCATGGAAAAGGTTCGATAAAGATCAAAAGCAAAGTCTGATCAAAGGGAGTTGGCTTCTTATTATTAAAGAGCAAGTGATTATAAGTCAGGACAATTGTTTCAAGACAATTAATTGGAAATTAGAAGACAATCTGAGAAGGTTACAAAAGGAACAAATGAATAAATGGGAAGGAAACTAGAAATTTTTGTTCCTGAGTTTAAAATCAGCAAGGACAACAGGGCCCAAGAGATGACTCGTTTAGAGAACCAATTAAGAATGGAATACTTAAAAACCCCTATAAAAAATCAGCTTCAACCTAATGGATAAGGATTTAAGGATGCACATTAAAAGACAGTTAAATTAAATAATTAAGAAACTATGGGTTTTTAGGAACAGAAGATTGTGAAGTAGTTCTAAATAATGTATAAATTTCTCTGTATGTAGTAATGATCAAACTAAACCATCAAATGGTCAAATGGACTAACTGAGCAGTAAAAGATTTTCATCTCCCAAGCGTAACCACCTTAAACTAGATAGTAATTAACAGACTAAATCTTCCTTGTATTTGAAAACTACTTAATTATAAACACCTGCTTCAGTCTAAATCTAATAATCAGACATAGTTACCCAATTATTAGGGAGCTAAAAGAAGTAAAGCAGAAATTATCTTGAATAAATCACTAAACGATGAAAAGCTAAACTTTTTGATTTTAAACTATGTTAATTTTACTTTATTAATAAATAAAACAAAATAAAACTTATTTATAAATAAACTTTATTCTTGTAAAATTTTTTCAGAAATTTAAAAACCCAACTTGATAAAAGAGAATTCGAAATTTTATTATTTTTAACTCTTAGAATTAATCAATCATTTCTCTAATAGTTTTATAATATCATTGAATTATTATAAGGCAATTATATATTTTATTATAATAGAACAGAATGAACAAATTTAATTTTGTCCGTAATAACTATTCAATTGAATTCACATTCTTTGAGCATTTACAATAGGTCTGTTATTTGGTATTTATAAAAGGTCAGTCTTGAGTTTGATATGCAACATATCATGATTATGGAACTCACAGTATATATTATTATTTACTTTCAAATATAGAATGATTATATAGTAATGAAAAGATGATATAAGCTATCCAAAGGGAATTTTAAGAATTGTATTTTTTTGTTCAGAGTTCTTAATAAAAGTTATCGATATGGTTTTAATTTTCAGATTTGCATTTGTGCTTTTCAATCTTATTATAAAATTATTATTGTTATTTTCAGGCAATTCAATTTATATAATGAACCCTTTGCTTTGAAATTTCATTTATGTTGCTTTTATTATTTAATTTATAAATGATAAAAAACTTGAGTTTAGCTTTTAATTCTATAGAAATGGAATATGCCTATCGAGAGTGGTCATTTAATAATAACCATTATCGCTTTTAAATATTTTTCAGTTTTATAGGAGGATATTTAATTGTGATGATCATTAAATTTAACAGCGCAAATACATTGCTTCCCTTGATTATATCATGCATAAGCTTGTGTCTAGAACTAACACTTCTTTTCTTCATTAGAAAGTATAAAGAAAAAGTCGAGATAATAATGACATTGAATCAAATACTATTATCTGTAATTTGCGAGTTTTATCGGATTTTTGCTTAGAAATCAAACCTATGGTATTTAGGTTATAGCCTTGCTTGCATGAAACTAAGTAAGCATTTTTGTTATGTTATTTTAGTAATTTATGCTCGAGGCAATAAATTTATTGTATAAACAGGTTTGTAAGTGATTTGTCAATGCTGCTCATTTATTTTTATGGAAGATGAAGATGTCTACTTTATAGTGAGTCATAATCTGTTAACTTTTCTATTGGTCATATTTAGATATTAACTTGAATTAATAAATCGAAAATATTTTATTGCCAGTCAATCCTAATGTTAGTATGAAAATTTGATCTAAGATCTACTCCCTTCCTGGGTTGTCATTGTGAAATATGATAAGATGCAAGGGTAATTGTGTATTGACAAAATAAATCGAAATATGCAAGACAAATTTGACATTAAAAACGATAAATGTTTTAGGGAGTTCTTAAGAAATTTAAAAGTGTTACCACACGAGTTCGAAAGGCAGAACGTTTAATTTATTAAACTAGAGCATACTCTCATCCGAAAACTGTAAACGAATAGAGAAGATTAAACAGTTGAAAGGTATCACGCCTTTATGGATAAGAAGGATAGTAAAACGAAATAACAGAAATTTAAGATTACATAGGTTTTTTTTAAAACCTTTGAACCCTCAATCATACTACTTTTTGAAGAAATAAAGGAGGACAAATATGATCAACTATTGTATTAAGTTTAATAGAGAGATTATACATCTTGTACTAATGCACGAATATCACTTGGGAATTTAAAAAAATAAATTTAATTATTAAAATATTTAAAATCTCTAATTCCACAATGGTTTAACGGGAAACAATCATAATTTATAAATTCACTTACATCTAGCATCATGGATTAAATTCAAAATGGTTATATTATGTTTAATTTGAATTTTGATGTTTTAAATCTCTTTAAAATATCTCATAGACAACTTAAATTTGAAATAAATTAAATTTAACCCTCAATTTTGATGGAATAATTATGCGAAGATTTACAGTTATCCAGGAAGCTGATTAATAAGTATGTAGTTTCAGCAGAATTTACTGAAATTATTAAAACTGATAAGGCTAAATTGATTTCTATCATTATTAATCTAGTTGAGTTTTGTAAGATTTTACTTTCGATAATACACGGAGATGATAAAATCTTATCTTAGGCTGTGCCTTTAGGATCTTAAATTTAAATTCATCTTAAATAAACGAAACAATAGAAGAATTGCATAAAAATTAGTTTAACGCATCCTAAGTTGTTTATCTCACCTTTCGTTAGGGATTTATTCGCAAATATAGAAACATCTATCGATCATAAAAAGAGAAATTGGAGTTCGAGAAACTATTTTGAAATGATTAATTAACTTAATTCTACTTTTTAATAAATCTATGAATATTACAAAAAAGACCATAAATCTACAGATTTAATAGATGATGATTTTCATTACTTATTTTAGAACTAAAAATCGAATTTGAATATAAGTGAGGAATCAAGAGGATTTACTCACTAAAATAATGTTCAACCTTAATTTTAATTCAATGTTTTAGGTTATCCTATGTCTCAATATTTGATTAGTTAGTTGGGACCATGGAATAAAATAAGGTTTAAGAATAGATATTAGAATTTCATATAAACTCCTTCTTAAAAGAGTATAAATACCCAAAACACAAAATTGTAATTTCTTCTTTACTAAGACTTAAATGATTTTATATAGGAGTTAAATTAATTAGAAAAACCAATTCTTGAAATTTATCAAAAAAAGAAATTAAGTAATCATGATATCAGCTAAAAATTTTATTATGCTTAGTTGGCATCTTCTCCAAGAAAATTTGGGTGATAATTTCATTCTTTATCAATCTGGTTATTAAAATTTAATTTAAATAATATAAATAAAACAATTTTCTTCAATCAGAATCATTTGACTAAGAACTAATCTTATTCATTCCTAATTTTTTAAAGCAATTTAATCTAGGTAAATTTGAGATACTAAATTGCGGTCTAATGTTAAGTTTCTGTAATAATTCAGAATAAAGAAGGATTATTTTTTCAGCTAGATTCTAATTGTTACTGCAGATTTTTTATTGTGCTTATTTATCTTAAGATATTAATTTATGAGTTTTCTTTTTTATTATAGAATTCTCTGGATGTATATATTAACATCTAGATCCATAATTACACCAACCATCGTTCATAAAATTTTTACATGGCCTTGTCTTGTAGTTTTAATGAAGATGCGCCTTAGGCAAAAGTTCAGAACATCCATGGGCATATGAGCACTTTATCATTAATTTAATATAATACTTCTTTCCCAAATTTGCAAGATCCTTTAAGCGTAAAATTCTTGCATAATTCTGTCTTTTTCTTTTTTGTGTATTCCTCAATAAACTTATATTTTTCAACAGATGTAGAAAACCTTCTACTTTTAGGCTTGACTCTAAATATTATGTTTCATCATACCCTATTTCGAATTCTTCTTCATTTGTATTAATAAAATCTGATAAAATTGTTGTAAACTGCCAATCTTCTTGCTATTTTATAATAGAATTTTATATCATTATTATATGTACAAATATTATGGAAGAAAATCGCTAAATTATGTTTTCAAATTCTATTAGAATAATCTAATCAAAAAGAAGGACTCAAGAATTACACTAAATCTTTTTAAATCAACTTGCCCAAAAGACAAATAATTACCCGTGTGTAAGACTACTTATAAACATCAAAATCTATAATTTAGTGTAGGGGATATTCTGAAAATAATATAGAGATCATCATCAAGGATTCTTAAACTATTTATTAATATTGAAGATTCAAATTTATAGATAATTAAACTTTCATACAGAAAAATTGATAATTATCAACTAATTTAAATGCAATACATAAAAAAAGAGCAAAAATTTTAGATAAATGAGAATTTAATAATGTAAAAATGTACACATATATCTTTACATTATTTATGATTTCAAATTACTTGAACACATATAAACTTTATCCATAAAATAAATTATATATTTTATAAATTGTAAGGGTCTATTAAATAAGTAGATTATATTTTCTTAGAGAAATATAAATTCTATTATAATTTCATTGATTTTATATTCATTATTATAATTGTGGTATCAATTCATAAGGTGTTTGCAAGCATTCTTCAGAGCCAGATATGTTTGATACATTATCTAAATATATAAATATATATTACCTTCATTCTAATCTGATTATGTAAATCTAATTTCAAAGTTTTCAGGTACAATATAGGAAAATACTTTGAATCCGTTTAAACCTTCTGTTATTACTGGGTATTCTCCACATAAATTTATTCTTCTTCCCTTAAAATAGCACTGATCGAACACTTATAAGCAACTGTCATCCTCCTGCTATTCAAAGTCAACATTCTTTTAGATCATTCTATGATTCGATGATTTCGATCCCTCTTTTGCATTAAAATGCCTTTCATTAACATAATTGTGACCATGATGGATGGTCTAATTATAAGGACCATAAAAATATGGATAGTTAATATTCTTATTGTGTAAATAATAGCCAGGATCGTCTTCTATTATTTTTTCATATGGGTCGTAGTAATATGGGTTTATGTCATCATAACCATAACAATTATAATAACCAACTTAATCTCTATATCTCTAAACATGATGTTTTGAATGCTATTACTACTGCTATCTAAGATATATTTCTCTTAATTGATATTCTGGATCCTAATATTTTCCTCTATATAAATTTGAGTACCTCCTATACCCTGAATTTGGAGGATAATTTTATCGAACCATCCAAGGAACACAACTTGTAGTAGAAGTTTATCTACTATATGGATTAAGTCTTAGATACGGATTACCATTATAAAATGGATTTGAATTAACAACTTAGCGATGTCTATAAGGATAACCACTAAAAGGATTTTCAAGATTTGAATATCTGTTCTATTTATTCATACAACGATATCTCCAAATTAAATCTTCATCAAACAATTCATCCCCAGGGTATCTACCTGGATAATTATAAGGGTAATGTAACTTTTTATTCTTTCTATGATGATAATAAGGATGATTTCTTATATATCTTCCATTTCCATCATACAATTCATCATCCTCTTCCTCTTCTTCCTCTTTATTTCCATTTCCTTTGCTTTTACCCTTCTTTTTTGTTTTGTCCTTTGAATTAAACCCTCTCCATTAATCATCTTCATCCATCTCTTCTCCTTTCTCATCTTCATTTTATTTTTCTTCTGCATTCTCTTTTTCTTCATTATTTTCTTAATCTTGAGCTTATTCGTCTTCATTTTCTTTCTCTTCGTTTTGTTCTTATTCTTAATTCTCCTAATCTTCATTTTCTTATTCTTAATTCTCTTGATCTTAATTTTCTTATTCTTGTTCTTGGTCTTGTTCTTTATCTTAACTTTCATCTTCTTCTTTTGGTTTTGCTTATGATTTTGCCTTAGATTTAGGTTATTCTTTATTTTATTAATTGTCTTTTTCTTTTTTCTTCTCTTTTTCCTTAGCCGATTATTAAGGTTTTTCTTAAGATTTACTTTTCGACGTCCCTTTATTTTTGTCTTAACTTTTATTTTATGCCTTATTCTAAGTGTTATTTTAGGATTTATTCTTTTTTTACGATTCTTAGTCATCTTATTATTGTGATTCATTTGCCTGATCTTCTCCTTCTCCTTCTTCAGTATTTTTATTTTTATTGGTTTTTTATTGTTTTTATTAACTATTTTTTTGAGCTTTTTAATCATCTTCTTCTCCTTCCTTCTAAGATTTCTCTTCGTCTTCACTAAGATTTACTTCCTTTTATTTTGCATTGACAAAATTATATTCAATTGTAATTCTGTCTGCAATAATAGGGATAGTAGAATCATCTAATTAATAGTTTTGTTTTTTTCCTCTTAAATTTTATTTCTAACCTTAATAACTCTATCCATTTAAATTTTACTTTATATTATCGTAATCCCTCTCTTCTCTGGATATGTGATGAGAATGATGATGAAAATGTTGTATTTAAGGTGCTCTATGATGATGACTTAAATGTCTTCTAACATGATAATCATAGTCACTATCATAGTCGCTATCATAATCGCTGTACAATTATGAATACACATCATAGTCATAATAGTCATCAGGCTCTTGATATTACTTTTTATGACTTTAATAAAACTTATTTTCATTTTTTATATTTCCAAGTTTTTAATTTTACTCTTTAGCCTCTTCATGTGAATTAGAGCCTTATTGGTTATCTTATTATTGTTATTATTGTTATTATTGTTATTATTGTTATTATTATTATTATTATTATTATTATTATTATTATTATTATTATTATTATTATTATTATAACTCCTATTATTGTTACTATTATTATTATTATAACTTTTGTTATTGTTACCATTATTATTATTATAACTCTTATTATTGTAATTGTTATTCTTGTACATTAAAACTAATTTAATCCTCTTAAATATTTTTAGTCTGTGAATTATCTTAATCATCCAAAATAATCTCTTCGACTTTTGCTTATTATTCTATTATCATACCATCTTATTAATTTTATAAATTGAATTCAGATGTATCCTATAATTATAGAATTTAATTTTGTTTTTCTTGATTATTATTAGTATGGCTTTATAAAATTGATGGTGTTTGATTGTTATTTTATATTTCATTATTTTAGCTGTTTTAGATTGATGATTTACTACCTGTAGTTTACTAATCCTCATTAAATTAAAAAACTTCTACATCTTGATTATCTTAATTTATCCAACTCATTGGATCTTCATAAACAATAAAATCAATGTTCTACTAATTATCATTGTCTGTTTACAATAAACTTTATTATTGATCTTTCTTTTAATCACTCTATTAAGTCAGTGCTTCTTCATGTTTATCGTATTTTGTTTCCTTCTAAATTTACTCGACATCATCCCTTAAAAATATTTCAGGATCTTGAGGAATATAAACTCCATTTAATGTCTTATATATAGATTTTTCATCTAAATTATGAGATAATTATAAAGTTGAAATTTAATTAGAATCATCATCAATTTTATCTTTAATGTTAAAATTTTAAATAGGTTCAATAATCAAATTTCTATCTTAGTGCACTTCATTAAAGTTTAAAGAACCTTAATATTTAGATTCTGAATCAATTGAATATTATTGTAAAAAGATGCCATTGATTTATAATAGCTATTTAATTCTCTCCAAGGATTTACAATTTGATTTTTAAATCAAAACAGCGAAATGATTGATTAGCATATCAGGTTAATATTTTTTCTTAGATTCAATAGAGAAAATATAATGTTCACATTTTTTAATGTTTTAACCTAACCTAGATTTAATTAGAAATTGTACATTTTTTGGTTTGAATAATATATATGTAACTTTGTGAGTTATTACATAACTCCTCATGCCATAAATAAATAGTGTTGTTTATTAGAATTTAATCTTGCATACTTATATCGCAGGAATTTGTTTGTATTTTTTAAATAATTTCATACTCGCTTTAAACAACAGTATAAAACATATTATTATGTAACTTAAAATCTTAAAGGAATTAATTTTTTGAAAACTAGGCTAAGATTATTTAAAATTTTACCTTTTAAGATATTTGCTGGGTATATTTGAAGAATATCTATTTATTCAATAAAGTGCTGTAACTATAAATCAGTTTTGCATTCATGCATTTTACAAATTCTATTCAATTAATTGAAATTTGTAATAATGTTATTTATTTGGTCTTCTACATTTTATGGAGTTATAAATATTATTTATAGAAAAATTGATTCAGGGTCATCAGATATTTATCTTAGACTAATTTTACCAAAATCCTTTAGGGCGAATTCTTTAAATGATGGTTGAGAAAATGTAATGATATTGAAATAAATTTGGTTTTCATCATCTATAATAAATTTAACTTGTTTATGTAAAAGCCCACCAACATAATTGCTATTTATTTAATAATCAGGAAAATTAAAGTACACATTAATCTAAAGAATAATTTTCATTTTACATCAAACTCTTTGTTAGCTTAAATTATTAGCACATCTTTGTAATTTTATATTTAATTTGTTGAATTGAATGCTATCTAATATGTGGAGTCTGAAGCTTTGATCCCAAACATGTCATTCTCCAATTCCAAAATTTATATGTATTCATCTATTCCATTCTGAATTTCACAAATTAATTTGGATTTTATAATTTAGTTTTCTTGATTTAGTTCTTTTGAACCATAAACTGACATCATTAGTATGCAAGCTAGCAGAAAAGTTGTCCGTTTTAAGAAAAATTTCATTCAAAGAAATAAAAAAATTAATTATTAATTTAAAAGCAAATAAATTATATGTTCATATTTTAAATTAAAGGAATTAATCCAATTTATGAAAAAGAAAATGAACTTCAATAACAATTTATTTTAAAAAGGACATCATCAATCTTTATGAGAAAAATACTTTGGTAAAGTTATAAATAAATCCTTTAAATATCATCAAATACACAAAATTAATGATTAACAAATATATTAAAATTATAAAACCATGGCAATTAATTAACTCATAAATTTTATATCATCTCTTAAACTAATCTATCTCCATTTATAATATGTGTTGTACATATTTATATATCCTTTTCTAAGAAATAAGAAATTTAATTACTGTATCGTAGTCCTAACCAACGAATAGCTGCAATTTCACCATATGTGACGCCTCCAATAAAGTAAATCACATAAATTTAGTTTGCATCCTCTTTAACTTCTTCAGTTTTATTTTAATTTAGATTTTATTGTATAACAACTTCCCCTGGCATTTCTTTTAGTGCTTGTAATACTATTGGTCCCCAAGTATTTTTTAGGATTAATTCTTCAAAAATTCGAACTCTCATTAATAAGTAAATAATACATTATAGGTGCATATGCCAGAAAAACATAAGAAAAATCCTCTGGGGCATCGTGATCAATATCTTCATTAATCAGACGTAAAGGTTTTTCAATTTTTTCCCAAATATGAGTATCATTCAGTTTTTTTCCTATTAAACCCATTTTTTCACAATTTTCAAGGGTCATAATGTGCTCAATGCCAAACATATGTAAAATCTCTCTGCGATAAAAGTCATAGAGTTTGGTCTTCATACCATTCTATACTTAATTGTAAAGACTAAACAATCGAATCACTTTAGTGATGGGGGCCCCAAAAGAAATAAGATTTTCGATCATTTATTCAACTTATGATGACTTAGTTTAAAGTATAGCATGCACTTCTTAATTAACGCACATATTAAATAAAATGGTTTCCAACTATTTACTTAAGTGTTAACTAACAATAATATCTGTAATAGTGTAAATTATTACGGTCAAGAATAATGTTTTGTTCTTTTGGTAGCACTCGTAATTTGGAAAGATATTAATTCATATCGCTCATATTCATTTTATTATCTGGTTATTTCATGTCTATAATCGTCTATTTGTTATTCTGTCTCTTTTCTTCAAGAACCCTTTGACATTGCTTTATGTTCATAATTTTGATTCCATTGTAATAGGAATCATTAAGTTTCATCGTTTTTGGTCTATCTTTTAAAGCTTAGTCGTTTTTAATAATCTCTAGATTGATTGAGTTGTGCTTGATAGAAAACACCTCATCAATCAAAGCCTCATAAGTGAATGGAGTCAACATAGGAGTGATGAAGTCTACTTTTCTCTCTATGATCAAAAGTGTGTGCATTTTAGATTCCTTAAAGCTCATCTCATCTTCAATCAATTCTCCCTATTGTTTTTTTTATTTGAGTATATCAATGACAAATTTAGAGAAATTTCCTTTGGCATAGATATTCTTAAACTTGCCATGAACTAACTCCATTCTTTAAATAGACTCAGCAACTGTTTACAAAATAGACATATCTTGTCCAATATATAATGGTCTAAGACAATTATTCATCTCTAACGAAAGCAAATCGTTTGATAAAGGTATTAGGTCAAAATTGAAATTAGTTATAATCAAATCTCCCAAAACAGCCTCTTTTTCTAAATATTCCTTGCATACAATATTCATTCTAGGACATAAGATTAATAAGTATTTTTTATTCAAGTTCTTGAGTTAATTGTTTCTGATGATTCTTACTATTCGTTTCATGTGTTGTCTATCGTGATTCACAAAGAATATAATCTAATTTACTTCCACATCTAATTAATCAGAATCAAATAAATAGATTTATTCAATGCCATTTTCCTTCAAAATCTACATAGATTCAACCACCAAATTAAGCATGTCTGCAATAAATTGATCAATGACAAGCACCTTTTTGCCAACTAACTAGTTTTTTCATAATATTTGAACTCTTACTTAATTCAATTTATTGATTAACTTTTGTCTCAAATACTTTTGATAAATGGCGGTTTAAAAGGATGACTAGTACTTCTCAAATTGGCTTAGGTTGACTTTAACTGAATTGGAGGGAACTCCACTTTATTTGACTTTAGATGCCACTTATTCAAATGAGTCTTTGATAAATTGGAACATTTATTACTTATGAATATTAATAATTTAACGATATTGAAATTATGCTGCAAAAGAAGGACTCAGACAAGGAAAATGCTTCTTATAAAGACAAAGATTCATAAAAACAAAGAGTGATAGGAGATTACTTATTAGGTTTGTAGTTATTTCTATTTGAGTGAAAACACTTGGAGTGGGTACTTTCGGTCTAGTTAAATTGGGTGTGCATTAAATAACAGGAGAGAAAGTCGCCATTAAAATATTGGAGAAGGAGCGAATTGTGGAAGTAGCTGATGTAGAAAGAGTCTCACGGGAGATACATATTTTAAAATTGATTAGACATAGACATGTTATCCAACTATATGAGGTAAATTTAAGTCTAGACTATGATAGATTATAGAGACTAAGAAGCATATATTTTTAGTAATGGAATTTTGTGATAACGGAGAACTTTTTGATTACATTGTGAAAAATGAAAAGTAATACCCTTTAATTAATTGATTAGACTGGAAGAAGTAGAAGCCTGTCGCATATTCTAAGAACTGATCTCTGGCATTGAGTATATTCACAAACTAAACATCGTCCACAGAGATTTAAAACCTGAAAATCTTCTATTAGATCATCATAACCAAATTAAAATAGTAGATTTCGGACTTTCCAATACATATAAAGAAGGCGAATTGCTTAAAACAGCTTGCGGAAGTCCATGCTATGCTGCGCCAGAAATGATCGCCGGCCATAAATATCAAAGTATTTTAGTTGATATCTGGTCATGTGGAGTTATATTGTTTGCCACCATTTGTGGTCAATTACCATTTGAAGATAAACATACAAGTGAATTATACAAAAAGATACTTAATGGGTAGTATACAATGCCATCTCATGTCTCATCAGATGGTTAATCCTTTATCAGAGGATTATTGAATACAGATCCCAAAAAGAGATTCGATCTTGACTAGATTAAATCTCATCCATGGTTTAAGTTATATAAGAGAGTTCATTCAATTCCTTAAGGAATTATTATTGGATATAGCCGAATTCCTATTGATGATGACATCGTTGATTAACTTGCTCAAAAAGGATATAATGCTGATTATATAAAGAAATGCTTAGATGCTAATAAACACAATAATCTAACTACAGCATATTTTCTCCTTCTAAAAAAGCATTTAATCAAAGGAGGTCAATCAACTGCAGACATTAATTCATAAAATTTTAATGAAAAACTGTTGGAACCTGCTACAAGACCTACTAAACGTAATTCATATTTTAATTAATTAGCTCCTATAAGTAATTTATTAGACAGTTAATTGATGAAAACACTCAAGCATAACAGATCTGGTTCCTGCTAAACTAATTAAAAGTCACATACATAAGGGAGAGGAATGTCTGTACCTTAGGTCGAAGATATTAGATCTATATACAATGGATCCAAAAATTATCAGAATTCTTCCTTGTCAATTGAAGTAATCATTCAATCAATGCCTAATAGGATCAGTCCTTTTTATTTGAAAGAAACAAATCTTAGTCATTCCAACAGAATAACAATAAGAAAATGCCTACTGATATTTAAATCAATGATGCTTTGAATAAGACTACATACATCAACACCAGCAAAAGATCTTCAAATGCATCAACAGTTTCCCCTGGACATCAAAATAAGTTGCTTCAATACTTAAGTACAAAATAATAATAAAATAGAATCATCAACTAAGACTACTACTCCAACAGCAGTAAGAGGGAACTCTTAATCAAAAATGCCTTATACTAGTAAGACTACAAAGAATCAAAAGACTTCCTCCTCAAATTTTGATAATCACAACAACTCTCTTATTGAAAAAAAGAAAGAAAATAAACCAATTAATTTAGCAGATGCCACCAACATTGAAAACAAGAAAAGATCTTTGCATATAGAAGGAGTAAGAATAAGATTCTATTATCTAGGATCTCTCAATGCCTGCCAGTACTAAACCGTAGTCAATGCCATATCAATTATGGCTAAAGATGAATAGTAGAAAAGGATCGAGAGATTATAGTGGGGGAGGATCTAAGACAAAAAAGTCAACTGGAAGTGCCAAAGCTAATACAAATCAGAGCTTTAACTTTGAAAAGAGGGCATGATTTCCTCTTACATAATTAATTTATTCTTTCCAATTTGTATATTAATTTATATCCATTCGTAAAGAGGAGACCTTTGGAATCACTTAGACGATTAATTGATGGATTGAAAAAACGCAAAAAATGATCTGTTGATTAAATATACTGACAAATAGCTAATGGTTTGCTCATTTTTCTACTTTTCCAAGCCACAAAGCCAAAAGTGACTTTCCTTTAACTGCAATAATCTTAAATCTGACCCCTGGAATATCACCGACTGCATGTCCCTTTCTTCCGAATCCGGCGACAGTGACTTCATCGTTTTCATTTAAAAAGTTTAAGCAACCATCCTTTGGGACGAAGGCTGAAATTTTTTTGCCATTCTTTTTTCAATAATACTCTAACACACTTTCTGACGGCAGAGTTTGGTTATTTGGATTCGCTATTTAGAGTTTATAAGGTAAATTTACACTCCAATCTTTTCAACAACCAAACCTTTAGCATGTGATGCACCCATAAATGGATTCTTATATCTTGATCCAATCATAGCCTTATTGTATTCCTTATCAGCCCATCTGTTAACTCTTCTGTGATCTTTGAGCTTTCTTCCGGCTCTCATACCTCTGGGTTTACCAACTCCCATGATTAAAAGATTTTAAATAAATTATTTAAATTTTCAGAATATGATTAACACAATATAAAATTGCATTAGATAAATGTTAAATATACATAATCATAATTATTTTCTATCATTATAACCTGAATTTCTAACAACTGAATTTCTCCCACTGTTGTTAGTTCCATATGTGCTATATCCCCCAGGAGCAATAGTGGCTCCTTTAATGGTACTAGTTTCAAATTAGGTAGTGACTCCAGTACCTGATGGTCCAGTTCTTTTAATTTCACTTTCTTTAGTTACAGTAACTTTGCTTTTTTTCATAGCCTCTAATTATGTTTCTGCCATGGTAAGTTTTTCAGAAATGTCAGAGTTGATTTCATTTTGCTATTTGAATTTCTTCTTCCATAATTCTACTTCTCCTTGAAGAGAAATAATTTATTATTCTGATTGAGAGAAACTCTCCAATTACATTTCCATTTCCCTTATTCTTTAATCCAGTGATTCAAGTTCATTGTCTTTGTCATTCATGAGTAATTTTAGTTTCCGAATTTCTTAATCTTTGAATTCATTTTGTTCTTGCGAACTTTTGAGATCATCCGTTAGATTGCCTAAAAATGATAATAGATAATAGATATTACTAATTTTCTTTTTCAGTAGTCTGATTTCATCATCTGCTCCTTAATTTTTAGAGTTGGATTCCTAGAGTTATTTGTATCTTAATTTCCATTGGTCTAATTCATCTTGTAATTATTTATTAGATTGTCTGAGCCCTTATTCTTAAATTTTTAATTCTTTGTTAGCATTAATAAGTTCATTGATCTGGAATAGTAAGCATAAATACTTTGGAATCATCTTAGACATAGGATATCTAGGGGGCATTTCCTCTGAGTCTGAGATTTTCTTGTTGAAGATCGAAGAGATAGACCTCCAATTACACTTAAAATCACAAAATTAGATTACTGCATTTGGTTTTCCATCTTGAATCCATATCATCTAATGTGACAACTTACAAGGGTCTTTCTTGATGATGCACCTCAGCATTATTTGGTTAAGTAGATGCAATCCTAACTGATGGGGTGATTAGGAGTGGCTGTGATTGCGTAATGCTTTAGGAAACAACAGGTGTGGTAGCTATTTATCTAGCAGAAAAAGGACTTCCATTTAATATAAATGTAATACGCAATTCCAATTTTCTGAGATGAATACGATTAGGTTAAGGCTTATTGCTGCTGCTAAGGACTATAAAATAGAGTGTGATCGTACTTGTATTGGAACAGTTCAGATTAACCGATGGATCCTTAAGTGCCGTATTGACCTACTCTAGGGGGTCTGATTAGATTGGATGATTAATGGAGTAGTGATTGTATTTGAGAATGATTGTATCCTGCTTGGCTATGAAATAATTAAGTTGGATAATTACTCCATGATGAAATAAGCTGTTATTAAATAATATTTATGTTTAAAGTATATCCCTTAGGGTCTGGTTAAGAAGTCGGGCGTAGTTGTGTGATGTTTGACCATTTACGATAAAACGATCATGTTGGATTGTGGTTTGCATATGACACATCAAGACAATCGCAGATTTCCAGATTTTTCAGTATGAAGGATCTCTATCTAATTAGTTAATCGAGGAGAAATTGGGACGTAAGTACGTTGATTTGGTGTTAATCACACACTTTCACCTTGACCATTGTGGTGCATTGCCATATTTCACAGAATTATATGGTTGATTAATATAATAATATTTAGGGAATGGCTATAATGGACCTGTAGTGATGTCTATGCCAACCAAAGCCTTGTTGCCTTACATGTTAGAAGACTATAGAAGAGTAATGTATTATTCCTATCTCGATAGATTTGGACAATGCCCAAGGAAGATTAACAATTCTAGCAGCAGTCATCCTAATAGGATTATAGTATCAATCCACAAATTAAAACTGATCCATTATTAATATACGACCATGAAAATATCAAATCATGTGTCAATAAAGTGTAAGTAATTGGGCTATATGAAACCCAAAACTTTGATGGAGTTGAAGTGACTGCTTATTATGCTGGTCATCTCTTAGGAGCTTGTATGTTTCATGTCAAATATAAAAACGTATCAGTTGTCTACACAGGAGATTTACAATTCTATTGCTGATAGACATCTGGGTGGAGCCTATATTGATCAATTGCAACCAGATCTTGTGATTTCAGAAAGCACTTACGCTACCATCATCAGAGATAGCAAAAGAACGAGAGAGAGAAACTTCTTGATGCATGTCTAAGAAGTTCTTGATAGAGGAGGAAAAGTCTTAATCCCTGTGTTTGCTTTAGGGAGGGCCCAAGAATTGTCTGTGTTATTGGAATCTTATTGGTAAAGAACGAAATGCAAAGCAGGACTTTATTATGCTGCTGGTCTCATTGAAAAGGCCAATTAATATTATAAGATATTTACTGGGTGGGAATCTGAAAAAATATAGTAGTCCTTCTTAGACGATAATATCTTCAACTTTAAATACATACAACCGTTTGATAGAAATCTAATTAAAAGTCCATTATCAATGGTATTATTGGCTACTCCTGGGATGTTACATGGAGGTCTAAGTATGTAGGTCTTTAAAGAGTGGTGTGGGTGTGCAAATAATAGTTTGGTTATTCCTGGCTATTGTGTACCTGGAACCTTAGGAAATAAGCTACTTGCTGGAGTCAAACATGTTAGAATAGATAATAAAGATTATGATATCAAAATGCAAATCAATAATATGTCATTTAGTGCTCATGCTGATAGCAGAGGAATCATTCAGTTAGTGAATCATCTTTAACCTAAAAGTATAGCTTTTGTTCATGGAGAATATCACAGAATGAAAACTCTAGGAGCCGAAATTATTGATAAAATCTAAATTAGAGTTGATTGTCCTGCTAATTTTGAATTGCTTGAGTATGAAAAGATCTTGTCTATCGATCGACCTTTAACCATTAAAGGAGAATTCAATAAGAACATGAAAGGATATTTGTTGGAATACAAAGGGTAAATGGTTTTGTTATCTGATGAAAACGATATAATGAAAGAAGTAAATTAATTACTAGGAATAATGCAATCAGAATAGGGATATATGAGGTAATATAAAATCACTGGTCATCTATTGTGAGTGTAATTAATTTATATATAAATCAATCTCTATAAGTAACAATTGAGAAGCTTTTTTATTATCTGCTTTTCGTCTTAGTCCTAACATTTATTGAATGTGATCTCAATTTGGGTAGTTTCAACACATCTCTTTTAATAGTCTATTAGTTCATTAGACTCTAATGTCTTGGAGTAACTGATTATGTCTGATTCCTGTTTTAAATAAGTGTGTCCATATTGCTATCCAAATCAAATTATTATAAATAAGTAAGCAAACTAATGTCATTTAATTTTACTAGGTTTCTGAATCCTTTTTAATATTTAGTTTAATTTATCATCTCATTTGTCTATTTTTATTGCAGCGAGGGTTGTTTTTAAAGAGTATCCTTCCTTTGCACAGTCTAAAATCTTAAACTGACTCCTGGCTACAATTTGATATCCTAAGTCTATGACTCTATAAATTCAACAATTGTTGTGTCTTCATTATCCGCTTGTTTTTTTTTGTATCGTATCTACTCTACCAATTTTGGTTTTGATATCACAGTATTATTATCAGACTTAGGTACTTCAAATGGTAATGTAGTAATTACATCTTTTTATATTTAATTTTTAGACCTTGCAATAGGATCACAGTTGTAATCGTAAGTATATTCCTTCGATCCTATTTGCATTATCAATCTATTATATTACTCATTCAATAATCGTTTCTCCTTAGATCGTTCTCTCAAAAGCTATTCCTTATTTGATTTGTCTATACATTTTTATTCCATTATTCTCCTTTCATTTGGATATTCCTCCACGTACTCTATTGTTTTCTATCTAACCAGTTGGGGTTCATAGTCTTCCCACAATTACATCGGAACCGTAAATTAATGCTTGGGATACATATCTATTTTGGGTGTTATCCTAACTGAAATTGGTGCTATGTCCTTGATATCATAGGCCCTAAATCTTTCCTTCTGTGTACTCTTGGATTCAAAATCCTCTATCTCAATATCATTCTGAAAATAAGGATCGAAGCATTTTTAATGCATCACATTAAAGGCCAGATTGACTGTATAAGAAGCACTTGATTAAGATTCTAAACTAGCGAATATGTTATCCTCTATTTGAGTCATGATCTTGTTAATCAAGAAAGGGATGATAGTTTCGACTATCTCTAAATATTCCATTAATATAATTGAATATCAAATATTATTGCGAATTATCATTATTCAAGGTGCTTTTGCAGGACTAAAATCTTTTAAGCAGAACTTAAAATATAATAATTTGAGTTTATTATAATGAATTAAAATGAGGACGACTTATTTTTTATTTTTGTGTAACGAGTTTACGAATTGCTATAATCCAAATAAGTAATCCAAGCCTTAGTGGACAATGGGTTTGATTAATGGGAACAGACCAAAGAACTTACAGTTGACATCCTATTATAATTGGGAGTACCCAAGGACAAGGCTGCTTACATAATTTAAATCATAAATGAAATTGACAAGCAACCCCTGTCTGCTAAATCCAATTCCAAACCTTTGACTCTAGAATTGATGACCAAGGGTTTAAATAAAAAAAAAGATTATTCAAAAAGACCACCTCTTAAGAAACAAGATTAATTGTCTGATTGCTGTGTGCTTTCACTTAATGGGCTAGGATTAACCTCATTGAATGATTGCATTTCCATGGCCAAAGGACTGTAGGTTCTCCACATTTACGATAACAATTTGTAATAGTTAGTATTGTAGGATTTGTAATTCTTGAGAATACTAAATGCATAAAATAACTAATTAAAATCAGTTGAGTTTGAATAATTACCCAGTTTAGAGAAAGCATACCTTGATAAGAATTGTCTGACTACTGTTCCAATATTACCAGGTAGATTGAATACTCTCTCACTTTCAAGTTAAAATACTAAAGAATTCCAATTCCCAGATGAATCATTTGAATTGGCAGCCTTCTCTTTAATCAATTTGACTTGTGAGAATTCTAATGTCGAATTTATATTGACTCTAGGTTCCTTGCAGAACTTAGAGTATTTAAATTTGAAAAATAATAAAATTAAAGAATTCGATGTATTTTATCAATTTGAAATATTTAGGACATAGAAGATTCAATATCCAATCTCCCGAATATAAAAGAAATAGATCTGAGAGGCAATCCAATCACCCAAGTATATAAGTATAGAGATAGAATTGTGTTGCTGTGCAAAACTATATGTAAATTTGGAGTTTTATGTTATAGAAACTATTGATAGTAAGACAGTGTTGGCAAATGAACGGCAATACCTTATCAATTTAGGAAAGTAAAAGATTTTAAGAAGAAATCAAAGTTTGGAAGGGAAGAAGCAAACAATTCAGAAACCATCTATAAGTGGAGTCAAACAGAAAATCCTATCCAATGAAGAATAACGATTTCATTAGTAACAGGGCATATCAAAAACTATTAATTCAGCTAACTATTTCAATGATAACACACCTACAATGCTTACTAAACATAAATGAAAATAAATATATGTATTTTAAATTATTTCTTTTAATTCACCCATTTTTTAAATTAATTATTTATTAAGAATACTAAAGTTATGCAGATTCATAATAAAATAGATATATTGCAACCTATTCCCTAAAAGAGGAAAATTATTGGAGTTCCATCAATTAAATATAATAATGCCGATCCCTTTAATTAAATTTTGAAAGCTGCTTCGGCACCAGCTACTTTAGAATAAATGGAAACCATCAAGTAAGTCAATAAAAATAAAGATTATTCCAAAAATCCTGTTTTCTTGATAGATTATTCAATTACAGAAAATTAGAAAACTCTGTAAGAATAACTTGATGAAATTGATTGATATTTGAATTTGTATTTGCATATTTAGCCCCTTATAAGATGATTCAATTATAATCATAAATTTTGATTTTTATTCATAATCAATTAACTTATATATATATTCCATCTTTAAGTAATTTAAATATTCAAAAATCATTTTTGTAACCAATAATTAAATCAATCTTTAAAGAGTGAATTCAGAAAGAAGTTGTAAAATAATGAGGGTTTGCCTTTAATTCTTTTAGACCAATTCTGATATCCTCATATTTAGTCAATTTTATTAAGTATTGCATCAATTCAACAAGTGCTCTATCTTTTTCATCTCCCACCCAAGCCTTTATTTTAATACCATTATGTGGCTATAAAACAAAATTATATGGATTATTGTCAACTATGATCGTTTTTGAAAGGGGTCTCCCCAAAGTGCTTAAGTCTTTCAACATAACATTCCCTTATGAAAACGTGTGATGTCGATACAACCTGTGCTTTACTACATTCATAACATCAATTTTGTCGATAATCCTTAAAATCAAATAATAAAGTACTTATCTGCATATGACTAGATTCCAGCTGTAAATATTACAATTTCAAAATGCTTCCCCATTTATTCTAGAAATATCTCTGTATATGGTCGAATTAAGACTTCTTGAGTTTCTTCTATAAAATGAACCAATGTTTCATCTAAGTCCAATACTAATGTATAAACAGTTGAACTTTTAGGTAGCAAAAATAAAAATCTTTCGAGATTGACTATGATCACTCTCAGCTTTTATTAGTAAAATTAAAATGCTGCATCAATTTATGAATCTCGATAAGCTTAAAGATGCTATTGAACTTATTTATCTTATGTATTCCTTCATATTTTTGAACATGTACTTTAGCAATTTGTCTATATTTTATTCAATTAATAAATTCATCTTTTCAATTTGATTAGGAATGAGAGGATTCATACTTTGAAATTACTGAAACTGATGCTAATATTGTTAAACACCTTTAATCTGCAATTTCAGAGTGGAGATTGTTTAAATAGTATTAGCTTAATGACTATAGATGAGTAGCTTTTCCCATTTATTCAGATCAATCCCTTAGAGTATTCCTCTCTTGATCATCAAATAGAAAACTAAACCTATGCATTCATTTATCATAAATCTCTTAAATTATCTGCAATGACCCTAATTAATTTGATTTTTATACTCCAATAATTTCAATTGTGGCAGATGAAATCTCTGAGATGTAATTATTTAAGGAACACGCATCAATTTGCTAAATAAGATTGATCAAATTGACCAATCTTGCTTGCATCTTTTAAAAATTAAAGTAGAGTTTCAATCTCAATCTTTCATTTTATCGATCAGGATGCAATCTTGCGTCATCATCTGAAAATTACTATGTGTGTAGTGTTTCAACTCTTTTTCGATAAGATCCACAATTCCCTATCTCAGTAACTAATTTATCTCTATTCTAAGGCTTTTTTTATGAGTGAACAAAAAAACTATTAAATGAGGCAGGTTGTTAGTCATCAAAATGAAATGTGTTTGATATTGATAGAGATTCCTTTTTCTTTAATCTTCTTTTATTTCCAACATCTTGAACTTATCCCAATTCTTAATCCCTTTTATTCTTAATTTAGTTATTAAAGAAATTTAAACGATAAGGTGATTGATTATTAGTCTTTTTATCATCAACTGATTTTAATTATTTTCGAAACATAAATAATTATTAATATATTCTTATCAACTGCCATTAACTATTCCTCTCCTATTTTTTTATTCTTAATTTGCTTATATTACTGGTATTTTGATAAAATAAATGTATATTCTTAGACATATAAGTTACATATTTTCTAATATAGTAAATCATAATAATCATTTAAGTCCCTCCTATATATCTCTCATGATAAGAGAATATTCTTATTGATTTGAGTTGGTGATGAGGCTTTGATTGCTATATCAGAAATTTCACCTTAAATCCAATAAAGACTTTATTCAAATACTCAAACTCATAAGAAGAGCTTTATTATGAGACATTATTTGCTAGTCTTAGCACTTAATTCATTAAATATAGTTTGACAAATTTTGAAACTTAATCTAATTGCAATCATGTTATTATAATATGAATCAATGCTACTAATTACTTTAAAAATCAGTCTGCATAATAGTAGATTGATCACGTATAATGAATCTTTCTTCTTTTTGATTCTGACAGGTAGTTAACAGATTTATAGTTATTCTAACCCTTTTTTACTTTGTTTTAAGTTATTTATTTTATTTGATATAATTAATATGTTTTAATCAAGTCATGAATTATTAAACCAATATATTAAACAATCACTTCAAGGACAGGATATTAAAAACATTGAATCAATCTTTTACGTTTTAGAAAAATTAGATAATCTAGTAATATAAGAATCAATTAAAAAAATTGAAAACTAAGAAGAATTTGTTAGTCTAAAGGTGCTTTTTCATCATAAAATAATTTTAATTACTTTTTTGTTTATCAAGAACAATAATACTGAAGAAATATTTGAACTTATTCCTTATCTTAATACTTTGAATCTTTAATAGAGCTAGGTAATTATTTCAATTTTAGGCGGTTCATTAGGAATAATAATTGAAGAAGGTAGTTTTATTTCATTAAATTAAATGATTAGCAACAATCAAATGAATTATGAAAAAATTAAATAATTAGCTTATGATTTAGTAGAATAATTAGCAATTTTACATTAATAAAATATATGCTTATTCAATTTTTCTTTAAACGATGTTTATATGAATTTAGAATCAAACAAGTTTTTAATTAAATTTAGTCTTGATCTATTAAGAGTTTAATCTGATTAATTCATATTTAATTATTCACAAAATGTTTACATGGATTCAAATTTCCCTATACCTGAACTAATTCAATTAGATCTTTAAGCAAAATAATTTAAAATCCTGAACCCCTTTTTGATAGATTCTTGGAACCTAGGAGTTTTAATCCTAAACACTTTTATGAAAATAAACCAAGAGACATCTACTGACTTAAAGCATTTATTGGAAAAATACTTTTTAAATGTCTGTGGCATTGATTATATTCTAATGAGTGGAAATTATTATAAAAATTAAAATGATTTATAGTTTCTACTATAGGAAAATAATAGATGCTCAATTTTATAATTCATAAAATTAATCAATTGCACCAAATTGCTAAAATTATGTGAAACTAATATTGATGGTTCTGATGAATTTATAAATTTGGCTAACTGTTGTGAAACTATCAAGAAATAATATTTGAAAGGTAAACTCTTAAAAATAAAATCTATAAATCAGCATATGATTAACTTAGAATTCATAGAAGATTTAAATTAAAATTAGTTACCTATTCATAATTAAATCTAACTAACTCTTGGATAATTAATAATCAATTCTTAAATTGTAAGAGTCATTCCTCACATTCAGATATTTCACAACACAAATAAATTAATCATGGATTCACACTTAACCGATGAAAAATTAATATAGATAATCATGATATTTCAAGATTTATAAATATATTCTATTGATACAGAATCTCTCCTTTTATTTCTTTAATTTCAAAATATTAACTTTAAAAAAATTCTTAAGTTATAAAAGCAATTCTAATTTGAAATACATAATTTGATATTTTATGATAATCCGAACAGCCAAAACTCATTGGATGAATTACTTCATTTTTTCAATAATTTCAACCTAAATCGCCTTGAAATTAGATAAGAGTAAATTCCATTTAATTAGAATGAATAATTCGCCTAAAATATTTTTAATAAAATGAATCTGGATTAAATTAGAGTTCTAATTTTGAGTAACACATATCTAACTGATCAAACCCTATAAATTATCTCAACTTTTTCTTCATTATCAAACCTTAACCTATCGAAGTGTTAGTGCTTATCTACTCAAGGACTTTGCGCATTTTTTAAATAGTCTTAATTTTGTAATCTAGTCACTTTAGATATAAGTAAAACAAAATCTGATGAAACAGTTTTTGATGCTGTATGGAAAAATAAATCTTATATTGCATTAACTAGTGTCAATATTAGTGATTGTTCTTTCATCAATTTGACTTTGATAACACAAACAATTGCCTAAATCAATGCTAAATAGGAAAAAGTGTAAGAATTATATATGTCAGGTTGCGATTTAAACAACTCTGTATTAACAGCTTTACAGCAAATAACCTTTTTAAATTGTTTGGATCTATCAAATAATCCCAAACTAAATTAATTTCATAGCCTAAAAAGAGATAACAAATATAATTATTTAAATTTAGAATAATGCGAAATGAAATCACAAGACATTATATACATTCTGAATTTAGAGTGTTTAATAAAATCAAAATTATTAATGTCTTCTCGTTAGAATACCTCCATTTATAATATATAAATCAATTAACGGTCCATCTCCCTAACAAACTTTTAGGTCAAAAACATTCAAATAGATTAAGATGTTTCTGAAATCAAATTTATTAATGTAGTCCTGGGTTAGAAAAGAGTATTTCTCTCATTAGAATTCAATAAATTAAGCATATTACAATTACAAAACTGTTAAATTGATGATAAAGATGTCAGTATTTTAAGTTAAAATCTATCTTTAAACTAGTTATAGGAATTAAATCTGAATTAGAACAATCTAAGTGATAGCTCATTGATTACAGTTTTATCTACATTTAAATAGCTGATTAATCTAGGCTTTGATAATTCTAAAATTACCAAGAATTCAATTTAATATATAATTGCTTCTAATTTGAAAATTCTAAGCATTAGATTTTGTCTTATGCTGTAAGCAGAAGATATATTGAGTTTGCTAACTAATTTAGATAATCAAATAGAACATCTAAATCTAAGTTATAATAAAATCAATAGTGCTTTAAAACAATATCTATAAAATGAAAAATTAAATTTTACAATAATATTTGATTAAAGTGATAGTGAGAATGTTTAAACAGAATAGCATATTCAATCATTCAATAGTTGAGAATAAACTAACTCTTAAATTTGAAATTTATCAAATCTAAAATATTAGAAATTATTATTTAATTCTTGAAATTACTTATTTTTAATATAATACTTTTATTTTTAGAAAAAAAAGTATTAATCTAAGAATAAAATTTAAACATATTTGAAATATTAATTTAAGGATCTTGTATATCATTCTTTGCTTTAATTATAAGGATTATATAATAGAAAATATTTCAAGTTAATTTTTCTTATATATTTATTTACAAAAATTATAAACCAGATAATATCAAATCCGTCTTTCAAGATTTTTATATTTTTAATTTAGAAATTAAGATTATTATATATATATAAAGTTTTTTTTTATTTAAATCAAAAGTTATCTCATTAAATAAAGTCATTCTATTGAACAATTATAGAAATTCAAGCTACATATTATTGATAATTTTTGTAATAATTTATCAAAATTAAAAATGTGATGAATTATTATCTTAAGCAATATAGATAAGCAACAAAATACTAAAAATCATAGATAGATATTTTTTTTTGATAAAATAAAGTCCAAAAGAAATTTATCAAGTTTAATAAATACAATTAAATATAAATATATGTCTTATTAATTTGGAGGAAGCTAACTTTAGACTTAGAGCGTACCAAATGCAAAATATAAAACTATGTTGTGCAGACATTATTTAGGTATAGATTTGACTATGAAAAGCTACTAAATAATGTGCTATTGGAGCTAAATGTCAATTTGCTCATGGTACGTCAGAGCAAAGATAAATGAATGGTATTAATTATAGCAATTATAATCAGATCCTTTACCTGCATCTGCTTTATCAGCCATGACAAGTGGAATTGAACAACCTATCAGCAAACCTTAATCATCTGTATTTTAAAATATAATTTGAAGAATTTAAATTCAGTTCCTTGTAAATATCATGCTTAAAATTATTGCAAAAATGGATCCAATTGTCAATATATGCATGGTATTCATCTTAAAATAAACTAGATCCTGATACTGCTTTACAAGCAAATACAATCAATTTATAATAAATTTCAGTGATCGCATCCCCGCCTCCCTAACCCAAGCAGGAGGACCCAATATAAATAGTTTTTTAGCATATTTTAATTGAAATGCAATAGATATTTCTACAAGATGTGAGTTATATATATAAAGTATAGGAAATAATATAAAAATTAAAGATAGCCTTTGATTAAACTAAAATAGGAAATCTTATTAATGCTTCTGAGTGTATAAAAAGTATTATTCATGCTCCAGAACGCACACATGAGGAAATACTTAAATATACAAATCTCTATAATTAGGCAATAATGTATTTTAATCAAATCTCATAAGTGAATTGAATAAGATAATAAAGAAATAATATAATTGTAAGTAAATTACAAGATATCACATTCTCATGGTCTTTTGCAATTTCTAGGCCAAATTTTCATTTTCTTTTTTGAAGGTTTTTGGCAGATAGGAGACTGAAAACTATTGGCTCTTCTCTTACATCACATTATGATCTAAGTCTCTGACTAACATATCAACTTTTTCTTTGTTCATTTCTATTTGTTTTTGGCAATTTCTTAAAGTATTTCTTAGAACTTCAATTTCTCTTCTTTTCTCAATCATTTCATTCATGTTTAATTTATTCTCATTAATTTATATTTTAAGATCTTATTCTTTTATTTCCAACTTGCTTTTTATATCTATTTCATCACAGTATTGATCATTTACCTTCTATTAGATCTCTTAAATTTGTTCAATAGTTTTTGAGGTGGTTTCATTGCCAATCAGGATGACTAACCTAAAGATATAAATCAATAATTATTACTTATTCATGATTTCTTTCAAAAATAGACTATCATAATGTTACTTTTTAAATTTACTTTCATATATTTTCTATTAATGTTATTCCTCCTAATATTATTTTTGATATAACTAATTCTATTCAATTTAAAAGGATAATTTGTCTTTTAAATCTTTAATTTCATTTTGCTATGCTTGATTAACTTCTTCCAAATTCTTTATCATTTTGTCATAACAATTCATTTGCTAATCATTTAGGGTTCTATTTATAAGTACATTAACTAATTCTTCTTTTTCTTGTTTATTTTGATCATCATTGCTAATTTAGATTTAATAATTACAATTTCAAATAGTTTTACTATTGGTTACTAATAATTTCATATTAACTAATGGTTTATTCTAATTAAACAGTCATCTATTCTAAAGATTCTATTTGCAATGTCATATTTTTCATCTTTATATTATCAGAATGAATCTATTTCACATCAAAGGTGAGTTGTTCAAATAATGAGATTATCAAACTACTCAATCGATCAATACTCTGCCAAATTGATAAACTATATAAATAATAAATAATTACTCTCTTTAGGTAATAAATCCTTTGATGATGTCTTTTAATTCATTAGAAAACTTGTATTGATATTCTGATTTTTGTAATTCGTAATCATATTCTCTTACAAATTGGGATATTGTCTATAGAACTTATTCAATGATTTCAACTACTTGGGAGTCACTCTAAGTTTCTAATCTTTTGTCCAGATCATTTTATAACTATTCGATTAAAACCTTCATGTTTTCATTTTCTTACTGTTATTTGATGTGTCTTCTTTGAAGTTCGTCATATTCTTGTTATATTTAAGTGTATTGTTTAGATTGACATTATTACTCTTATTTAGAAATTTGAGATTTAGTTGCTTGCAATTTCAATTGATCCTTAGCATCCTTTAATTGTAAGTTTAAACTAGAGATTTGTTAATGTTGTTAATCCAATTTCAATTCATATTCTTTTAACTATTCCTGTTGTTCAATAACTCTATCACTATTAAGTTATTAAACAGCTTCGTTATTAAGTACTCTTTATTGGAGAAGAACATTTTCCTTTTTAAGACCATCAATTATCTTTTAATAATGTTCATATTGTTCAAATTAAGTCATCTATTATCCTTTCCTTAGATCTGCTAATTCTTTATTGAGTTAACGAATTTGTTTATTCTTGTCCTCTAACATAAAATCGTTAGATTGCTAAGAAGTGTAATGCATTCGTTGAGAATCGTATTGATCATCCTTATTACTAAGGAATTAACTGTGAAATCCTGAAACCGCATTAACATTATAAGATCCAAGATGAACTTCTTCTTCATCCTTTCCATACATCATTTTTAGATTGCTCTAGATGTTCTGCATACACTCCTCTAAGTTCGAATTGCTATTCTCTCTGCTTTGACTGGTTTTGCTCATCTGATCACCAATACGGTACATTTTGAATTTAATATTAAAAATTTTAATTTCTAATTCATTATGTTATTAAAGATAGAGTAGTAATATATCATAAGAGAACAATAAATTTACGTTACAAATACAAATCTAAATTACAGCTTTCCTATCAATTAAGGATGTCAATTTTTGTTAAATTTCAGTTCTTAAAATTTTACGTTGATATGAATTATATCTAAATTACTTATGATTCTAAAATCAGAATCTCGAAAGATGATTTATTTAATGTTTTTAAATAACAATCTTTAATAAAACTTATCTATAATGAATGTTTAATTATTTGATTTAATTTAAAATGAGTATTTTGAGAAGAATTTCTGAAAATAGAAGAATATCAGATGTGTATAATTATTGTAGTAATATGTGATAGTTCGAGAGCTTCAACGGTGATAAACTTTTATTAACCATTTACGGATAGAAAATTATAACGTATTTTGATATTGGAGTATCTGGGAACAACGTTATTCGGTATTGGATTGCAGTCAGCCAAAGATGATTTCTAAATATAATTAGTGATATTCTTTTGTAAGCATTAATGATGATTAGAAAACAGCGATGCTATTTTCTGCGAGACATAGTGGAGCTCATTATCATATAGCTGTGACATTGATATTAATGTTTAGACCTCATTATCCCATCAATAGATTCAGAGGAGTGTTACAAATTATTGTCGGAATACTGGGGTTTATGACCGGGGCATATTTCGGGTATCATATGTTGAATAGTTTGTTACTTATTAACAGGTCACATCTCCAGTCCGAGACTCCAAAGTCATGAGCAGAGTTGGATCTATTCCGATTTGTGCGGAGAGATATTAGCAACCACATCCTTCTAGTTCATGAATGTATTGTTATTTGAAAGAAAAACAGCTGTTTTTAAGACTCCAGTATATAATACTATATTGTTAACATTGGCAATATATTATTCACGAAAATTGTCACCCCATTCTGGTGGGTGTATGAACCCTACCATTGCAATCGGGATGAATCTTGCAGTTGCTTATGTGGAGAATAGAAGCGACATTTTGAGGAATGATTTGTGGGTATTTGTGGCTGGGCCTCTCTTTGGATCACTCATAGTCTTTATCTTGTATTATTGCATAATTCAACCGAATAATAAGTTATGCAATAAGTTTAAAAGCATGGGCATTTGATACATTTAAATATATATATGTGAATGTCCAAATTAATTTAATAAATATATTAACTAACCATAAAAATGTATAAGAATTTAACATCATTGATCTAAAGACCACTGTCATTTCTTTTTAATAGAACAATCAGATCATTAGTATACTCAGGTATGTTATGGAAATACTTTTAAATTAGATTAAAAAACAAAAAGAAAAAGTAAGAAGCAATCTGGTCTTTCTGCTCTTGATGAATTATTATTTAGGTACACTAAACCTGATTAATAATTTCTTGATGCAAAATATGGCTTCAATGCTTAATTTGTAGTTTATGAAACCAATTCTAATTATTGTGATCTCTCCAAATCATATTCTGGCGAGAATGATGAAAGATATCAAAGTAATTACAAGAGCATAGTTTTGCCGTTGATTATGATATATGGATGCCATCTTTATATGAATGATGAAACCAAGTGCTTCTTTGGATCTTCATCTTTAAAAAAGAATCAATTAGAATAAAGAGTTGTACTGCTCCAGTATGCAGCAAACAACCCAATTGAGGATAGATACAAAGTAAGTCAGCTGAAGAATATCAATGGTTATGTAGTAAGTGTTTTTGATGGCCATGGAGGTTGGTAATTAGCAGAACTCGCCATGAATATATTGCACGAGAAAATCGATCAATATGTTCTGAGAAATCAAGAGAAAATATTGAATCAGGACGATCTCATCTAGTAAAGTATATCACAAGCCTATTCCGATGTGGAAGAAGAATTTTATAAGGTGGCATTACAAGCCTATAATATGGGATTCCCATCAGTCGCCAGAGTGGGAAGTTGTGCACTCACTGCAATTGTTGTCGGAAACAAGGTCTACAGTGCAAATCTGGGAGATAGCAAAGGAATTATTGTAAATGTCAATAATAAAAGTAAATTAATTATTCACCATTTATAGCCAACGAAAAATCCTATAAGAAAATTAATCATACGTTAAATGCCAACTCAAAGAAAGAATAAAGAAGATTGAAATCAGTCTTTTCCGACGATGACATAGTTGTTTGCAAAAGCGGAAATAAGAGTTGCTATGTCAAAGGCAGACTCTAACCTACTAGATCCTTGGGAGACTTTAGGTTAAAATTCCAAGAGTTCAACAACCCCAAAAATGTAGCAGAAGATAAAGGATATTTGAAATCCATCACCAACTTCAAAGGACCATACATTAGTGTATCTAATTTAATCTATTTTTAGTCCACACCAGATCAGCAGGTATTTGAAATTTAAAAAGGAGATAGATATCTAGTCTTAGGCTCTGATGGATTATGGGATGAATTAACCAAGTCAGAAATATCAAAGGTAGCTAATTTAAAATTATTAAAATTAGATTGTCCAAAAAAATTAACATAACAAAGACGAAATCATTAAACAAATTTTTGAAGAATCCCTGTCTCATGCAGCCAAGTCCAATAAAATGTCTGATGAAGATATCAGGAAGATTCCCTTAGGCAAAAGAAGAAAGTTGCATGATGATATCACTGTTATTGTAGTCGATCTTTAGGGTTAAGTTTGAGAAATTTCATAATTTAATGATATATTTTGTTTATCTAAATCAATATTTCTATTATTAATATTGCTGTTGATTTTGGTATTAGGGTTGTTATTGCTACTATTGTATCTGTTGAAATTGCATATCTAAGTATTATATGAGTCTATACTTGAGGGTTGTAGATCTTGCAGTTTTAAGGCTTCTTCTTTCTTTAGCTATTGCATCATCTAATCAACTGCCATGTTGGTTTAAAAATCATTAGAGTTCTTATTCATCATTGAATCCATCACCTTCCCTTAGACCATAATGTCATCTAAGGCCCTGTCAAATTGATTTATATTTTAATATAATTATTCAATTGACATGTTATTTGTATACTATTACATAATTGGTGTAACAACATTCAATTATTGCATCATCTATAATACTTTTAAACTTCATAAATACATCAGCATTGGCTTGAGCACTTTTTACTTGTGATTCCACAAATTAAATCTTCGTTGCCATTTTTTGTAAATTTTCACTCTCTTATTTCTTCGCCATAGCTGTTTATAAAAATAGCTTAGCTCCTTCTTCATTATTTTTTTTTAAAGCCTCCTTAGCCTTTGCAACATTCTTATCCTATTCTTTTAAACTTCTCTTTGATTCAGATTCAAGACGTTTCCATGTCATTCTTAGGTCTAACTAAATATCCATTGGATCTCTTGGTTAAACAGGTGCAGCCTTCGAGTTTGGTTATCCCATTATTTTTTATAATTAATATTAACAATTATCATGTTTTTCATCTTAAAAATGAGGTAAATAATAACAGAAATTTAATTATTCTACATTTCTTTATGGAACATATCATCAAAAAATTATTTAATTATCTAATGAAAAGTTTAGATCTAAACATATTAGTATGCAAATTTTATGAGATTATTAAATCCTATATTATACAATTATCCATAACTCTACCTAGATCTTAAATAATTTCTTCGTTATATATAAATCTCATTCCTTTAAATAAAGGCTACTCTTAATAAAATGATACCTTCCGTTCATTTAAACTTAAAATAAATATATTACACTTTTAAAGTCTAAAATCCATTTAAATTTTTAATAAACAGAGGCAAAGTTCATCAAATATTAGAAGAGAGACAGAAATTATTTTATTATAGATATATAATATAATTATTTTCACTTATTTAATTATCTTTTGTATTCATCATTTTCTTTTTGTAATCTTTGAATTATTTCCTTTAACATTTAATTTTCTTCCATTAATTAAGGATCCAATTAGGTTTGTTATAGCTACTCTCTCTAAAGTTTGACAATTGTATGCAAATCTTAATTTTCTTTCTTCAACTATTTTATTTCCTCTTGATAATCATATCCATTCTTAAGTAGTATTTTAAACGGACTTTCATACCTAGAGTGATTTTTAGTAATAATCTATTGATTAAAGTAATTTGAGGTAATCTTAGGTCTAGAAGTATCAAATGGCTGCGGAGAATAATGAAAACTTGCAGATTTTAAATTAATGATGTTTCTTTAATGAGATTTATTTGGAGTGCCAACAGTTGAATGTTATGAAGAATGCTTAATATTAGATGGAGTTTAAAAATTGGCAGTTTTGTAGCCACTGCTTGGAGATAGCAAAGGACTTGATGTTCTCATTTAAATCCAATATTGAATAAAATTTATTTCATTATTGTTTATGAGAAATGATTTTCATAAATTCATTTCTAACATTTCCCGTTTGATCTTCTCAACCACCTTCTCTACCAATTGTACAAGAGTCTCTTCTGTCTTTTCTCTTTCTGTTCTGGTCTTTTTCAAAGCCTCAGTTATTCTACCTGATATTTCTCTTAAACTTTCAACAATTTCCTCCTCCTTAATTTCTCTTTCCTTCTTCTCTCTATAATAATAATATAATCTTATGTTTACCTATCAAAAGCCTCTTTTAGATCTTATAATTGTTGTAAAAATTGTATTTAGATCTTCCCCTCTACTTCTTTCCTCTCTCCAATTTCGTTTTATAATTCATCAGCCAATTTTGGAAGATCTTCATTTATATATGCATCCACAAATTAATACGACTCAGATTAAGCCTAAATATTGTTATATTTTGTTACAAGTCCTTCCTTGACTACTTCGCCTTATAAATTATCTACCTGCTATCCAATCTAATAAACAATTTTTCGCTCTTATTCCACTCTATCTTTTGAGTTCTATTCAATTAACTTACGAGCATGTCTTTCCAAATCAGTTAGTAGCTTTTAGGTTTCCGCTTCCTATCTTAGACGACTATAATTGATAATTATAATATAATACTCTTCCTGTTCTTACTCTAAAAATTCACCTAGTTATCTCATCCTTGAGGCAAGATAATTGAATTTTTCCTCTTTTTATTCAGAATTGTGTTGTAATTATGCTTCAAAAGCCATAATGAGTTACGAGATGTTATGAAACCTACTGTTCTTCCTAAAATAAAAGAAATGATTAAAATCATTACTCATCTTGGACACTAGTCGAGATGTTATCTAATTTTTCGAATATTGCTTAGACTCTCCCTTTAACATTGGATTCAGACATTTTTGATATAATTTTATTATCAATAAAAATTTATTTCTTTTTATCCTTTATTTTGATTCAAAAGCAGAGTTTTAAAGAATAATAATTGCAGTTTAAGTAATTGTTCAAATTAATTATTCTAACCCTTCAATGATTCAGAGATAAATAGGATAGATACTGATTTTGTATTTATATCTTCGATAATATGTTAATATACAATTATAAAAATAAAAAGTAACATTTAATAATTTGATCAATCTTTATAGACATTAAATCTAGAGATTTTGAAGGTTAATTGCTTCAAATCTTATTCAAGTACTTACTATTAACTTTTTATTTGATCAAACTTGTTTTATTTATTTGAGTTGTGAAAATTGTTGATTGTTTCTTCAATTACATTTTCAACATCTTTAGCATTTTAATGATAATCTTCTTCAGATCCTATCAATTATGCCAACCCATCCAACTTGGCTTGAAGTTGACTGTAGTAATTTCCTTACTCACTTGGCAATACTTTTTAATATTTCGAGGAATATAATTTAACTGCACTCTACGTTTAATTAGCATCTCTTGGAGTGGGGATTTGAAACTTCGATTACTTAGGTGATTGCTTGAATTGAGACATGGATCTCATTGGACTTATAAACTTTGATGAATTAAATTCATTTCTCATTTAAGCATTTGGTGATTAATTTTGTCTTATCATATTTTTCAAAGGACTCCCTTAAAAATCTAAATTACATCGATTTTAATATACTTGTAACGGAAGTTCTCTACTTAGTTCTTTGTCTACCTAAGTCTTATTTCAAGGTAGCCAAATTGACATTATCCTTCTTATTTGATTGCGAAGCCTAGATTAAAATATCAATATAAGATGCATACTAATTTAAAGATAGTTTAAGCCAGTATTTGTTTCTATTTGAACTTACTGTTAATCTCCTGCCTGTATTTTTGCAATTGTTACGACAGATCAATATTCATTTAACAGATAAAATATAGTAATAACTTTTATTATTAAATAAATCACAAATATTGAAATAATGCCATTCTGCATATAAATTAGTATTATTCAAATATCTCAATTTCAAATTGAGCTTAAGAATACTAATTTTTCCAATCTCATTTATGCTAATATAATATAATTTCTAACATATTTTGAATATGTGTTTATTTATTAGTCATATGAAATGAATTATTTAATGATATTATTGTAATATTGTTAATTGAATAATAAGAGTATAAGTTGGTTAATTTTAAACAAAATACATTTTTATCAATAATGAATGGAAGTTAGAGATTGCTTGCTTATTTTAATTGAAAAGAAATTTATATTAAATAGATTTTTATTTAAGATAACAAAAACAAGAAATGCTGCTATTTATGGTTTTTTGTATCTTAGAAGACTTTTGATGAAATTTATACTTTGAATAAACCATTTTTAGTATGTCCTTGTAAAATATTATAAACTGAATATAATATTAATATATTTATTTTGTTTTACGTATCATATTGATTATGTTTTATAAGAAAAAAAATTAAATATTAATTTAAATTATTAATGAAATAAAAAAATTAAAAATAATTCAAATTATATTATTTCCAAGAATCATTCCATCAAGAAAATAGCACATTTGCAATAGTAATTGGATTAGGAGTGGAACAAATGGATATAAATAAATAGATTGGAATTAATTTGTCTTAATCCTTTAAAAATGGAGACACAATGTTAATGAGATCTATCGATATTAATGATGAAGAATTAAGAAAAATATTATAAGAGTATTTGACTGAGGAAGAATAAAAATAATATGTTTTTGAGAGACCAGAAGAATATTTTGATTAATTCAATATATTTAAACATTTAGTCAAGGAATAGGTTTATCTAGCTATTCTTCCAAGAGGATAATTTGTTTTATATTAGAAAAATGATAAAATTGATAAAATTAATTTGGATGATTCAATAGCTAGTATAAGAGAACACTTGTAATAGTTCAAAGAATTGGATTAAACCCAAAAGGAGTTCCATTTGCATAGAATTCTATATAATATGAAGGAATAAATAGATGGGGAATTACCTTAATTGGGATTAGAGAAAAAGTAAAAGGAATGTAATACTATGATTTTAATTAAATTAGTTAAGAATGCGGAAGAAAAATTAGAATATGAAGTTGAGATGAGACAATATACGGGGAAAGCTTTATTTAGCATTCCGACATTTGATAAGACATTAGTTCATTACAATTGGGATAATATGTAATAAATTCCCTAAAAATTGTTATTTTAATAGTGAATTGTTAATTTATATACAAATATTAAGAATTTAGAAATTCATTAAAAAAAACAAAATCTAAATAAATGGGGTATTTGAATGATAAAGGAGTAACTTATGATTACTTTGAATCTTTGGCATTCTAAAAGACGTTGAAAGAAAAAGGAATAGTGTAATTTTTGAGTTTGTTGAAAATCTTTGGGAAATTCCAATTACATGAACATTAATTTGAACATCTCTCTGATCCTAATGTGAAATAGGTAGAGACCAAGATGTAGTTGTTTTGGGGTGATGAATTTGAAGGACACGTGATAAAGTTGTATGATGACAAGAAGTTGGCTCTCTTGAACCCCAATACAGGTAAAAATAATATAAATAAACATAGGTGGTTTATTTTAAAGTTTGGGTGAAGAACAATAGAAGAAGTTGCCATTTGTAATATTGCCAGAATTTGGAGCTTGGATGATTGAATTGACACCAAACAAGCCATATCAATGCATGTGCTTCAATTTTGATCAAGTCTTAATAAATATGAGAAAGAGAATCCAAACACTCTAGAGTTACCTACCATAAGGAAATCAATATGTACTTATCCCAGTCTATCCGATGTTGGGAGTTGGTAGATTTACAACAACAGTCGAGAGTGATTTGACTGCTTCAATGATTGAGAAGATCAGAAGTCAGACTAGTTACATTGAGGGAACTCCAACTTTGTAATAAGATGAAAAGTAGTTCCAAAATGAAAAATTGATCTAGCCAGCAACACCATATAAAGAATTACCAGTGGAACCTATTTGTAATTACTTCTCTTAGAGTATATACTTTGATGACAGAATCATTAATCCTCATCCAAGATACTCAACTTTAGCTTAGAATATTAGATTAAGAAGAGGATCAAAGGTAGAAATAAAAATACCGTTGTTCATTGATTAAAATACAAAAATAGAATAGAGTGAATACGAACCAAATCCAGGGTATTTCTATTATTTTATTATTGTTAGATATATAACAATGGATCATATGGGATTTGGAATGGGAAATTGTGCACTCCAAACTACTTATTTGAGTATTGATATAGATCATGCCAGATTATTGTATGATCAATTAGCTGTTTTGGCTCCTTTGTTCGCAGCTTTGACAGCAGGTAGTCCAATTTATAAAGGAAAATTATCGAATTGGGACACTAAATGGGATTGTTTGGAAATGTCAGTTGATTGTAGAAGTGAAAATGAAAGAAATCCTTAACATCCCAATCATATTCCTAAATCAAGATATTCATCAATTTCATATTTCATTTCTAATGATAAAATGAACTTAGAAGAATACAACGATTTAAACTTTCCAGCGAATGAGGAAATCATGAAATTTGCTAAATAAAAAGCATCAGAAATGAACATACCACTTGATGACAAATTACTTAGACACTTGGGAATACTATTCTTGAGAGACAACATGGTTATGTTTAAGGATAAAATACATATTGATGATAACACAGCTCACTTTGAAGCCATCTAATCAAGTAATTGGAATTCTGTCAGATTTAAACCACCTCCTTCTTATAATTCAAAAATTGGATGGAGGGTAGAATTCAGAACTATGGAAATTTAATTGACTGCAGAAGAAAATGCTGCATGGTCTATCATGATACTAATGATTGTTCGATTGTTCTTTACAGTAATTTATTTATTCTATCTTTTTAGAACTATATTCCAGTCAACTTTTATATGCCCTTGTCCCTTGTTGATGAAAATATGAGAAGATCAAAGGAGAAAGGAGCTATTTTAAATTAAAAATTCTACTTTAGAACCAACTTCTAAGATTATGGTCCAGCCACTATTGAGGAGTTATCTTTACAAGAAATATTTTTTGGTAAATAAGATGGATCTTTCATTGGAATTATAGGATTAATTCATCAAAATAGAAATGTGGTTAATAAATAGCAGTGTGCATAGAAGGAAGAGCACATTTACTTAAAAAATAAAACACTTCAAGATGAAGTCATTGAGTTTGTAAGAAACAAGGTTAATGGGAATACTAAAACACTTGCTTCATGGATGAGAGATTTTGTTACTTCACATCAGAATTATAATTAGGATTCCATTGTATCTCATGAAATCAATTATGATCTCATCAAAACTCTCACTGCTATTAAAGATAGACAAAAAGAGGATCCACACTTTCCCTTAATATTTAGTATGTGATTTTAAATTTTAAACTCCATATTTGATTCTTTATAATCATTTTCATATTAACAAAATTGGAATTCCAATAATTTAAGATTGCGATTGAATATTGGCAAAATCATTTTGCATCAATGATTTCTCGTTTATTCTTCCATAAAATGTTCCTTATGGAAGTGTCATTTCAAAAAGAGAATTTCTATCCTCATGAATTAATTTATCTTGTTCTACTAACTCTACTCTCGTTATAATATGCTCTTAAGATAATGGATGTCTAAATTGCCAATATATTTACATCATCACAATCAGCTCATCTTTTAGCTTTTTTGGCTCTATTTTGTGTACTTTTTTGGAAATTGCCAAAACAGGTTTATTGATTTCTTATTTGATATCATAAACTTTATTTATATATCTAACATCAAGTAGATAATCATAAGCAGCTACTATTGAAATAAGACTTCCAATAATGTATGCTTTGGATTATAATTTCAACGCAAAAGTATTCATCTCTTATATTATAAATATTGGAATTAAAAATAATTGAGGATAATACTAATAATTATGGAAATTGTTTACAATATTATTTAAATGCAAATTTCTGAATTTTGAATACTATTTCAAAACTTTAATATTATAGTACTAAATTTAACATTTATCGAGTTGATACTCAAAACAATTAATTAATTGTTTGTATACATAAATTGATTAAAATAGTTTTATATAATACTAATGATACCATAAAAATAAACGTATAATAGGTTTAGTAATTCAAATCATTTTTACACATTTGAATATCTTGAGTTTCTTGAGGAGTTTTATGGTTTTTTATTAGAAATTCTCCAAACAAATACTTAACATTCATCTAATTTTACTAATTCAACCGGAGGTTTGATACAATTACTTTTTTTTACTTCGTATGATATATGACGAATTGAATTTTCGCTATTGTCTAAGTACCTTTGATTAGAATATTGCTTCAAAATTGGATCTTCCAATGTTTTAAGAACCTTCTTATATCGTTCGCTTTCGCAACTTTTGTTTATTATTTGAGGAAGAATAAATCGATTCATCCTTTTTAATTCAAAATTAGTGGTTCTTATCTATTTCTACAATTTCAGGATTAAATTATCTACACCTGTTTCATAATGCTTAAACATATTAATTGTAATATTATATTATAATTTTGTCGTAAAAAGAGATATTCATAATGCTCAGAAAGGTGTTTGAACACTATCTTGGCTTTAAATAGTCCAGCCACTTACTTTCCTAATTAGTTAAATCTACTTGTCAATCTTTTCATTCCTAATTTTATTAGTACTTTTTGTTTGTTCGCATTGATAACTCGTTTTATTTAAGCTTCTTAGGGTGGGACTTGCATATTCTGTTTGCATATTTTGATGATGAGAAAGATAATTCTATATGCTCTTACTTTAAGTATGCTATATAGATTCTAATACTCTAGGTTTCTGAATGAAAAATTGTCTTTCAGTCAAATTAGTGTTGCTGTTTTGTTTCTGATGATCCACAACGAGCAATTAGGTTGACAATTAAAACTCCATAGAGGGGATGTTTTTTCGAATCCTCAAAGGCGAATTTCGCTCAGATTAGATTTCTGTTTTTTTCTTATTATGTTCAACAATTCTATCTATAAAATTATATTAATTAGGCGTAACTTAAGTTTTATTTCGAGTGATTTTATTTAATCTTAAAAGTTTAGAAACAATAGATCCACTATGATAATTGGGTTCTTAGTTTGAAGTGAGAAGTACCTGTGGTGAATGATTTTTTTCTTCCTTTTTTTCTTATCCAGTTGTTTTTATATATTTTATCTAACTATTGCTTCTCTCCTTTGAACGTATTACTTCCAAGATCTGACGTATCGTAGTGATCGAGGGTTGATTTAATTTATTTGATTGAATATCAGGTTATTTTTGTCTTTAGACGAGATAATGATTAGCTTTCCTGTAATTCTCCTGATAATACATTTAATTAATCAATAATAATAATTAAATAATAAGGTTTGAATTATGTTTTACAAATATCATTCATGAATACTGAGAGTATATGCTGACGCTTTATAATGTTAGTAGGAATACAATTCCTTGATTTCAGGTTAAGATAGATTATTTTCATTTTTTTTCAATCCTTATTTTTAGATTATTTACGGCAACCTATTAATTTATCTTGGCTTAAAGAATGCATCTTTAGCTCCAGTTAACTTAAACTTTCTCTCATTATTATTATTTATGATCGACGGATTAAAGTGTTTATTTCCTAACTTGATCTTAGGTAAAACCAATTTAGGTTGATCATCTTCAATTTAAGTTAGCACTCTTCTTCTAGTATTGTTAAATTAAGGAGTTTCCATATCATCTAGAGATATCGTTTTGCTCTCCTCATATAGACTGGAGACTTTCGCTCTTTTCGGAATCATCTTACTTATTTTATATTTTATATTATTATTTATATCTAAAATTTTTGATGGCTAATGCATTCTCATTATTTTTGTCTTAAAATTTTTAGTTTCCAATCTAAAAAGTATAAGTTCCATTCTCTCATTACAGGATTTAAATTAAATTCACTCCTTATTAAGTATGTAAGAGATTATTAATTAATTTGCAGCCATTTAAAAACATAATTAATTATTTTAATGATGACAATAATAATATCATCTTCATCATTTTTATTAATACTTAATTAGATCTCCTATATAGAGGATATTCTAATTAGTTTTCATTAGCTAAATTAATTGAACTTTGTTCTACTCGCTCATTTAAGAATTATGACTATTAAATTTAATCATTTTTTTGATAAATTAAATTTGAGTTTTCAATTTTCAATTAATTTTTTTCTAGTTCCAACAACATTGTGATTATTATCAATCTCATAAATCTAATCAATAGGAAATTAAATTAAACTGTAAAAAATGTTTCAGTATATAATTTAAAAATTAACCAAAATATAATATAATTTAATTCATTGAACTCGTCTAAAGATAGAGAATCTTATTGTTACTTCTTCCATAGTTAAAGAATACAGGTTCATTTATAATATAACAAAAATAATTAAAATACACATTGCATTATATATATTATTTATCAATCTAATTTTTCTGATTTCCTCAACGCTAAAAGTGCATAGTTTCCAACAACTACTAAGGGTACACTTAGGACTCCTAAAACTGATACGGTTTCAATCAAATTTAATTTAATCCAAAATAAGGTTAGAACAACAAATAGCCCTATGATTAAAGCAATAAACAAATAAACAATGTTTGAATTGTTCTTAGGCAATTTCTCAAAACTTAGATTTAAATTTGAGATGATTCTGAGGAAAAATATGAAAGCAATAACAATAATTGCGACAAAGAAGGAAACAAACTAGAATATATAATAGGTAACTTACAAAGAATGGAATTTCAGGTTCCTCTTGGCTGAATTGATGGACGATTTCCTAAGGCAATTTATAATGGCCGTCACTTTAGAAGGTAGTTTAAGCTTAAAACTTAGTATCTATTTTGAGGAAACTCCATCTTTTAGGCAATACATTTGAATCAGCCAGAAGCAATTCAACTTAATAGATTGCATTGAGTGGTGTAACATGATCAGGGTCTCCGAAATCAATAATACCATAAAATATCTTTCTTTTGGTATCATACTCAGCAAAGACTTAGGTGGTAGCAGAGGGATATTTGGGATGAACAAGTCTGATGGCAACTTATGATTTAACATGATTTTTAGTCTACTTAAATTTGATGATTACTTTGATGATGACATGTAGGAAACTCTTTTCATTAGCATTTAGAGTGGCAGGATACACTTCTCCACTTTCAACACTGTGATGGAAATTGGGTTTTGAAGTCTTAGAATCAACAACATCAAACATGACTTCCTCAATCTCAATCTCTTGTAATACCTTAATAGTGTGTTTAAACTTAATGTTTAATAAGTAATCTTACAACGTAATTGGGGAAATGCAATTCAAAGGGAAGTGAGCCAACTGTTGAAACCTCAAAATAGCCACTAAATTCTTTTGATTTTATTGGAGTATATGTGTAATTCTCCTTTTGACTTTCAATGAAAGCTGAGACTTCTGTAGGTTAGACCTTTTCTCCTTTGAAGTTAACGAACTTAACATTGATTTGGGCTTTTCCCTTATTCACCAGGTAATAGTCTTAGAAAATGGGATGGACGATGGAGTTGACTTGGCTCAATGAGAATAACTTTGTAATCCAATACTATTCATCAATAGATCCTAAGACTTGGGTTCTTTAGAAGAGGAAGTTGATAATAGTTTATTGGTAGATCTGACTTTAGAGGAGGTCTTAGAGTTTGGGATGGAGATTGGTGATGTTGAAAGTAAAAAATGAGTATAATATTGAGGCAGTGACTGCTGCTGAATTATCTCTATCCAATATTCCGATGACTCCGTCGTACATTTCTTAGAAGTTAAAGATGGCTTCTTGGATTGCCTAATGGACCTTGGGGGTGTCATTGTGAATAGTGTTGCAAATAGTGGCAAGATGATATACTTGAGCTGCTGTTCTATATGAGTCATCTTATTTTTTAAGCTATGGCTTGGCTGCACCTCCAGCTGTGATAAAATACTCTAATTATGGACATTACCCGTTCAGAAGGGAATTATAGTAAATTGATTCGAAATCATCTTAATCAATCTATGGTAAGTCGATGTTGTAGTCCACCTGACATTCTTCCAAAAATGATGAGGCAAGCTTTGTATAATATGCATCTTAGGCTGTTGTTAAAGTATACTCTTTCAACCAAGTACAAACCTTATTAGATTAAATTTCCATACTTGATCTTGATCCACGTCAGCCTGTAAATCAGAAGCTATTGACAATTAGTATGCTAATTTTTTGAGGGATTCAGGTTTGGTCACAAATAGGTTTTGCTTGTATTTGGGAAATGCAAAAACTGTGGTCAATAAGAGTATTGCAATGATCATTAATTAAATTTATATGGAATCTATTAATCTAAAGAAATGAAGATCCTTTACATGTTTATCGGATACAATTTAATATTAATCTCCCCTGTTGTTTTCCAAAAGAAGGGACTTGATAAAACCATTTTGGATTGAGAATCCAATATCAGAATTAGTTCTATCAATTTAGACTCTTAATTTACTTGCAAAGGAGAACAACTGCAATGTAGTAACCAATAGAGCTTGCAAATTAATAGAATATAAATATATATCATTCTTGTTGTTATTGTAATTCTGCTTCCCTTCTTTCTTGTTCCCTCCTTCTTTCATCATCACTGTCTGGTTCCAATTCATCAGGTTATTCTCTGGGATTGGGTTCAGGTATTTCATCGATATCTTCAGGTTCTTCTTGAACATCATTTGGAGCAAGAGGATTAAATGAGTTTTATTAATTCTTATTTCCATATCCAAAATAAATGCTAATGAAATCACTTGACTATGATAGTATTTCATGCTAATAAATACATTACTAACAGTAATTGCACCAGGCCATAAATAATTTCTTAATAATACTATTTAATAACTCAAAGGTAATTCTTCCTAATTAGTATATTGTTGTGTTTCTCCAAAAATCTTAATGTTCCAATTTCCTTCATTTTATTCAAAAGCTACAACTTAATCATATGATTACGTTTGTCATCCTTAATGGACTTTAATCTTTCAAGTTCTGGATCAGCCTCCTTCATCTAATTAAGCTCTTCTTCCTTTAGAGAAGGATCTTCATAAAATGTGATCCTTCCTTGCTTTAAAATATTTGGAGGCAAGTGAACCCAGCCATCCATAGTGGATAGCTCTGCTGATTCTGGCATTTTGAATTCGTCTTCAAAAGTGATTTATTTAGTATCTTCGTCATATCTGTATAACCCTTTGGGTGCTAATAGATTGGCATGAGTTATTCTCAAAATTTAGGCTTTGAGCAAATGCTTTTCCTTTCCATCGAATCGAGGATACTGACTAATTTCTTTATTTAAATTTCCACTAAACACATAAGTGATATATCGACTAGCTTCCATTTATTTACGGGTAACCTAAGGCAGTAGTGCCCAATCCTCCAGTACTATTTGACTTTATTATAATTGTTACAGTCCTGAGTAACATAATGAACATATTCATTAAGTTTTTCATCGCAATCAGGAGGTTGAGGCTCCTTATATGATTTAGACAATAAAACTTCAATGACATAGTAGTCTCTCTCTTATGCAAAGAGTTTTCCCCAAAACCTAATATTAACAATGTTAGCATCTCTGATGGCAATGGATTTAAGAGACTGTTGGATAAGATAAGCATCATCGTCTGTGAATCCATAACCAACATTATTCAATAGAGCATTAAGTTTTAGGAAGTTCTGGACTGTGGCATTGATTACTTTGGCTTTTATTTGCATAAGTTACATTTATTTTTTACAATACTCTTACCATGGGAATATTTGATCTTGTAGATTATTAACCTGTTCAGCAGTTTTAAGTGGTATATGATAAAATCGGTTCTCTTTGATGAAATTGCTCAGATCTTCGAAATCAGACAAACCTAAGATAATGGTGGATGGGGTACTTTATGCCTTGTAGTATTTATTCTCTTGCATTTAGTAATAGATTTCACAGAAATGATTGTAGAGTGTTTTGCCTTTGTAATTAGAATCTAATATTTTTTATAATTGAACATCCATTATCCCAATCTGAATGATAATTAAATTTAAATAAAATAAAAATGCAATACTTAGACAATTATCTGCAATCCAAAGGTGGATATGACTATACAAATGTCAAGAGGTACAGAATTGATTAATTGCAATCTAAGAAATGAATTGATGAAGGCCTAAGGATTCAAAGAGATGCCATTCACAAAAACAGGTACAACAATAGTAGGTGTCATTTTTGATGGCGGTGTGGTGATGGCAGCAGATACAAGAGCAACTGCTGGATCAATAGTAGCAGACAAAAATTGTGAGAAATTGCATCCCTTGGCTCCCAACATCTGGGCTGCAGGAGCAGGTACAGCTGCAGATTTACATCATTAATGTGCTCACTTTAATGCTAAACTCAAACTTCAGAGACTCAATTTGAATAGGTAGAGTAGAGTCAATGAGGTGATTACTAAGTTGACTGCAAAACTCTTTCCTTATAGAGGTCATATTGGTGTTGCTCTTATCATTGGTGGAATCGACTCAAATGGACCATAATTGGCTTCAGTCTCCCCTCATGGAAAGTAAAGGATTGCACCTAATCTATTAGTTATGTCTATCATCCATTTTAATCTATGGGTAGTGGGTCTCTTGCAGCTCTGGGAATTCTAGAAGCCAAGTTCTAAGACGGCCTTACCAAGCAATAAGCCATTGATCTTGCCATCGAGGCAATTGAGGCTGGAATTTTCCATGATATGGGGTATTTTTGGGATTGTATTAGTTTAGATCAGGCAGCAATGTTGATGTAGTTGCAATTACTAAGGAGGGAGTCGATTATAGAAGAAATATCAGATAATACAATGCCAAATCCCATCAGAAACAAATACCTTATCATTTCCCAGCCAATAATACACGTATAGTGATCTATTTGAATTTTAGCTGCTTTAAAGAAATATGAATTTAATTTTGAAAAACAAGAACTCAGTGAAGTCGGATAGGAGATGGAAATAGTTGAGTGATATATCACAATATAATATAACATATTCATTTGTATTTCGTAAAAATACTTATTTGATTGAAATTATTTAATTAATGGATAAACAAGATTATTATCAAGTCTTGGGAGTAGAGAAAAATGCCACCACTGAGGAGATTAAGAGTGCTTACAGAAAGTTGGCTTTGGTAGGAATTATCATAGTTATATAGATAGAAGTGGCATCCAGATAAGAACCCTGATAATCAGGAGACCGCAAAGAAGCAATTTTAATTGATTTTACAAGCCTATACAGGTTTAATTTAAATTTTGATCAATAGTTCTCTGTGATAGTCAGAAAAGAGCAAACTATGATAAATTTGGGACTGCTGATGGTGAAGAACAAATGAATTTTGATTTTGATCATTTTTATGCTCAAGATTTTGAGTCTATGATGAACTTCATGATGGGAGATGCTTTTATGAAAATGTTTACCAATATTGGCAAACCAGGAAGAGGGAAACACAAATTCAAAATACCCTCTTCCTTTATTTTCAAATAAGCATAACCATAAAAGAAGCCACAAAAAAAAGAAGAAGAAGATGATTGGGAAACTGAAGAAGAAGTTGATGAAGATGATGATTGGAAGGATGTAGACGAAGATGATGATGATAAAAATGATAACGATAACGATGAATTCTAATCAGACAGTGATGATGATCTCACTTAAACTGAAAATTTGTTTATGATGCCCATGTTTATAGAGGAAAATATTAAGGACACTGATAGTAATATATCTGAATTCTATTTTTAGGTAACAAGTTCAAGTGTAAATTTGATGGTTAGATATTGAAAGAATAAACCTTAGTGTAACATTTCGAGAAGAACCATAAAAAAGAATTTGCTGCTTGGAGCAAAAAAAAGCATTTTAAATGATTAATTAATAAATACATTATTTTTAGAAATGAAAAATCGATTCCTACAACTTAAACAAAAACTTAATAATTGGAAGTGGATTGAATGCCAAGTAACTCTTCATTCTCAAACTACCTAATAAGAATCCTATCGTCTTCTTGAAACCAACTACAAAATTATGTAAGACTGTACAGTAGTTGAGGAATCACTACAATTCAATATCCAAATGCAGAAATCTTTTAATTTCTCCAAACGAATTGGATGGAATTGGCACAAAAGTTGGAAACTCCCAGAGATCATCGTTAAACCCATCCTAAATAGCTACAAATTATATACGAAAGGTCTCAGATGTAGATTAATTTGTGGCTATGTCGAGGATGTATCTACAATTAAACAAGTTGACTTGGAAGGCAACACAGAAAAACTCTATAACGATGAAATCCAAGGTTTTTAATTCGAAAACATCAAGTTCAGTTCAACTTCATACAAGCTGGAGGTTTTTACTTATCAATAATTCTAGGGTGTCCATTTTCATGTCATTATTGAGATCTACAGAAGGGATGATATCTTCGAAAGCGAGTTAACCATTAAATCAGTGATCTCTCCTCCAATATTTGTTGACTCCAGAAAGGCTGCCAGAAATACCAAGAGGTTCGATTACTAGAAAATAATGTCGCTTATCCAACCTTTTCATCCTTTCTCTCTCAAGAAATAACTTATCGTTCGATCCGATAAGTCAAAAATACTAAAAATTGAAGACACTCTTGAAGGACTTAACAATTATTTGATGGCCCAGAATATCAGGAATAAGTGCAGGCATCCCTACTTTCTAACTTTAAAATTTAGATCAGTCTTCGATCTCTATTATAATTCCAATCTATACTCTACACAATTGAGTTTGGAACAATTGCTTGTTAAGATTTAACAATGTTTAGTCGATAGTTTAAATTCAAATTAGAATCAGTAAGTCTTGTTGTTAAGGATGAAATATACAAATTATAGTGAACTTGATATGGGATTCTTTAGTAATAATTTGAGTCAATTATAAAATAATGTAATTCAAGTTGTTGCTGGTTCTTAAATTGACAAACATTGGGTGAAAATTAATTCAAATGAGTTGAATACTATCTATACAGAAAAGTACTCCATTTTTCCAAGAGTCTCCAATTCAGATTAAGTGTAAATGAAACAATATTTTGATATCTCCTCTGATGAAAGTGACTCCGAAGTTTGTTGTTAAAATGATGTAATCTTTATAAATATAATGATAGGAATAAATTGAATTGGGAAAGTAATAAAATTTACAGGAATTTTATGAAACAAAAATTGAAATTCAAAAAAAGAAAGTTTGTCTATGAATTAAGATAAATTACATTTTTTTAATCATAAATTAAGTTCTTCAATCCCTTCTTATAAATAGAACTTCATTTGTATAAAAATAACTGATATAAATTACTTACCTACAAAGATCATATTCCATCAAAATAATTAATTTATTAGATAAGATTCAAAAACGGATTCAAATTAATCCATTTTTATATTAGATTTCCACATCAACTAGTATTAATCTCTAAAATTTAATTGAATATAGATTATTAAATTTTATATCTTGTTTTTTTTTAATTTGTTCATGTAATTTTACTCCATTCAAATAATAAAATTTGGATTAGGCTTAATTTAGAATTAACTTATAACTCCCTAGTCTAGTTTCAGATCTCAACGAAATGATTAATGTTTATTTACTATCCAAACCTTTAAAATGATGAATTCGATTTATTTTTATTATATATATTATGTTTTATTTGTATATATATATTCTATTTATATCTTAATTTCAAGTAATATCATCATAATTGCATTATATATAAAATTAAATAATTATTATTCAATGGGTGGGTGCGTAGGTAAGCCATAAAAAAGAAGCAAAAAACCTTACGTTTTACCTAAAACATTAGAATAGCAATGTATAACATGTATCTGAGTTAGTTAATACTATTGAAATTGATTTACTTTATCTGATATATTAGGACTTAGCCTCAAGAAACGTAGAAAATTTAGTCAACAAGACTGCTTTTACAGATTTCTTCACAATGATTGGGTTGTGGGGTGAACTTGTTTTTGATTATTTTAACTAAGAGAACCATAGCCTATTAAATTTTGAGCAATTTCTTAAAGGAGTTGTCCATTATATCAAATGTGATGAAGACTAAAAAATTTAGCATCTCTTTAAATTATATGATTTAGATAAATAAGGATTGATTCGAAAATCTGAGTTTCTTCAGATGGTAAAAATAACAATAATAAATTAGATATAAAATTATCCAAGAGATGACTTAATAAAATTACTTGATGACCCTATGTTCTTGGAGGATCTGAAAATTCTCAAGTATTATGAGACTAAGGAGATGATTAATCAGAAAAAAAATTAACCCAAAAGAGCAGATGAATAAGAGTTTACAGAATCAGGTAATCAAAATTAACATGATATTAGTCCACGCAATATAGCGAAAAAACTCCATGAGTGGAGAGATGCAATCTATATAAGGGGCTTAATCAGGGGAATCTGCCATTGGATCGTAAAGTAATTTACCAGCATTCAATGAACAAAGTGTTGTTATGATGTTCCCAAATGAAAGCATGATTGGACCTACTGGAGTTCCCATGGGACAATTTGGTTAGAACATTACCTTCAATATTAATGGAAAATTGGTTGAATTAAAAAGAGTCAATATTAATTACTTAGTTCATAAATATGTGAATATGATCTACAAACATAAAGCTAAAAATGATTAAGGGTATATTTATATAATTTATAATTTAGTTTATCACTTGAGGATTTCAAATCTTTTGTTAAATTACATCCAAAGATTTTTGAAGGCCTTTATAAAGCTTTCAATTTTGATGTATGGGGTTTTGATACTATTGCCTCTGTTCCACGTATGATGATGACACCAAAAGATCTTGAAGGGGAGGTTAAAAAAATAACCAAAAAGAATCCAAAAGTTAGCAATCCAAGATATTTTAAATTAATGTAGAGGTTCTGCTTATCTTTTAAGACTAAAGATTCGACTTTGCCTTCAAGTAAACAATAGTATTGAGATTTTAGGGATCTTTTGCCTTGATGGCTTAACAATACAAGAAAAAGTAAACAACTAAGAATAACAATATGGATTTGAAGTGTCTCATAAAGATAAACTATATTAAACCAGAACATATATGTGTTAGGATTTCGAAGATTATAAAAGGTGGACTAACAGTTTATAAATGTTTTAAAAGTATTAAATTTTTCAATCTTTTTGAGCCTCTGTGAATGACTATTATTCAATTCTTTAGAAGATTGGAGAAGGCAAATTTTCAATTGTTTATCTTTGTGAATGCAAAAAGGATAGATAAACATTGGCTATAAAAATTATTGAAAAGTTTAAATTGTCTAAATCTGAAAAATTAATGCTTGCGTAATTTTAGTTTTTAGTTATAGTCATGAGGTAGAAATCATGAAATTGCTTAATCATTCTTGTATTGTTCGTTTCCATGAAATTATAGAAACAAAAACACATTTAAATATCATTACTGAGGTTGTAAGGGATGGAGATCTATTTGATTACATTATTAAAAATGAAAATATTAATGAGCAAGAGGCATCCTTAATTATGAGTTAACTTTTTGATACTCTAAATTATATTCATAGTGTTGGCATTGTTCATAGAGATTTAAAACCAGAAAATATTATGATTGTTTTGGATGCTACAAAAAAAAATGTTAAGTAGGTCAAAATTATTGATTTTGGCTTTGCTAATTTTTTAACAAACATTTAAACTAAAGAAGGAGAAGCCCTTTGTGGGACTACTAATTATCTTGCACCTGAAAGTTTGGAATAAAAAAAAATAGACTTTAAAGTTGATAATTTTGCTTTGGGTGTTATCCTATATTTTCTACTTTCAGGTACTTAAAATATTAACGTAAAATAGGTTACTTACCATTTGATTCAGAATTTCCAGAGGATATTATTAAAAATATTATTGAATGCAAATATGATCTGCAAGAAGAGTTTTGGTAATAGATTTCAGATGATGCAAGAGATTTAATAAAGAAACTATTGATGAAAGAGCCAGATGAAAGAATCTCTATGTAATCGGCTTTGGAGCATCCATGGATTAAAGTATTAATTTAAAATTATATAGAATCGAAATCAATTACCAACTAAAAAGGCTTAGAGAGTTAAAAATAGATTAGGGTTGTTTTGATTGATGATTTGAAACAAAATGTTTATATGATATAATTATATATTTCATTGAGTATTAAACTTATGGAAATATTCTCTTACTTAAATTCTAATTGTTCTTTATAATTATAACATATAGGATTTAAAATGTGAGTTAATACATTTTAATATACTTATCAATCATTTTTAATATCATCTTTAAATACTTTTAATTAATTTAAATAGAAACATGAATACTATTTAAGAAATTTTACCTTCTTATGACATGTATCACCTCCCAATCTAATTTTTATTAAGATCTGGGGGTGGTATTATGAATATTTATAGGATTACTAAAGGTTGATAATAATTTCATAATAAAAGAATATTTAAATGTAATATATTTTCATAAGAGACTATGAGAGCTTTTATTAGTCCACCCCTTAGGCTCAAATTCTAGATCTTTTGATAAGGTTTTTGATTATTGTTGTAATTTTAATTAAGTGATGGTTTTCTTTTGACATGAATTTTTATATCTCTCTGAATACCTTTTGGATTAGAAATCTTTTGAAAGGTCTTTCAGAAATGCCGTTTTCTCTTCATATTTTAACTTATATGGTAGAAGACTTCTTATGGCTATATTTTTTTTTTTATTCCAGATATAATAGTTCTCTGGAATCTCACAACTGTATATTATAGGCAACTTACACACAAAATTTTAATTTCTCCTTTCTAAACTCAAGCTGATTTATTATATTTTTTCAACATTATTTATTTCACATAGTGAGGAAAATGGCTGGTTTTCATTTTACTATTTTTCTGGTTAAGTCTTCACTTTGTTTGATGGGTAGCCCGATATTTTTATTTTAGATTGAGGAAATTTGTACGCCATTATATTCCCATCATAATGATAATTTCTAATATTTATTTACATTAGAATTTGAATAATAATGATAATTAAGTATACTCATAGAAACGATTATTTAATTATCAATTTCGAAGAAAGATATGAACCTCTAGTAGAATATATGTAGATCACACTTTAAGTAAAAATTTTGTAGAATACTATAAAATAAATAATTGAAATGATTATTCTATTATTAAAAAAGATATAAATATTTAATTTCTTTTAAGGATAATATTATAAAATCATTATAGAACATCTTAAATTGCATTTATCAAGAAATGGTGAAGTATACTTATGTATTAGAATAAACAGGTAAAGATTTATAAATTACCAATATAAATATTTGAGAAAAGTAAAGAATTTAGTATTTATTTAGAATAAAATCAGGTTAAAATATTAAATCTTACTGATTTTCTTTTGATTCTATTAAATTGTTTTATGATATTTCTAGTCTCGAGAAATTAGGCTTCAATATCTTGTGCTTCCTAATAAATTAATCATTCATACTGTTTTCTTAAGCTAAACTCTAAAGTCAGTGCTTTTGACTCTTTTATTCACTTCATTTTAAACTTTAATTGGTGTTGAATGAATTTTCTTATTTATTGAGATTTCTTAAGGGCTTGGGGTAATATTGTTTTATTTTGAACGAATCTAAGATTTATTATAGTTAGTTGGGAATATGATAGGTTTCCAGGATTATAATGAATCCCTTTGGATTTCCTTAAATTTCTTTCTAATCTCAAGATCATTAACAACTTTAGGAATAGATTATGTATGCGATCTTTTAAGCCAATCATAATTATGATTTTGTTTTAAATTGAATATTGTAGATTGCTATTCTTCCAAGAATTTGATTTTTTCAACGATGAGCGAGAGATCAAATAAGGAATTAAGATTTTATTTTGATTTATTCATAATATAAATTTCTATTAATAATTTTTTATAATTTGGATGCAAATTTTTGGAACTTTTTGTATTCAAATTTCTAATTCATTGTACATTTAATATTATAAAACAATAGATGAAATCAACTGGAGAAAAGTATTAGAAATAACTAAATTAAAGATCTCCAGAAAAGATATTGTCAAAGAGAAATAATAATGGTTAATTGTAATACTTAATAAAATGGAAGAATCATGAGGAGCCAACTTGGGAATTTGAAGAATATATTCGAAATTAAATTTAAAATTTACTAACTAGTGAATTAGAATAAAAAACTCATTAAAATGAAAAATAAGTTGAGCCATTAAAAAATTTATAAAGAACTGTTCAACAGTCTTTTAAACATCCCAATTGTTCAGAGGAGCTACTTTTTAATAAACAGAGGGAGATGACCTAAAAATATTGTAATGCATATCCATAATCTGGAGATGAAATAGATAGTGTTCAATTGATTTTGACATAAGAGGACTGCATATTTGAAATAAAATGGAAATCTAGGTCTGATGGATTATAACCTATATCTGATTTTTATCAATATGATTAATTCAAAGTAGTTGCTCCAATGCTATTCATGGATTTTTTAGAGATTTGTATTTTAGGATTTGAGAAGAATTCAGATATATAGTTTATAGCACCTGGCAAAGACAATATAGAACGATCTTAGTTGATAAAAAGAATCTTATTGTAGAATTCAAAATATGTGGATACTAATAAAAATTAATTAGAAGAAGTTAAAGTAGACGAATAAACTACTTAAGTTAAGAAAAAGAATGTTACATCAAAGAAAAACACTAAAATAACATTTATGCAGTCAGACTAAAAATAGAAATAGCTAATTTAACCATAAAGCAGTACAGAACTATAATAGTAGAATCAAGAATAATAACAGAATGAAAATTAATCTTAATAAAACAATAATTAGAGGGATGAAAAATTATTGGAAGATAAATAACCTGAATAATAATAGGTAGAATAAAAAGAGTAGAATGTGGTGGATTAGAATTAAAATTAAAACTATGAAGAGTAGATCGAGTAGGAATCAATATCTTTAGAATAATAATAAGAAGAATGATTATTTAAGTATGGACTTTATTTAAGATATTATATAAGTCATAATATTATTCTTTATTTGACTTCTGTTTCCATGATTTCTAGCAACTTAATTTCAAGAGTTTGATTTCTCTTTAATAACTATTCGATTTGAGTTTTTAATCTTTTGATTTCTTCAACCTTAGATTAGAGATCTTTATCTTTTCTCTGATAAGCAATAACTAAATATAAAATAGGGAAGTACTTGATTATTCAAATTTCCATTTGAGATCTGAGTAATCTTGTTGTTTGACAACATTATCTGAGTAGTTGATTTGCTTAAAGGATTAGATCAATTCTTCTAACTCTTAAATTTTTTATCGTTATTGATTATACAACAATTCATAAGGTTAGAATGAGTTTCTTTATTATTAAACTTCTTATTGCAATGATACAAAATGTTGTTCTTTGCTTAACAATTTGAGTTGTAATTTTTCATTCTCTGATTTAAGAATGTCTCTTTAACTAGTGATGGATTTATTTTAGGATTCAAGATTGGCAATCATTTATTCTAGATTTTAGATGGTAGTTTTTTCGCATTTTTTGTGTAAGAGTTCATTTTGTAATTTTTCGTTGCTTGATTAAAGTGAAATAATCTGTTATCTCAACTCATGGTTAGGATTGCAGTTTTCTTTATCGAAAGTTGATGTCTTGAGCATGGTTATTATTACATCAATTGAGGATTCAAGGGTTTTATCGTATTTTAGTTTAATTTAACTTAATTAGTAAATGGCTTTGGAAATGTTGTCGATGGGCATTTAAGATGGTTATTTGATATGGACAGACTCTCTTTGGATCTAACAAGATTCTCGTGCTACTGAAGGCTGTGTTTTTGTTGTAATCAATTAGGGAATGCCTCTAGCACTGTTTCTAGTGATGTTTTGGCTGGCTCGATTGGTTTTGGGCATAACAATGTCTCGGATGGGAGAAATCTAATCATTTAGGGTCCTGTTATAATATTAAATGCAATGATACATTCTAGAGGTTAATTGTTGAGGGCTGGTGGGAGGTTTATAGAGATATTAAATTTGATGAGTATTCATTTTACTGTTAAAATTAATAATTTAAGATTAACATAAAAAAGAGGTGTTATTTGTATAATTATTGTCATCCTTAAGTCTCTCTTAAGACTACTTTAGCAAGTTTTTTGAGTTCAAGGAAATAACTAATATAAAATTAAAGCGTTTACCTACTATTGGTAGGATGATTATGATTTTTAATTGCTCTCTGCAATTCTGTGATCTTATTCAGTGGCAATATATCTTGCAATTGTTTTTTTGGATATAATATACTTCATAGTAGTTATTTGTTACTTTTAAGTCGGTTTACTAAGGTCTAGACTGGATCTCTGAAATGATAATCTACCAGGGGATTTGTGTGCTTGGGGAGATGAATTCTGAGATTTGTGAAGTGGGTTGTTTTTTGGTGATTTGGGAGATATGCTTGATCTCAGGATTTATTAGAGTTATTCTAGATTGGATGTTTTGGGTTAGTACAGTATATGTTTGGGTTAATCAAATTTGCTGTTAATTTTGCCACGCACTTCCTTACGAAAGTCATCCAACTCATAAGTTGGAGTGTTTGCTATAAATGATCCAGAATGCATAAAATTATTAATGAAAAAATTACCTAGTAGTTATTTGGAGCCCAAAATATTTGATAACAAATACATAATCAAGTAAAATTTGAGTTCTGGGTCTTTTGGAGTTGTTTATTTGGCTATTCATAAAGTCACACGTGAAGAAGTGGCTGTTAAATTGGAAAAAGGAGAATAAGAAACATTAGATAGAGAAGTTTACTTGCTAACTAAATTGTAAGGCATTTAAGGAATCACCAAACTTTACTGGTTTGGAAGTGAGCAAAACTATAATGTTATGGTCATCGAAATCCTAGGTAAGGATTTAGGTTATTATCTTAAACAATACAAGCAATTATCATTGAAAACTGGTTTACAATTATTAGAATAGCTCATTACCATTTTTAGTTTTGTGCACAACAAAGGAATTGTTCATAGAGATCTAAAGCCTGAAAATATAATGATGGGCAAAACCAATACAACACAGGCATATTTAGTTGACTTTGGAGTTTCTAAATAGATTTTTGATTAAGGAAAACATATGTACATAACTATTCATTCAAAATAGCCCTTTTCGAGACAACAAGTCATTCATTGGAACGACTCGATATGCATCAATTGCAGCTCACAAAGGATATGAAATAGGAAGAAAAGACGACTTAGAATCCCTTATGTATGTTATCATATATCTAATTTTGGGGTATATATAGCTATTTAATTTCGCTAGCAAATTACCTTGGCAAAATCTGTAGAATATTGGAGATAAAGACAGAACAATTGTTGTTGGAGAAGTGAAGATGCAAACATCAATCTAGTCACTCTGTAAAGATTTGCCTTCGCCTTTCTCTGAATATCTGAAGTAAAGTGATCCTCTTAATTAGTTATTTAAAAGGGCTAGATTATTAAGACTAGCCTGATTATGAATTACTAAAGAAAATTATGAGGCAATGTTCTGATGCAAATACTTATGATAATTAATTCGAATGGACAGATAAAGTACCAGAGAAACTTGGTGAAGTTAAATAGTAAAGCTCATTCTTAGCTGTCCCAAATGGATTAAATGATTAGAATAGATAAAACACAAAAAAATAATCTTATATGGGTACTGATTCCATATGATTCTAGGTTCTCAATCTTCTAATATTGTTAAATATATACCTTCCAACCAAGACGCTCTTTAAATAAAAAATCAACCCTAAAAAATTATAACCAGTCAACCTCATATTGAAGTGTTGAAACAACTAGACACTGTTGATTTTGATGATATCGAAGAAAACATGTAAAATTATCCTACTCTAGAACAAAAGTTGCTGAGATTGCAAAGATTTGACGCAAAATTTAAGGAAGATTGCGTATCTAAATCTGCAATTCATGTTTTTGATCATTGAAATCAAATTAATTTATTTTACTTAATTAATTAATTTGGATAATCAATTAAATTATTATTAATTCTTCCTAACTCAATTTTTTATTTTATAATTTTATATATTTCCTCTTAAATACTATTATACGTATTCTGCTCTATTTAGTTATCTTCATACTCATCAAATTTTCAGTAGGTTTTAATTTGGATACGACTATGAATAGAGTTGGGTGAATTATGATAATGTAATACTTTAAAAATTATACAATTAGTCTAAACCTAACTTTAATTGGCTGGATGTAACTATTTCAAATTTGAAGCAAATATTTTCTTACAATAAAATAGGATAATTTTGAGGATTATTCTAGACGTCATAGATTTAAATATTTTTGAATGATATAATTATGTTAAAAATACTTTTGAAGTCAATCTGATCTCAAATTTACATAAGTTCTCAACCTCACCTATGTCCTTCTCCAGAATTGAGTTTTAAATCAAATGCAAGTATTATTAATTTTTTTAAAAATTATCTTCTTAATTCAATCTTTTCACCCAAATTCATTCTATTTAATTAGATTAGATTAAAAATAGAATAACTTATTCAAATTTTAACCTTATGAGCTAAAATTATATACAAAATAATTTAATAAATCATATATAAAGTTTCTGAAAAAAAACTCAATCAATATTCAAACTTAATAATTATTTTTAACTGAAATGTTTCAATAATCAGAAGCAACTCTGGGATATAATAGAAATTAAACAGAAAATTAGCCAGATTCTCAAAGAGATTCCTCTGTTCAATAAAATGTAGACATCTAATTATATTTAGCCACTTTAATAGGTTTTAACAGATGAATAAAAATCAATTGGAATCCTCAACCCTTATGTTTTCACATCATATAATATGCCAAAAGTATAGCAAACTTTCATATTAATTTTAGATCAATTGCTATAATCATTTTGGTCAAACCATCACTAATTTTTGCAAAACTCAAGAATGCAGATTACCATTATGCCCAGAATGTGTAAAAGAGCATGTGAATGAACATTCTGAGTTTAAGACATATCCTAAATTGGAATGCTTGGAAAACATATTGACTTAAGTTCACTCAGATATTTGCTAATAAGGTAATACTTTCTCTAATTGTCTTAAGCCAATTAAATTACTCATGCATAATATGGTATTGAAAAATCTGTTGCTCAAGCATATGCTTAAACTACTTTCACTGTTGAGAAACTTAAAGAAGCTAAGAAAAGAATTCTAAATGTTATTGAGTAATACTTTGACACTCTAGAGAATGAATTGGAAAATAAATAAAAGAAAAACTATGAAAATTTCAAAAGAGATGCAGATGCACTTCTGAAAGCCTTAAAAGCCAGAAATGGAGCATATCTTAATTTTTTAGATAAACTCTAACAACCAGAATGCATGTATTCTCTACTACCATATCTTGCATCTCCAAGTTAAGAGGATAACTAATAATACCTTTAAATCGCTAATAAATTTACTAGCAGATTCAAAGAAGTTCAATCTGAAATTACTTTTGACTCCTTCAAATCGTATTAATTTATACTAATTTTTTAGAGCTTAATTAAGTTCGCGCTTATCAGAAATCGTTGGTGTCATCCATTAAGATCTTACGGAATATTTAGACATCCATAAGCTAGCCCCGCCAGAAATTGTGAAGAGCAAAGCTTTAACACTGAAATCCCAAAATAATCAAATATAAAAAAAGGCATCATCTCCACAGCAACGTTAGAGAAATTTGAGCAAAACATATTAATTATAAGAAAATAAGGATAAAGAGATTATCAAAGTTAATCCTAATTAAAACTAGATTGAATAGACTGTTCGATATTAATAGATTAACCCTTAGTCTATTCAAATTCAATAGTATTAATCTCCTTCAAATTTCAACTCCTTGAATCAGAACTATCCTTAATAGTTTACTTAGTAATAGCCTCAATATTACTCCAATCAGCCTCAATATTCAGCTTAACTTCCTTACAATCAATAAAGATATTAGTAACAGGTCCCATATCAATAATACTTATAGTATGATCAGAATGCCTAATATTAAAATACAATTAATCCTATTTAGAAATATTATTGAATGTATTAATGTATTTGATCCTAACTAGTATATAATAAGTATTTAATAAAATTTCCTAAATCCTATTATTATATCAATTCGAAATTTCTGAATTTTGATATGATCTATTATTTATTAGACAGAACCATTAGTAAAATGATTCTTAACATCTCTTTCTTTAGGTAATTCTTATCATAAACATTATTGGCTCACCTATTTAGGTTTATGTATATTTAAAACACAAAAAATTATAATGATATAAATACTTTCTACATTATAAATCCAATAATTTGAATGTTTAAGAAGAGAATAGGAATAAAAGCTATTTTTTAAATAAAAAATAATCATGATAATTTTATTAAACCATTACATAGCAAAAAAATAAAAATTTGTTAAATTAACAATTAAAAATGTCTTAAGACTTAAAGAAATATTAAGTCTATGAAGAAGATTAGATATAAATGAGTATTAATGAATAATCCAATCAAATCGAACAGACTAAGAAAAAATTATTTACAAAATTTGAAAATGATAATTAGAATGATTTAAACTGTACAGTTTAAAAATTTTAAGCAACTTAATAATAAAAAAGCCTAAATATACCTTAAAAATAAAGGAATTCATCTTATCAGGGAATAAATGACGATTTCTATGACAAACTTCTAAATAATAAGTAAACAGTGTAATTTGATAATCATGTTGAAAAATTATAAAAAAGTCAATAGTTCAGAAGAAGTAATTAATATAAATCGCTTAGCAATAGATATACAAGCTCAGAAGGTGGTTATAAATATGATTAGATGAGATAAGCAAATCTTTTGGAAGATAATCAAATTGATTCAATTAATAAATATGAATATTACGATTCAAAATATGAAGAATTTGGAAATGCATAAACTAATGTCTTATAATATTATCAAAGGCAAAAATTGAATGAAGTGTACAGAAAGCGGTAGGATTAATTGTCCTGTTCATTTTATTCTAAAAACTCTAAAAAACTCCTCATTAAAACAAATTAAACTATCTACTAAGGATAAATCAAAGAGGAATAGGATCACAATGATTCAAGTGACACGAATCAATCAAGAATCTCTAAGAATATTTCTGAATCAGATTAAAAAGACCAACAATTTAAATATGAGGACATATAGAGTATAAGGATATCAAAAATGTCTGACCTTAGTGATTAAATAAAGAACGACTTATATTTAGAAGATGGTTAAGGGACTGAAAATAGTTTGGGATCTGATTTTCACTATTTTGATAGCAATAAAAGTTCCCTTAATCAAACTCCATAAAGGAAATCCCTTAGAGATATAAAATTCAATAAAAGTTAAGTTCCTAGTCTCAAGATTTAATAATAAGAAAATGAAACATATTTTTCATAGGCATCAAGTCCCTAGCAAAAAAATCAAGATAATAATTAATTGAAAAAATAACTATTAACAATTTCGATTGAAGGTTCAGGTTCAGGTTTCTAATCTAATTTAATATCACCTATAGTAGGCTATCATGATAATGGATTACATAAAAATACGATGTCCTTTGGAAGATAATAGGGGTGCAACAGTTATTAAAAATCCTTAAAAAAGAATATCCCTTATTGCATCAGTCCTTTTGACTGTAATACTCCAATTAATGAAGAATCTAAAATTTTTAATGATCTTATAAAATGGGATTTTGCAAAAAACAAATAAATTGAAAAAGAGTAGGCTAGGATAAGAGACTTAAAAACCTAATCTGTGAAGAAGTAGTAGAACTATGAGTATGAAAAAAAAATTAAGGAGCTTGAACAAGAGCTAAAATTGAAAGAAGAACAAATGTAATTAAAGGATGATATATTAAGTGAATAACTAGAAAAAATTTAATACTATAACCAAAGAATAAGTCTAATTCCAAATGAAGATGATTGGAATTCTGATTTTCATAATATAAGGGAATTTATTGATGATTATAAAAGCAATTTATATTAATTGATATCTAATAAGAATTCAAATATATCTTTTATTAATTTGATGAAGTAAAAGTTTTAGGAATAATATAAGGATAACTTCAATTAATTCAGTAGCAATAATTCAACTTAGACAAATTAATAAACATCTGAAGAATAACCCAATTCGCAAAATTATAAGTATTTAGAAACATTAAATTTTATCACCTATTTTCGAAAATATAATACTCTTACAATAAAAATCTTTAGCATTTGGATTTGAATTTGGTCATGCTGTCCCAGAACTCTTTTAAAAACTATTTTCCCTTAGTAAAAGAGAGAAATTTAGAAATAGATTACTTGATATGAATGAATGTGTAAAATATGAAATACAAGAGTTAAATAATTTTTTAAAGAATCAGAATAAAAACTAAAGTATAAATGAATTGAAAGAGACACTTGAATCAGAAATTATCATATAAAAATACATTTAATAAACAATTTACAATATATCTAATCTATTCAAAGAAAGAATATTGTAAATACAGGAAGGACACAAACAAATGTAAGAGTAATTAAAAAAAAATACTCTATGTAATTGATTATTTAAAACTAATTTATAGAATGTATTACTAATTGCTAAATATATTCATAGTCATAGTAACTATTATTATATTGTTAAGTTTCTACTAAGATTAAGTTATTATAAAATAATTCAATCTATTATAAAATGCCAATTTATAATATTGTTTAGGACATATTTCAATACTCATTCGTAACTTGATGATTAATTTCATGCAAATTATTATGGTTTGACTTACAATAAGTAAACTTATACAATTACTTTGTATAGAAGTTGCGTAATTAAGTATATTAATAAATTTATTTTTCTTATAAGTTATTTTAATAAGATTGATATTTAAAATATGCATCATGATTTGAACACAAGACAAGCCAAATTGCCATTATAAAACATAAATAGTCTTGTATTGTTTTATACTGTTACATCGTAAGCATATCCTTCACCTTAAATTGATTACAATTATGAATTACCTATAATAACTTGCCAAGTTGGACCATACTTCTTTTCAAGTGCTTCTTTAATTGTTTTGCAAGCATTCTTTAATATAAATGAATAATTAGAATACTTCAATTGATAAAACTGGAGATGAGTTGTTTTCAATTCCTGAAACTATCGAGTCTTAAACCTCTGAAAGCATATCTGGGCTCATATCTGTATCCTTTATTTAACAGCGATTATTACTTTGATAATAGCTGTTCCAAGCATTTCCTTTTTCAATTAAGCAAGGTCTTAAGTTTCTTTCTTTTCTTCCATTTTAATTATATTAATAAAATATATGTAAATATAATATCACAATTAAACATTGAATATTAAATGGGTTTCATAATTTTTACAAAATCCTATATAGTTATATTCAAGTCGAAGTCCTTTTTATTTTTCTTTATAGTAATAGTGTATTTATTTTAAATCAAATGCTGTATTAATTCACAGGATTAAACTTTATTTTTAACTTAAACCCCACAATATTTCAATTTCAATTCTTTTAACTGTTTCAAATAGATTTTTTTCTTCCTTAGTTCCATTAAAAATAAAAACTCAATAAGGTCATGTGTCTTTAATCCTTACTAAGCAACTTTAGTTTGAAATAGTTCATTATAAATTATTAGAATCCTTAGAAAAAGGAAAAAATTTTATTAATAAAATTTCTCAACTCAACCATTTTATGAGAAATATTATTTGCAAGGGTGATTAATCAGTAATGGCTGCTATATAAAACTCTTTCTGATATCTAATTAATCTGAAATATTTTATGAACTGGTTAGTTTAATTTAATAAATAATTAATTTAGTAATCTAAAAATGTTAATATAAATGATTATTTCTGTAATTAGAAGGTGAAGTAAAATACATCATTAAAAATTTCAACACTAATTTGCTGTATGATCTAAGCAATATAATTAAATAAATAATAATATCAAATCCTATTCTTTTATATTAATTGCAAAGCTAAAGAAGTCATTCTTCTCCAATTTAACTAAAATACTTTGTTGTTGAATTAAATTATAATGTTATGAGTTTTTATCAATAAATTTTTTATATCTTCTTATTTTAATTTTTTATTTTATGGAATCCTTAAATTGCATCATTTTATCTTCTTAATTTCCTATCAAATTAAAGGTATAAAAATTATTTAGCTTGATTTTTAAACTTTAACATCCTTTACGATAAATAAGTATTATAATTTACTGAAAATAAAGTGCTCAACATTAATTTTCAATGAATTAAAAGATAATTATTAATATTAATATATTTTTCAAGATATATTGAAAATGATCTGTTGCAGTAGCAAAAAGAGTAAATAGCAAACTTCAGAAATAACTAAAAAGAGAAGCAAAATATTATCTGTATTCGATTCTTTATTTTATTTTTCTAGGATTTTATAGAAGAAATAAACAACGAAGCTATGACTCTCTATTAATCACCAAACTGTCAAAATCTTTCTATTATGTTTTAATATTCTGGAGAACCTTAAACAATGAAGTATAGTGTTTCTATTATATATTTAAGATCAAGCTCTAATACAAAAATTTGTAGATCAGTTGAACGCTTAGCTAGTCCAATTCCCAACATTACACCAAGAAAAACTTCCTTTAATATTTTCAAATGTGCAAAAACAAACCAAAATACAAAGTTTATATCGACGAAAAGTGGTTTCACATTATTAGTAACAAAGGCACGCTTATGATGATTTCTCTATATTATTATTGCTCAAAATTCTCAAATTAATTTCATAAGCTTTTGCCTTTATAATTGTTTAAAGGTCAATTGAACTTTTTTATCTAAAAAATACTCAATTATTTTAAAATTTCTTACTTGAATAGTAAAATTAGATAAATAAATTGTATAAATTAATATATTAAAAAGAATATCCTATGCACACACGAACTTTCAACTTATAACAGTGTAGATGCATCTAATTATAGTCTAATATAATATAATTATAGATGTTTCAATCTGAGATCTAAAAATTGGGCTAATTTTCTTCTATTATAATTTATTGTAGATTATTAATTTAATAATTTATTTAATTAAAATAATTACACTTTATACTAAAAGAAATGAAATTTCGGTTTCTTAAGTTTATTCTTTGAAAAAAAATGCCATCATCTGAATTTTAGAATTTCTTACCTATCAACATTGCATCCTTTGAATGCTTTCTTTTTCATATAAACTGTTTTGTTATCATACTTATTTTATTTAACCTTATTAAATTCTGGAATTAATTTAGTAAAATTCATAAACTCAATTGTTAGTAAATTTCATCATATTTATTATTACTTTAATACTACTGATGTATAAGAAAGATATTCAGAAGCTTTGATAATATTAGAGATTTAACTTCCGATTTGTTATATTTTTAAATCGTTGATAAGATTGCTGATCAAAACGATTAGCCAAAATCCAATTATTTAATTAGATTAAATTGAAATAGGGAGGAGCCTTATTAAATTGTGGAATATTTCATAGATTATAGCTAAGCACTTCTAATCTTTATTCTTTTTCTCTAGAATTATCAAATTTTCAATCGATTCAAGATTCAATGTTAAGATTTTATTTACATGTTTAAATTGTTGAATTAAAAATTTTGCATTAAATAGAGTCATTTTATTTGTTTCAATAAAAGAATGATCAAATTTTCATTATTAATATTATTAATAAATTAATTTTTCTGTAGATCATTTTATATTTAGAAATTTAATTAAAAATACTAAGAGGACAATGAAATATAAACATTAATTATACATGATAGGAATATATCTTAAATATTAATGAAGATTAAAAAATCTTTTATTTAAAAGTTAATCATTTTTTTTTCAATTTAGTCTATTCTTTTAAGAATGAAAATTAATAATTTATTAAGACTCATTATTTATAAATTTATTTCTTAAAATGAATGACTAATTAAAAAGGATGGAAAAAGGGAAAAATAACAGATGCAGATTGCTACATAAAGTCTACACTTAAAAAAAGAAGGCACCATTAAATAATATGAGTTTCCAAATAAGAGTTTAAAATATGATAAAGCAGATTCGGGTTGATTAATTTGAGAGAAGTCGCTGCTTAAGTGAATACGAAAATAGGTTTCCATACATCTAAAGATTGAATCCAATTACCAGACCTTAAAACATAGAACCTTTAAATTTAAAGCTAAGCACAATCCGTACTACTTCTCGATAAAGCAACTTAATTATTGATGGGACTATTAAGAAAGAGTAATAAAAAAATAATTCTCAAGCAAGTTTAGATTTAAATCTTAGACTTACCTCAAGTCCTTAAAGATTTTATAATAAGAATAAAATCTCAATATAGGCATTAATGTTGAAAGATATAATTACTTTAAAAGAATAGAAAATAAAAATAGACTAGCGAACATAAGCAGAATCAAATTTTTTCTAAAATATATCTAGTTGGTCTAGAAAATCTTCTGATAGTATTATTTGATTTGTATATATACCCTTGATCTTTTAAGGTTTTAATGATTTAATAATGATTTCTCTTCCAATTTATACTAATTCTATTGAAGTTTCAATTGAACATCATATATATTTTTAATAGTCTACTGAAATCTAAATGATTATTAAACCTAAATAGAATTAGATATCATATATTTGAAATTTTGTTCAGCTTTTAAATTTGACATTCTTTGAGAAGCTTTAATAAAGGTAATTTGATGAGAAAACTAGAACCATATCATTTTATATATAATGCAAAATTTAATTATACCGAATTTTCTTAGCCAAAGAAATGAATTTGTAAAGAAAATAAAATATATTCTTAGAATAGGAGAGACTCAAATTGCTATTTATTTATTTGTTTGAATAATTTACTATATTGTATTAATCATTTGGGTACGTCCTTCTTTCTTTATCTTCTTTATTCAACTTATTTCTTTCTTTCCTCTTCAATTAAATCCTTTCTTCCTGCATGCCAATTTGGTCCTTTTCTCTTTTATTAAGGTCCAGCTCCAGCAGCAGCAGCTGATCCAAATCTAATATATTATTTCATATATCAAAACCTTCTGTTGAAGCAAATTCTTTTGTATGCTCTTCCTTTTGGGATTTTGTGTCTTCTAACTTGCTTCTCAATTTTTGGTGTTTGTTTTCTGACTTTACCTGCTTTGGCCAATGTTCCGTGAAGTTTTCCCATAATAATTATTTTTAATAAAAAAGATTTAAATTTTTTTGATTAATCAATGAGATTGCAGTCTAAAGGGGTGTTCTGTACTAAATGAATTTGCAGAGATAAATAATAACTAAAATGTCGATAAGGTTTATGATTAGATCCATTGATATTCTTAATAAAAACAAAGAACATGAATTACAACGATATATATTATAATAAAAGTGAGAAAAATGTTAGATTGGTTGTAAAATTGTATAAAATAAAAGAAAATCTCCAATTTGATAAAATATACATTGAAATTAAATCTCCTCAGAATGAAAAAATGAATTTAATCATAATTGTATTTAGTTTTCATAAAATTGCAAGAGGTGGAAATACATAACAATTTCAAAATTCAATATAAGTGAATTTTTAACCTGAATAAGTTTAAGAGAGCTGTTCTACTTGAATAAATATATTATATAAACTAAATTAAAAGCTGAATTATTAATTTAAATAATAATACTATATTCTAATAACACTCTCCCTTCCCGCATCTATTTAATACAGTGTAGCCTTTCAGAAAAGAACAAGTAAGCATATATTCTAATTATTTGAATTGATATTTACAATAGTTTACTATTTAAATATATAAGAAAAGGTTAATGAGCTTAATATTTCAGAAAAAAGAGATATATTCAGATTTTTAATTAATGAAATGAAAGCTAAATTTATCAATAAAAAATATAAATAAATTTGTAAACTAAAGATCGTAATAAAGATAAAAGTCTAATGATTTGACTCAAGGATATAAAAGGTCTCAAAGTTTATAGAACTCACTTGCAAGATGGACAAATATTATGATACTAATTAAAATTAAAAATTGAACTAAAATGGAATCAAAAGTTAAGATAATAATCTTTCAATAATTTTTATGTCACTGAGATAAAGAGACATTTAAAAAAATAAAATCATAGTCGAGAGGTCAAAGGTGAGTTTAATATGATAACTTCCATTTGAATTAATTCGAATTTCAGTAATGTATCAAAATGGATTCATAAGATAAAGGAGAGTTTTGTTAACATAAACAAGTTTTTAGTCTGAATAGTTATTTAGGACACATGTTTGTGATAGAACATAAAAAGAGGTTTTGCCCAATTTTTTAAGAAAATGTGCGACAATTAGAGATAAATTCAGAATGTGTAACTTTGTATTAAGATATAAACAATTAAATAAAACATAAGGGAAGGAGGATCTTATATGTTAGATTATCTCAGAAGGCAAAATAAGGGATTTTAATGATGTAATCAAATGTAAATTTACCTAATTTTAAAGAAAGGGTAAAGAAACAGAAAAGATGATAATGTATGTTATATAGTTTAAGGAAAAAATGAAGGACAGGCAATAATGATTGATTGATAATATAAATCCTTAATATTTATATAAATAAATTTATTAGAAAATAAAGACTAAAATGGAAGAAAAACAATTGACATTTTCTTAAAGACATGCTTAGAAATTTAATGGGGCATTAATAGAGATGATATCGATGGCTTTATTTGCATATGGGTAAGAAAAATGTGAGAATTTAGAATTGTGTGCTCAGAAGGAAAGGATGGTAAGATAGCGTTAGCATTTTTTGGATCTTTAGCATTATGTGCACCAATTAGTGGTGGACATATAAATCCAGCTGTAATTTAGATGTAATAAATAGGTGACATTAGCAATGTGGCTGACTAGATAAATATCAACTGGTACATGTTTACTATATTGGATTGCTTAACTGATTGGTGCATTTGGTGGCGGATTCTTTTGTTATATGGTTTTGGGATAAATCAATAGTCCTATGGTGACTGATTTGAACTTTCATTGGATAATTGCAGACTTATGTGGTGAAGCTCTTGGATCCTTCTCTTTCATTCTAATGATATTAATTTAATGTAAATTCTCTAAATAATTGAAAGGCAATCCCAAAACAACTTTCTCTGATAAACCAATTGCTAGTATTATTCTTATAACTCTGTCATTGCATTTATCAAGATGCTACACTTCCCATTCTGGAGGTATTAAGAAGTTTAATATATAGGTTGTTTGAATCCTGGGATGGCAGTGGCCTTGGAATTATTTTAGGTTCTAAAGACTAATGAAGTCGAAAGATTGGATTCTATGTGGGTATTCATAGCTGGACCTTTTGCTGGAGCCATAGTTGCTGTTATATTCTTTAAATTAATTTATCAACCAGCATTTAATAGATATTATAAGAATGCATGATATATATAAACAATTTTAATAATTTTAATTTAATATCAACACCACTATTAGACATATTGCCAAACACAAATTACAGCTGATATATGAACATTTAAAGATCTAATAACTCCATACTGAGGAATCTCAACACAATTATCCATTAGTTCTATGTATTCAATAGGTAATCCAGTCTTTTCTCTGCCCAACACTAAAACAGTCTTCTTGTCAAATTTGAAATTCACAATTGATTTGCTCTAACTTGTTTATTCTAATGCTACCAATTAATAACCTTATAATCTCTTTAGTTACAAGTAATTCATTAAATGATCTTCCTTGATTTCTAAAATTGGTAAATGCTATTCAGCACTCACACTAACAGCCTAATATTATTCATCCTATAAGATCTTTTTGTTGGGTAACACTAATTCTCTGCATCCAAATATTTCACAAGTTCTAGTCAGATGACCAAAATTAGGTATTTTTTCTAACAAAGTTGCTACAACAATGATGTCTCCTACAATTTATCTTGGTTGATATGCCTTAAATAAATCAAATTAATCCATTATCAAATTGATTTTCCTTTAGAAATTTAGTTATTACGAATATTGTGTACTCAACTATTATCTTTCGACATATTAAAACCAAGGAGGAGGGGGATTTTCACTCATATTGTCTTCACTTTTGAGTTCAGCAATAGTTTGAGTGCATGTGTTCTTGAGTATTTCAATTATGGATGGATGAATAATCTCACCGAATGTATCAAATTATATTGTTAATATTCCATCCAAATCGAAAGTTACCATCAATTTTTCATATCTTTCAATCAAAGCACCAATATTCTTAATGATCTTCTAGCATTCCCTATTACTTTCAAAATATTCAATGAAGTCCTTGTATTCCAATTTCTGCTTCTTTATGTATTATAAACAAGTAGTTTGACAAAGAGATCTGATGTAGGCTACATTTGAACTAACTAAAGGAAATAGTTTATCAAAGAATTTCTATGAGAACTTATTTTATTAATTATGCAATAGGAAAATACACGATATGAAAGTAGTAGGGATTTGGATATTTACTTTTAATTTTGGATCACTCAAAGTTTAAATAATTCTTGGAGCCCAGATATCAGGGTAATTATCTATCAAAAAACTCATCATCAACTCAATATATTATCTATACTGAGGATTGTTCAAAGTATCGAAAGCCTTCCAAATTAACTATTCCAATTCTACTAAATATTTCTTATCATCGCCAAACACTTTCTGATAATTTTCTGGCTTCAATAAAAATTTTAAGCAACAAATATTCTACCATACATGCAATTTCATCCTGAATTATTTAGTGTATTGCATATAAGCATTCTTGTATCTATCCTTAATTGATACTTCTATCAAGAATTTAATGTAATACAACAATTCCTTTTCATACCCTCCTTGCTTTCCCAATTCAAATAAGAAATTGAATATCAAAAACCTTGGATATGCCCCAAAAAATTCCCCTTTGCATGAAATCAAATGCTTAACATTGTTTGCCAATGGGACGTATTATTCTGATGATGCCAAAATTTCAGAAGAATCATACCCTCTCAATTCACTCCCTTTTATTAACTTAAATAGTATATAGTAAAATGTTGGTAATCTATTAGGATGTTTATGTAAACATATAATTAAATTATTTGCTATCTTCCTTTGTATAACCCATTGTTTTTAGTGCTGTTTCATTATCACTCTAATAACCTATTCAACTGCCTCATATAATTCTCCTTCAAAAAAGCATGGATCAATAATAAAATCTACATATGCTAATATTTCATCTAAATTAGTATGAGTTCCAAACACATGCATCATCTATTGAAAAGAGTTTATTGCAACTTACTTAAATTGTTCACTTGATTCTTTATTGAATGCTATCTCTGGTCCATACACCGATCTTAATAATTAATACAAAGTTATTGAATCATAAGCATTGAATTAATCAGTGATATCAATTATATTACTGATTAAATTTTATACTTAAGTATGGTATTCTTAAGGTTTATGATTTACTTCTCTGAATAATGTTAAGATGTGACTTAAATAGTGTAAAGTCAAGTTTTTTAATTATCTATCTTACTCAATGCATTGCAATTTGCTTAATAATTACAAACCATATTTTAAAAATAGTTCTTCAACAAATAATCCTGTTTTATTTCTTTTGGCTTATTGTAATGCTATATTTGTAGCCTTTAAAGTCTTAATTAACAATTCTAAATGAATTATATTGAAGTTATCAAACTATTACTAAAACAAGAAACCAACAAACTTACTCATCTATTAAGTCAATAATGGAACTGATTCAAAATGCTATAATGAAGCTATCCAAAGCTCTTCAGTGACAATCATAGCCCCTTCCAAATCCAGAGTTAAATAGGCAAATAACCCAGAACTTATTTATTCTAAAAATTGGACTTGATTAGATGTTTTTAAGATGTAATTTAGTTATTCTAAGATTCTATGTTTAGTTTCTTTTTAAGTATAAGTACTGGTGTATATTTGTTATAATTATGATATAATTGGTTGATAAAAGGTTAAGAATAACTTATGATCTTAAGTCAAATGGTATATTACAGCATATTAATGGTAATTTGAATTCAGATCAAATGCTTATTGTTATTCTTATGCATACACTAAAAATTCTTCAGTTATCAATGATTTCAAGAGTTCTGCAATGTTGTTCAAAAAAAGACAATCGAAAGGGATTACTTTGATGAGTTAAAATAATTATTCAGGATTAGTATTCTATTTAAATAAATGGAGCACGGCTTATAATAATTGTATTCTTTTTCTTAAATTTAATCTCATTAAAGTTTATTCAATGAATTGAACGAGTAATGCAAATTATGTAATTTCTACTTTAACATCTTTCAAGGATACACTAAAAGCTCCAACAGCCAATGGGTATTATATATTTCGAACCATTTATATAATTACATCATCAATATAAGGAATCTTTGCTAAGAACTATTTAAGAAGTTCAAAAAATTTAGAGTCTCCTTCCAAAGGAGTGTCAAGATAAAATACTGGCTTATTCAAAACTGGTATAATTATTTCAATGATTAAAGGCTTAAGATAATTGACATCAATTTATTTTTTGAATAAGGATTTAATACAATTCTTGATTGTTTTTTCATTTGAGTGTTATGCTGCTTTATTGATTAGAATGAATAATGGTTTAATATTTTAGAATAATTATCTTTTCAGTTCATTGTCTATTTTAAATTGTTATTATTGGGTAAATGGATCCATTTTAACCCACACATCCTTTGTTAAATGAGTTCCAAAGCTATCTAGTGTAATAAATAAGTCTGTAAACAATTTGAAATGCTATTATATCTTTTCATCATCAACATTAATTAAAACTTCATTTAAAACAGCAACACAAATTTTATTATTGGTGAGATCAGAGTAAACTTAATAGGAATCATGTAAAGCTTACCAAAATTATTCATATACCATTAATTACTTAACACTCTTACTGAATAAAGCGATTTTTATTAGTTCACTACAATGTAATTTGAAATCTACATTCTTTGGATTGTGTTGTTGGAAGATCTAGGGTAGATACTTGACAAAATTCAATCTAATTTCATCATCATTTATAATGAAAGCATAGATAATTGATCTGATTTCTTAGAATTATTGAGCAACGAACTTTTAACTTTTCTCGGTGTAAATATCTTCTGAAAATAATACGAATTCCATGGCTCTATCCAAAACCCATTGTTTTTGCACTTTTAATAAAGAAAATAAGTTCTTGTATAACTTTTTCACTTTATCAACTATGATCATTGTTTGATCATTTACATTCAAAAGACTCTCATAAATAGGCTTAACTATTTTCTCTATGTATCCCTAAGTTGAAATATAATTAGAACATAGATTTCTCAATTGTTCCTCTGTGCAAATCGAGAGTATTCTTTTTGTGGCTATAAATCGATGAATTAATTACTTTGTAGATTATCAATTGAAATTTCAAAGGTTCTCTCAATTAATTCCATGGAAACTTCACATTTCAATCTTTTGTAGCATAATATCAAAATATCTATGTTTGGTTAAGAAATCCATTCAGATTTAAGTTCATTTGTCAATGCTTGATTCAATGCTTCTTAAACTTCTTCTTTCTGGTATTTATGGACACAAATATCAATCAGGGGCTTTAAGGATACGTGTTTGCCACTGGACTTTTTTTGTTCCACATATTCTTAAATTTGTAATAATTCTTTCACAAACATTCGCAAATTAAAATTTTTATTTATAAATAGTTTAATTAATCATTATTATCCTCTAAATTCTTGTATTTTCTCTAATGTCAACTTTATTTCCAATTTGATTTATTTGATAACATTCACATTCTTATTAGGTAGGCCAGTATAATATTCATACTCCATCATTTTTAATTGTAAATACTGATTTAAATCATTGATGGATTGAATTTAATTTATTTAATCTGGAGCATAAGCCTTCTAATCTTCATTTATTTTTTCTTTCTTTGGTGTGACCTATTTTTAGACTTTTTATTCATTTGTTTAACTTTTTGTTTATTATTAAGGCAGAGAGGGTTATTAATCAGGGTTTTCTTAATAAATCTTAGGTTGGATTCGATTTGATCTTTTCTATTAAACCCACTATTCCACATTATTAAGATTTCCATTGTCTTTGGTGAGTTTGTTTTTCAGTTGAAGTTTTCTAGTTTCTGAGTTCCAAAGTTTGAAATACAAACGAAGACTTCTTTATTGAATTTGCTTGATATTCTAGCTAGTAGTTATATTTGCTATAAAAGCTCTTAGAATTTTGCGTTTAAGTTTTTAAATTTGTTGAGATCTAAAGTTATTTGCCATTTCCTTTTTATAATGCAAGGTGACTAATCTTTTGCTATTTTAAATAAATCCATTAAAGTATTTTCTGATAAGGAATTTATAGTTGAAGATCAACAGTTTCTTGTAGAATAGGTCTCTTTTGTATTTATAGTTCTTCTAGCCATACCAACGCTTGATCCATCCTTAGAATGCATTCTTCAATAAATTTTGATCTTTTGTATACATTATCGACATTACAGATTATCTAGATAGTTGCCATAAAATACCTTTGCTTAATTTATTTTTGAGTTATTTTATGCCATTGTTTTAAGATCTCAGAAAGGAATTCATATTCATTATTCATTTTATTTATATATATATATTGTTTTGAGTGAATAATAACAGAAAGTCAATAGAATAATAATTTATAATTTGATTACATAAATGGATGTCATAATTAGAAATGCTCCTGTACTTTGGAAATATCCTCAGTTGAACGGTCATCATCTAATTAGGTGATTTCCTTGATTGCATCATTGTGAACTGCTAATACTGCTCTTCCTGATTCATCTGTATTCTTTTTGAATGCTTCATCCCATTCTAAAGCCTAAAAGATGATAAATATAGATAACTTTTTCGGTTGAACAAGCAATGGATCGGGCAAATGGAACAGTTAAAACAGCACTTTCACTAGGGAAATAGGATGAATAAATCTATCTAAACCAATATTACTCTTTGTTTCTGGGAGTTGATATTGGATACTTGATAGATGCTTAAGAGAATTCTGAATCCGAAATTAAATAATTGGCTCGTTTCATAATACCATCTCTCCAACTATAACCAACTCCGTCACTAAACTATTCCTTTTATCTCCATAATATTTCCTATGGCACAAATGGGTGTTCTAAATCCTCAAATGCCTTTCTAAGAATGTATTTTTCCATTTGAGGTTCGAAGGCATTAATCATCTTATATTTAGGATCAATTTGCATAACATACTCTATCCATTATTTGTTCATAAATGGAGGCCTAGTTTCAATACCCCATGCCAAACAAGCTTTGTTGGCTCTGAGAAGATCATATTTGTGTAAATCATGAAGTTTTCTGATTAATTCTTAATGAAATTCTACTCTGTTGGGTGCTTTGTGGAAATACAAATATCCACCAAATAACTCATCACTTCCTTCGCCTGTTAAACATATTTTGATTCCCAAAGCTTTGATTCTTCTACACATCATATACATAGGTGTTGATGCTCTAATGGTTGTATTATTGAAAGTCTCTGTATGATATATAACTTCAGGGATGTAATCCAATCCTTCATCTACTGTGTAGGTGAATGAGTGATGTTCAAATCCATGGAACTCTGCCACCTTCTTAGCATAATGCAAATCTGGAGATCCTTCCAATCCAATGCAAAATGAATGAACTTTCCTCATTCCTCTCTTACTCAAATCTATTTCCCCTCTCTTTATTAATTTAGCCACAATTCCAGCCACTATTGAAGAATCAACACTATCATAATCATCATAAATAAGGTACCCTCCAGAAATAAACAATCCAAATGGAGCATCGCCTTGAATTTCTCTTCGAACCACTTCCACAAACTTATCTCTCAACACTTAAAAATCGATCTCTCCTGTTGGTATATGATCAAAGTTATTCCAAATTGGATTATACCATCTCTTAATCTCATATGTCTCATCAATATAATGACCTAAATATTATATATATATATATAACCTGGAGGGAACTATTTGACTTCTATCACCTAATCATGGATTCCTTTCAACTCAGAGGATAAAAATAGAGATCCATCTTCATTAAATCCGTAATATAATGGAACTATCCCAATATGATCTCTCCCCGCTTAAAATGATTTCTTACTCATATCAATTAGAACAGTTGCAAACATTCCATTCAAGTGATTCCAAAAGTTTCCTGCACCGTACTATATTTAATCTACCATTCATACCTCTTTGTATAACATTCCTACTATCTCAGTGTCAGAATTACTGCTAAATCGATATTTCTTCTCCAACTCAGGTCTTACATCCCAGTAATCGTATAGCTCCCCATTCTGCATAAAGATTATATTCTCATCATCCACCATCCTAAAAGGCTGTCTCCCTTTATCACTTAGATCTACTAATCCCAACCTTTCGTGGGAAATCACATGATACAGCCCAGGGCTGATTTCCTTAAAATTACTCAAAATGATTACAAGAACAATTATCTTTGATCTATCCGGACCTCTATGTCTTATTCTTCTTGATAGCTCATAAGCTTTTGCTCTTACTTAAACTTCTGTTCCTTTTACATTTAAAATTGCCAAAATCCCACACATTGATCAAATAAAGATTATATCCCTCCTCTAACTTTTTCTAAACTTAAATAGGAAGAATAATTCGTAGTTTAGAATACTATCATTAATAAATTGACGAAGAAACTTCAATACCTACTAATTATATAAAACGATTTAAATTCATTAATAATAACTTGTATTAATCATTATCAATTTTATTAAATTTAATAATCATCATGAAATATATATTTACAATCCCACTATTTTAAATCGCGCTTTACCTATGATTGGAAAGTCAATTATTTTCAGAATATTCTTAATATTTAATCGATAAAATTATTCTACATTATTTAAGCGGTTTATTAAAAAATTGGAAAGTCATCGTTCTTGATTCAAAAACAAAGGCCATATTTAATTTAACTGCTGGCAATTAAATATATGAATCTGTTAAATTCTAATATTCGTGTTGGAACTATGTTGATAATTTAAAAACTAAACATCAAATATAACATAGTCTCAACATCAGGAAGATATAAATTGTTGATTTAACTTCATTATGAAATTTTAAACTAAAAACTTTATTAGGAGAATAAATTTAAGTGGTATAGAGATAAATATAAATTTCTTATTCTATTTAATTTTATAAATTATCCTTTTTAATAAATAAAAAGTAAGAGAGTATCAGGATTCGCACCTGAGGCCTGCGAGACTTGCAATCTGCTGCTCTACTCCTGAGCTATACTCCCTTGTTGGTTTTTGTTTATATATTTTTATTGTAGGCAAAATGAAAATTTTTTGTATATATAATAATCACTTTTTTTCCTTAATATTGTAAATTGTAATCTAATTATTTAGAAAAGAATTCTTTCCAAATGGAAGTTTGCTTTCTTGCAATTTGAATTTTGCAGATAATTTTGAGTATCTTGTATTCTACTTCTGCTCATTCAAGTATTTTAGTGAACTCATTCTTCTGGGCATATGATAAAATGGATTTTTTCCAATATTTGTTCTAAATATGTTATATCCAAATAGCTTCTTATAGCTTTTTATTAAATGTAAAGCATTATTTTACAATTGATCTGGTGTTTTGTAAGAATTATTGAATCTAAATTAAAATAAATCAAATAAATCCTCGTATCTACATTCATCTTACCATATATTAATTGAATCCTATGATTATTCGCTATCTGATTGATTCTAATCATTGTCATTCTTAAGTTAACAAACAAGGGTAGGTTCTTTGTTCTGTTTTTGTAAATTTTCCTCGATAAAAGAAATTGATCTTTTTGAAATTTTCACTTCGAACTAATTATAACTCTTTAATTTTGAAGCTAAATTCACATATGTTAATTACGTGTTGTGTTCTATCGTTAGGTTCCTTTGCCATTGTTATTTTGATTCGTTTATAGAAGGTTTTGTGAAGAAGGAATCTTATATTATTTAGGCACTATATTTTCTTTATTACACGAGGTTTTCATTATATGAAAAAATAAATTGTGTTTTTTTACTTCGAAACTCACTTCGAAATATGAACTAAAATTTTTTATGGATATAAGATTGTAACAACTCTAATTATTTTAAAAAATAATAAAATAATCAAAAAATTTATAATTATTATTATTCTTTTTAAAATTTATATATTTCTTTTTTCAATCAAATGACTATTCTCTAAAGATTTGATAAGCATCAATAGATCTGTGATTATGTGAATATCAAAAATGTTAATTTTTTTGAGAAGTCAAAAAAAGTATAAAAATTACAATCCTAATTTATTATATTGTCTTCCTTAGCCAAATTAGACTAAAGATTTGATTATTACTTTTAAATTAGAATTTTGAACACCTTATTTATGAATCAAATAGAATTATTAATATCATAGAATAATAATTTAATATTAATTCAGAATATTAACCATTCATATCTATAATGCAAATGAAATTAAAATAGAGAATCTAATTCAAAATATAATTTAATGTCATAACGACTTTAATAATTTATATATGCAACAAGAATATAATACTATTTTTTAATGATAACAATCTAAATCATTTCTTTCCAAAAGAAGTTTAATTGGCCATTTCTAAAACTTGTTATTTGAAAATGTGAATAACTTCATCGATTATAGCATTTTCCTCTAGGAATATATGATAGATTAATACCATCTCTTCTATTTAATTCAGTTTCATATAAATCTCTAAGTTCGTATAATGAAGCTGTTGCTGCATTGATTGCATTTTAAGAATCTTTTAAGACACTATTTGCTTTAGCTTGAACTGCTAAGGCAGCTTGTTCTTGCTAAACACTATAGAATGAGATTGAATACCACTACTAATTTGTCTTATAATTAAGTCTTTCTTTGGATTTCATCATTCAAATGAGCAACCTCAGACTCTGTGTCAGCTAACCAATCTGCTAATTAATAATAGGCAGCAATTTCGTTAGCCTCCAAATTAGCTAATGATGACTTTAGTTAATCTTCAAGATCAGATAAAGCATTGTATACTAATTAACCAACATTAAGTCCTGGTTATCTGTCAGATGATGATGATCCTCCTTCTTATCCTAATGCATGTAATTCAGCATTTCCTGAGGCTTGTTCAGCAGCTAATTAGGCAAATTTAGTCATGGCATCTTAATTGAAGAGTTGACTGTATTATTTCAATTTATCTGAAACATTTTGAACACTCACTTCGACTAAAGATGATGGTTAACCGGTTAAATATCCACTCAAATCATTCTTTAAGACTCTAATAACTCCTAAGGCATCATTATGTTATTTAATGGCTCTAACAAACAAACCATTTGAAAAGCATCTCAATTCTTGTAATTCAACTGATCTTCTGTCAATATCAGCCAATCTTTAGGTAGCCCATGCGATATAATCTGTTGCTTCCTACACAATAATTTATATTATAGTTACTCTGTATTCAACTCCGATTTATTCTCTTCTTGCTTTTGCACTTGCCCATGCCTTTTAATTGAGTTCGTTGACTTTTGAAAGTGCAGCAATTCTAGCTTATCCAATTTCTTCATCTGATATATTTTTTTCGTCAGCAACACCTTAAGCTTCAATGTTACTTGTTTTCAAATCATTCAATAAATCATATACTGCTTAGACTGCATCATTCGATTCTGATCCTGTCTATTAATTTATTCACATCCTTTACCTATAATAATAGAGAGAAATCTATTTCAAAGGCCTGTGTGCAAACCAAAGCTAATAGCCCAACAATAATGAATTTATTCATTTCTTAATATTAATAACTATGTATTATATAAAAACGGGTATTACTAATAAATTAATTATTTTAATATTCATTAATTTAGCATTTTCTCTAACTCCCCCACTTTTTTCTCCAATAAATTCATGTGATTAGTTTGTTCCAACCTTAATTCGATGAATTTTATTTATTACTGACTCAAGAATTCAACCAAAGGTTTCCAATGGATATTTTGTCTTCGCACTATTGAAACAAATTACTCTACAGTTTTATCAAAGTCGATTTTGAGCAACTCCACAATTTGATTTATGTGCGTATCCCTCGATCTTCTTTGTTTTGCTAAATTATTCTCTTATAATTCTAGCAACCAATGTCTCAAAAGAGAATTCTCATTCGTTAATTACATAATACATTGACTAACTCTGACACCATCATTAAAGTGTAACAGATAAATCACTGTAGATTTAAGAGCTTTTAATAAGAAATCCTGAGACTCTTAGAATTCTAAATTAGACTCTGGTCTTGAGCATAGTAGTAAATATTTATTAATCTTTTCTAAGATTGCTTACAATTATTGCCACTAGAATTAACTTTTAACTTATCCCACCGATTTGCTCAAACATTTGGTAATTAATGTATAAAATTATTTTGATTATTTATCTTATTCTTTCACCTTTATTAAAATATCTAAAAATGCTAGATACAAACTAGATAATTCTTAATTATTTAAGATCTTAATTAAATTTTGATTTATAAAACTATAGCAACTTTTTTGAGCTCCATCTTTGTTGCCTATTTTTGTTGATTCTTCAACCATTTTAAATATCAATATATCAAATATGACATAAAACTTATCATATGATATTAATTTCAAAAATTGTCCCGATGATAATATATGAACAAGCTTTTCTAATAATTAATTAAGATTATCACATGATTATTCTTTAATGAAATTATTTAACAAAAATATTATCTAATCTGCTAATATTTGAGGATTCTCAAAATTATTGGTTTCTCTATATTTATAATACAGCTGTTAAAATATTCTAGCATTCTAATCAAACTCAATTTCCATTTAAGTTGGAACATTTTATTGTTATTGAATTAGGTTTTTATTTCCACTATTAATTTGAGAGTTAATTTATGGAATACCTGGGATTCCAATGAAAGGGATGGTTTTGGCTGGAAAATTCTTTTTTTCTGAGTTGGTTTATTCAGGTTTTAATTATTCTGCAACAAATAAAGGATTAAATCTTGAGCCATTTTACTCTTCATATTAATTATTATCATTATTTAGAGGTTTCTAAAGTATTGTAGAATGCTAGAATTGTTGGGGAGTTACTTAGACGATTTATTTATTAATGATCACACTCTCCTCTTTCCAAATCAAAGATATTAATTAAGCTATCAGTTACTTTTATTAAATAGTGCTACTCATATTCCAATCTTTTGAATTCTCGAACATAATTTGTATCAATTGGTTTGCTTGTTGATTAGATTATTCATCGAATTCCTCGAATGAAACTAATAATGGCTACTAGAAACAATATTTTTTATACTCACTCAAAATATTCATTAGAAATGGTAATGTTCTTTATGCTAATTTTGGAACTCCATTTCTAAAATATACTAAAATCATCATTTTTATGTAAGAAAATATTATCTATTATTCTAAGAATGTTGGTATATGCTAGGTTATTAAAACCTGGAATAATTATGAGATTTCTTATTGCAAAGGGATATTTTCTTTCATCCATGATATCAAGTAAGCCCACTTAAAAAATATTTCACTGAATTCTCCAGGCTATGGCATTTTGGTTTTAATATATGCAGCTGCTAGTTGGTTTTATTATATGTTATAGCTAAACATCTTTTCATAGAGTACTTAAGGAATTTAAGGAACTTTTAACTGTTCCTTAATTCTTTCAAAGTGTTAATCACTAAATGTATTTAATGGAAAAGGTGCCATAGGTTTTTCTTCCGATTAAATTTTCTTAACTTCAAATAATTGCTTTAGCGCAATTTGGCATTCTTAAACCAAGGATCTTGTCTTCAAATTAGATAAATGTTAATGGTTTTTAAGAAATTCAGAAATGATCTATTGATCAATGTTTTTCTCACTTTGTGGTATATATTTTAATAAAATATTAAGCACTTCTATAAGCTAACTCTAAGTAGATGCATTTTTAAATGTTGTAATTAGTTATGTTAAGTGATTAGGCTTATAGGTTTGAGCACATTTATCAAATAATTAATAGCATAGTGGCTTTTATTCAGCCATTTTATCAATGATAAATTCCATAGTTGTACTTAAGATATATTTAGATTACTAAGTAATTTGTAGTAAAATGCTTCCTAATTCTGATTAGTCTTTATTTTTAGCTGATTTATACTATTTTAAGAATGCATCAACTTAATTTGGAGTCATGGCAGTTGAATATGATTAATCTTAAGTTTCGAATGTATTCAACTAATTGACATGAAGTGGTTTATTAATGTTAGGTTATAAGGATTATTATTTTTATGAATTGGCAATTGGAGTTGATTGTTAGAATTATAAATTTTCTTTATTTGGTATAAATTATTATTATTATTATTATTATTCCACACCATCTTTTCCTGATAGTGCTTTAATTCCTTCCATATATATGTTTACCTAATTCTGATATTTAGTGAATTTATCACCTTTCAAATCTGAAACCATGACTCCATTATATAATTTAGCAGATATCTTAGCCAACAACATGATTGATTTGGCTCTTACATCAGCATTACCATCTTCTGTCAATTTCTTACATATGGGGAGTAATTATTTAATGCTTTAGAGTTTGGTCAATTTATCTTTAGAGGTTTCATCTAAATAATAATCAACTATTATAAAAACATTGACTTTTGGCCCTGGAGCTTTGTCTTCCAACAGGGTTTTGAGTTCCTCAAAGAGTTCATCAAGATTACAACAATAAAACAGTTTTTTAATTGCTGAAATAGTTTCATCAACGATATTTTATTTTTTGTCCTTTAATTTAGTCAAAACAGGAAGCATGATTATTTTAGCATATTAGTTAAAGTTCTTTCTCAATCCATTAGCCATACATCCAATTATCTTTATACATTAGGTACTTATAATCATTTATTATTCATTCAACAATTTCTTTAATAATTATACGACTGAATATATATTTGGAGATGGCAGGATTTTGGGAACAGAACATGACTTCTATAGAGTGTCTAACTACTCCTTCTTCTCTTACCATTTTTCCAATTAAAATACTTTTTCACACCAAGAATCCGTATATTTTGAAAATACTTCAACCGCTTCAACTAAATCATACAATTCTTAATTGTTTGTATCAGCTTCCCCCTCTTGATTTGGAGCCTTCTATACTTCAGTGATAGTCTCTGCCAATTTTTTCAAATCTTATTGCAGTTTCTCATTTAAACCTCCAAAAAAGGCTTCAATATTTTTTCCATACCATTTCGTTACTTCCTTGTAAAATGCAACCGCATCTGCTTTTACTGTGCTTTATTGAGCCTCAGTTAATTTGGACATAACAGGAAAAAATGGCTTCAAGTTTTCCAACTTTTTAAGGCCAAATTATTGAAGCAACTCTGTTAATAGGGCAATTGTAGCTTAAACAACTTTTGGGTTTTTATGCATCAATTATTAGATTATGATTTCAAAAATAGCAGATTTGCAAGTAGGAAAAAGTTGGTTTGCCACAGAATAGCCAAGTGGCTTTAATTTTTATTGAGTTAACACTTTCTCTAATAAAACTTTAATAATTTCTTTTTATTATGAAGACTCAATTGAGTTATGATTTTCAAAATATTTTTATGCTATCTAAAGCGCTTTCTCTTAGCATTAAATATGTATATCTTATATAATAGAGAGGACACATTCACAATCCACTTCTTCGTCATTCACTAATTCTTCATAAGCTTAAAGCCTTACTTTCCAAACTTTAGATTTAATTCGTTACTTTAATGGTAAATCTACTTTCTCTGATTATTGAGGATCAAAATCTAATGTATTAATAACTAAAATACCTGGTGGAAACTCCTCTAACATAAAATTCTTTTTTGATTACCCAACCGGCAATTCATCTATTTACATTTTGAATTTATTTTATATAAATTTTTTAATACCCGAACAAATTATTGTTAAATTTTTCATTATAAAATTTATTAGAGTAAATTATTTGTCAATCTATTTTATGGAAATGGAAACCCTAAAAAACACCTTCTTGTACTAATATTGGCATAGCAATAATCGAATTCTATTTGAAGGCCGTCTCATGATTGGCCCTAAAACAGACATACTAGTAAATAATCATTCAAATATCATTAGGCTAATTTGTTTGTCTGGGGATTGGTCCTAGTATTTCCAATCCCCTTCTACTTGTCCACCTGGGATAAGACTTGGGATATCTCTCCAGCTATTCCTTTCTTGACGATATTCCTGTAATTGACCACTATTATATTCCTACTCCTCACATCCACTACAGAACCAGGCATTATTCCTAAGAAATAACTGCAGTTAGTAGCAGGAACCAATTTTTTCTTGGATCAATTTCCAGATTCCAGATTTTGTGAAACATGCGAGATTTACAAACCTCTCAGAGCCTCCCATTGTAGGTAATTACAATTTTTGTAATCTAGTGATTGTAACAATTGCGTATTAGTCTTTGACCATCACTGTCCATTTGTGAATAATTGCATCGGGAAAAGAAATTATAGGTACATATAGAAAATATGCAAAGATATTTCTTTAGCTTCCTAATATCAATATTTGCATTTGGATTGGCAGTCACAATTTCAGCTTTGTTATGTCTTTCGACGGTGAGCGATTATGAGGATCAAAAGACATTAGTTATTTTATTTTTAGTTCCTGTTATCATTGCCTCCTTGGTCGTGTTGATATTTTTTTTGTTTCACGTATTCTTGAGGATTACGTATTTAATTAATTATATGTTTTAGGGGGAAAACCACAAGAGAAAAATTGAAATAAATATCCAAAACTGGAGACGAAGATTTTGATTGGTTAAACTTGAACGAAAGTTTGTTTTCATTGAGACTTTTAATTTGATTAATATTTTTATTATATATCTAACTGTTAATTACATGAATGATTCTATGGGATCTCTGTCAACTAATGATTCCTAGGAGGGACAAGAGAGAAAAAAAAAGAAAAGCAATGTGATACTCAAAAAGACAGTCCGACCAATAAATATTAGTTATAATGAAGTTGTTCAATTGCTTAATCCATAAAATTTGTTTATTAACAAAAATTTAGAAGAATAATTCAATGTCATTCAAATGTATCAATAAATCTTATTTCAATAGAGTACATGAAACTTCATATTTTCCTTACTTTAAATTTATTTTTGATGAAAATTTAGTATTTTCAGAAAGAAAATGGGATCGTTTACCCACAATGATCAGATTAACGTCATGATTATTGCTATATTATTTAGTTAGAAATTATTATATTATTTAATACTAAAATTAGCTATTCGCTATGTACTATTAAAGTAAAAGATCAATTATCTCAGAATTACCATCTAGATGTCAATCAAAATTTTATATGCTTTATTAACAAAAATGGGAGAATTTCTTAAATTATCCTTATCTTAAATGTGTTCTTAATAGTATTATTATTAAACCAAATAAATTTTATATAAATGTTATAAAATTTGTTTGATTAATCAAAACCTTTTCCAAAAGTTTTATAATAAAGCTAATCTAACTCTTAAATGGAAATATTAGAAATGTTATTATAATTCTTCTTTATTCAGAATTATAGTTTATATAGTGTAATGTTGATGAAATCAAAGTGCAGTCTGCTAATTTCAAACTAAGTTTGTTTGTCAAAATTGATGATTTGTTTTTGCAAAATAATTCACTTTATGTAATAGAAACAGAGTCATAAATTATTATAATTTTGAAATAAATGGATTATGAATATGGATTTGGTTAATTTTATAACCAGGATTTTGAATTAGCAATATATAAAAAAACAATAGATCAGGATTATAGGAAGATTTCACACAAGTTTGGAAACACTAGCAGATTATCCCCTAACAAACTAGAAATTTATAATTAACATCATCTTTATAACAAATTGTTTAAGAATGAAAAGTAGAGGAAAAGCATATAAGTTAAAGCATAGACTATCAATCCGATGACTGCTAAACACTTTCTCGACAATAAAGGAAGATTTATCAATTAGACACAAAATAAAGTCTACGATGTAATCAAAGGAAAATATTACATCATGTAACTTGGGCAGATCCCACTTACTTATAGATCGAAAACTCCTACTTATTAGTCTTAAAGCGGATAATACACTTAAACCTCATTTTATTAAGGATCGAAAACTCACAGGAAGAGATCAACAACTCCTTCATCTTAAAGGTAAACTACTTGTGATGAAATTTTTAAGGCTTGTTAGATTTAACTGAAAGAATAAATGGAATTAAAAGAGACTGTTAATAGAATGCGAACTTGGAGTGCGAATCGATACGATAATAATTTTAAAAGACCTTAAAGTTGCTATTAGCATCGAAATCATGAACCAAGACAGAATTAATATATGAACTAATTTACTGAGAATATTTTTAAGCTTTCAAGTTCCTTTAAAGACTGAATCAATTTTTGTTTACTATGAAAATAGAATTTTTAATACATGAATTTATTAAACCACATAATTTTCGCTAGCATTTGATGTTGACAATTAAAACCATTCTGCCATATATTTATTGTAATCTAAATTTTCACTCCAATCAATGAGATTCTAGACTTCTTTATCAAATTCATCCTAATTATATGAATATTATTCATACATCATCCATTTCTAAATATTATTTAGTTTAAGTAAAGAAGTCCTATGGTTATTACTCCTGTTTCAATTATTGGGTTCCCTCCTTTTATTTTTAAATGCTTTAAGCCCATTTCAATTTATTAAGTCTAGTCTTCTTATTAACCTTTTCCTCTCTCTTGTCTTTTTTATGATGATAATATCTAATCTTATTGGCTGTGTATAATTCAACGAAGTCTGCTTTAATCATTTATTTGTTAGAGATCTATGGTTATTGAAATATATTTAAACTGGTCTCCAGCCATTGTTATCCAATCTTAGATACCATCCTTGATTATCATATTTTTATTGATTTTTTTTATATTCTGAGTAGGCAACTTTTTCATGAGGAATGGGATCTCTTTGGAGTGATGAGTAATCTCTTGGAGCAAAGGCGTTTAGATCTACAATTCCACCATGGCTATAGATTTTATAATATATGATAGGAGGGAATTGCTAGTATAGTATGAGAGGATGATGTACTTCTCCACCAAGTCGAAATCTGATGTGTGATTTACAAGCTGCATCTAATAATTGAGCCTCGTTGGGGTTGATGGCTTTTAATAATCTAGCAGGGTTTCCTCTATTATTAGCAGTTATTCAGTACTTGCATTTAAATAATATAATATCCTTGTAATATTGGAATATTTTTCGATTGGTAAATGCTCTCCAAGCTCTAAGATAAAAAAAAGGAGTTCTACTTCTATATTTTTCTAGCCTATTAATCTTCCATTATAAATAATAATTATATAAAATATTTAACATTCCGTTAATGTCTTCAAAAATCACTATCTATGGTATCATTAATCATGAAGATTCTGATCTTTTCGAAAGTGCAGGATCATTAACGTTGAGAACACCTAGGAATGTACCTAATTTCAATGAAACAACCTCATTAAGCATTCCAGGTTACGTCAAATAAATTTGTGCAGGTCAATCTCACATATTAGCCTTAACTTAAGATGGAAACGTATATAGTTATGGATCAAATTAATTTGGTTAAAGAGGCTCAACAGGACCAGGATTTCAATTAGTGATGAAGAATGTCCTTTAGATTGCAGCAGGTTTATATCATTCTGTTGCAGCAACACGAGATAATAAAGTATATGTTTGGGGCCGAGGATCAGAAGGATAATTAGGATTGGGAGACACAGAGAACGTTGAAAAGCCCACAGAACTCAACATTTAAGGGCAGGAGGTTTGTTGTGGTAGTTTTCACACTCTAGTAAGAAATGGAGAAACATGTTATGTGATGGGAGAAAATCAGAATGGATAATTGGGAGTCTTAGGATAACACACAAGTCCTGTGAAATTGAGTATACCTGTTGAATAAATGGCTGCGGGTTTGGATCATTCTTTGTTTTTATATAAAGGACAAGTAAAATTGAGTTTCAATATTTAGGTTTTTGTTACAGGAAACAACTTATTTGGCTAATGCGGGGTATCAGAATAAGTAGTAAGAGAGCCTATTAAATTATCGTTAAATTTTGAAGTACAATAAGTGATTGCCTCTATGGGAACATTTAGTTGTGTAATAAGCAAATAAGGGAAAGTCTATTTTTGGGGAACTGGAAGTTGGGGTTATGCCAGGAAGTGTACTCCATTAGAAGAGTTATGTAAATTAGATGAAGGGTAGAGAGTGTCATAAGTAATTTCTGGAGAAAATTTTGCAATGCTCAAATGTTTAGATGGATGGTATGTTTTTGGGATGAATAAAATGCCTGAAAATTATTCACAATAATAAACACACAGGATCTCAATAAACAAAGTCAATTTAGTTGATGGCTAAATCAGTGCAGGTCTTAACATTGTTTTTGTCTATTCCCATACTCAAGAAGTGCAAAAACAAACTTAATAAATATGGTCTGTTGATTAAGGATCCTATGTGTCTTAATCATCAGAACAAGAGTATAAATAGAGATCAAGTTATAAATAAAATAATGAAATAAGGTAATCCTATTAGATGGCACAATCTGTTGCCTATTAACCATCAAGTGCAATGAAGAGTTCATTTGTTCAACCTTCAGCTTTGAGATAATCTCAATAAGTTACTAATGTCTCTTAGTTTTCTAATTAAGTTAGTTCCTCCTTATAGTTCTAAAATGAGTATTAATCAAATAAAATTGAATCTAAATAAGGGAAGGATTACAAACTTAGTGATTTACTTTATCGATCTGATAACAAGTAGGAATTTAGATAGGACCTTAAATTAGATCTTAGATAATCAGAATAGAAAGTCAGAACAGAATCTAGAACTCCTGATAATAGAAATGATCAAAAATATAATGATAGAAAATCTGATCACAAGGCACCTCCTAAAGAGGATGAACTAAAACATGAACTAAAATAAGAATTACTTAAATTAGAAAAGAGATAAGAGCAATTCAAACAAGAAATCATTAGCCAATAATAATAATTGGATAGAAAAAATGAAAATTTGAAGGAAATAACATTTGGTCTTAAGTCTGATGTTAAACCCCTGTAAGAAAGAAATATTGCATAATAATAACCTTAGAAATGTTATGATTGTTAACATTTTGTATAAAAAAATGATTACTATTAAAAGCATATTAAATTTTAGGAAGAGGAAATAACTAACCTTAAAAAGGAATTAGAAATTTTGAAAAATCAAATAAAATAAAAAGATAATTATGTAAATGAATTAGAAAATAGAATTTTAAAATACTAAGAAACTAGTTTTAAATAAGTTGGCTTACAATAATAATAATAATAATAATAATAATAATAATAATAATAATAATAATAATAACCAATAATTTATAAACCTACTATGGAAGTTAGATTAAAAAGTGAGGAAAAATAACCAGTTACTAGAGATGAATAATAAATAAATTACTAAAAAATTATAGATTACTCACCCAAAATTTATAGATAACCTATCATTGATTAATCACCAAAAGAAAGAAACTTTAATACAAGTATCATTGATAAAATTTAAACATATTAATAATCTGCAAAAGCAGCAAGGCCAGTTCACTAAAATCTAATGAATAGATATTCAGCTCACGAGGTTCAGCCATAATAAATATATTAACCAAATACCTATGTTATACCCCAATACTTCAAGGCCAGAAATTGAGAATGAAATTTGTTATATACTTTAAAATATAAAAAATATTATTCTTTTAATATACAATAACTAAAGATATAGGATTGTATATACTTTTGATAAAGTTTCCTTAATATTTCATTCTAGATTTTATATAAAATAAAATAATTTATAATATTAATGTATAAATTTATATAATCATTAGTTAAGCAGAGAAAATGAAAAATGAGTTAGGTTGTTTTTTTATTTAGTTTTAATTTATGTATTACAACCAAAATGATATAACAAATATTTGATTATGATTAAGGTGGTTGCTGTTAATGGATCTTAACAATTCAATTTCTTATCTAAATGTATTAGATTTTGTTGAAGATGGGAATAGTTTAGTGAGATGTCTTCATTATTAACAAAAAATAATGGCTTGCTAAAATAAACTCTAATCTAAGGAATAATCTATTTAGTAGATTACATCAAAGTAAAATGAATGGATTCAATATTATTTTCATTAACTTTAGATGATATCTTTATGAATCCTTCCTTTTTTTTGTCTCTAAATTATAGTAAAGAAATAAAGATAATTAATACTGAGTTTAGATCTATGCTTAGATATTATGTTTTTAATTTGTTAATAATCTCCAATTGATACTAGAAGACAGATTTTAACAATTTAATAACCTGGTCTGAACTGTATCTCTTGATATGAATTCCATTTAATAAATTAGGAGTCTATAGAATGTTAAGACATACAAAGTAATTCATACATCGCAACTAAGAAAATCTGTCATTCTTCTCTTTAAAGTAAACGCTTATACAACGTTTGGCCAAAGAAGTAATGAGTCTGTTTTTTAGATTCAACTCTAGTTTATCATGATTTTATTAATTATTATTTAAGCATTCAGCAGCCATGATGACCATTTATTGTTCATCAGTCCAATAGGTCACTAATTAAACTTTGAATTAATATTCTAATATGTTAGATTGGCAAATTAGTGAATTTATTAACTTATCTTAGATCCCTTTTTTGCTTATTTCGAATGCAGAACCAGCCGATGAATTACCTTGTAGCATCATTCGAATATGTTTTTCAAGTGAGCACTTATTGTCTTCGCCAGAGAGCTTCGATCCTCTAGAATATGTTAACTAAATAAATTATAATAATTAATAATACATTTCTGAGAACAGTTCTTAAATCATTATCATTATTAACTTACAATATTTCCTTGGTAATATTATTCATCTAGTGAATTCTTAATTAGTCTTGTTGTTTGTCCAATTTGATTACTATAATAGATTGTTATAAGACAGTGTCGATTATCTAAAATTCTAAATTAAATTACTGCAAACCATTTTTTCCTCTCTCTGTTATGTAGAAATTGTAGTCTTTTGCCATTCTCTATGGTATATTTGATCGCGATCATTCCAACAATAATGCATATAAAATTTAATAATAAACCAATGTAGACTTCAGAGGAATTATATGACCATAAAATGTATACTAACAACAGGCCTATTACTAGAAAGGTTTGTGATAATATTAAATATCCTTGAATAAATATAGCTATGTAAAAATGACAAAAATACCGATGTGAAAGTAGCAAGCACAAAAGCCATAATACCAATCATAACTTGAATTAAAGGGGTTATATGAATTGGTTTCCCTAAAAGCATAGTCAACACTTTGACCCAAAAACAAAATTAATTATAAAATAGGTAAAACTATGTTTATAACACTTGGGTATTTATCTATTAAAAACTTCGAGAAGATTAGAAAAATGATAACAAATGAGCAACTAAGCAATATGACTAAAAAATAAGGCTGACTCTTCAAATAATAAATTGATTAAAATATCATGTATAACTATTATTTTCAATATAAAATTACACATGTTTGTAAAGTGAATGCGGTATACTACTTTTTCACAACTGGTATTTGACTTTCTCTGTACTCTAATTCTAGATTGACCGATTAGAAGGTTAAAGAGTATTTATTAAACATTTAATTATTTACTCTCTTTCAATAATTGGAAAATTAAAAAATGATTTTACAAAAGGTTATTAATAGCAAAAATCAAAGATATTATGTATTTCAGAACAGAAAACGACCTAGAATTACCTCCAGTTGTCAATAGGCAGAATTAAATAAAAAAAATCTTTTATTAATTAATTCTTTTTTTAATGTAACTAGGGTTTTTATTACACAAAATATAAAAGCGTAGTTTTTTGAAGAAATTAATTATAATTATAAATTTATTTATGTACATCAAATCTACCTAATCAATTAAAAATAGCTAAATTCCTGAAGCCATTAATAAGCCATAACTTACGGTTCCTCTTGATTTATTTATTTATTTATTTAATTAATAATTTAACTGAATTGAATAAACATAAAAATATTCAGATTAATCTTAAGATTTAGTTTCAACATTATAATTGGTCTCAAAAACAGAAAATCAACACCGGCTTAGAATTAATTATTGATATGAAACAATCTTATCAAAAATATGAATTAAGAATAGCATAATAATTAGCACATATTTTTATAGAATAATCAGATATTATTTTATCATTCTAAAATGATTACCAATAGATTTAATAAAATATGTAAGTATGTTGAATTAACTGCTTGAGGGTGTTCAGTTTCATCTGGTTTAGCATCTGGATTATCTTAAGGCTCATCTTCAATAACAACAGGATATGAAACACATTAGGTCTCATTCCAAGCACATTATCCAAAATGACAATACTCCTTTGTCAATAAGGTGCAACCAGCATATTCAAATTGGATGCACTATAACTTTTTGTTGGCCAATTTCAATAGAGTACCTAATATTCGATGAGTTATTTACATGGGCCGTAAAAGCAATTATCTGCTCCGTACAATAGACTACAATCACTAGTACCATCTATGGATTTGCATATTTTTGAATTTGAATTATAAAAGCAATGGTTTGGATCTGAATTGCAAGTTTGGCTATCTCCATTGTTAGTTTCACAAATATCTAATGGAATGCATTTATCATTTTGTAGTTAACATTTGCTTGAATACATGCAATTTTTTGTTTCTAGTTTTAAACAAGTCACATTTTCAATGCTTACGCAATATCCATCTTACCAAGAGCAAATGGCTTTCTTACAAGAATCTTCTCTCAATATATCTTTGCAAGCAGTTTAGCTTGTAACTCTTCTACATATTTATTGATCAGAATCGAAATAACATGATTAGGTTGCATCTTATTCGCACTCTGATTTTGATGCATTGTCTTTGCATTATTTTCTTGTTTGACATTTATTTTAGACAATGAAACACTTTTGATTAAGTTTGCAAAAATCTTTATTTAGATCTTCACAACTAAAATCAAAGATAGCCAAACATAAGCTTCTGGTCTCTGACCATTAGCACATATTATCTTTGATTATTTTTTGATTACTACAAGCATTTTGACCTAGAAATTCACAATTTGTATTTGTTTTGATGGTAGAACATTGATTCATAACTTCATCAAAGTAGCAATCCAAAGTATCACAACTATCAGCTGTTTTACCATCACAATTTTAAGTTGAATATTTCCAATTGCATATTTATAAATTGTCATCCCAATCGCAATCAATATTGTCTTTACAATTTGAGTGTGCAAATTTCTAACAATAAAAATCTTGAAGAATTTCTTCGCAAATTTAAGTGTCTTCATTGAATTTACAATTTTTAAATTGACTACACCTCTTTTTGCCAATCTACTTACATTGAATATGTTTTGTCAATTGTTTACATGATTATTCATACTCATCGAAATAGCAAAAAAATGTGGATTCATCGCATTTAATTTTCGCTTTGTAATCAGAACAACTTAAATAAGACATACATTTGGTGTCCTCAAGGTAACAATTTTCATTATTTAAGCATCTGTTTTAATCAAGTGCAGTGCAAGAAACAACTGCATCATTAAACATTTAACATTTTTGATCAATCCAAATGCATGGTGCAGTTCCACTGTTGCATTTTTCTACTTATCTAATTAACTCACAAGCTGTTTTTGCACTTATCTTCTTGCATTTACCTTCCTATTCATCATAGTAACAATTCAAATCGGAAATCCCACATTCAAAATGAGCATTATTATAATTTATAATCTAAATGAACTCACATCTTGCTTTCAATGTACACTTTGTGAAATTATACTCTTCTTTGTCTTTTTCACTCTTTATTACACCAACTATTAATCCAAATTCATATAACCATGATCCAACATTCCTTCCATCCTATTAGTTACTGTCCACCTCATTCATTAAAGTGTAATTCTAATTCAAATAGAGCACTTGAGTTTGATTTACTAATTCACACTAGTAATTCCATTAGCATAATGCTTTTGGATAACTCTAACAAGGAGCCTAATGCCATTCCTTTGATATAGAATAGTATTATACATAGCATCGTTCTTCGATTGGATCCCATAAACAACTTCCCAGTTTACATGATTACTCAGTGTTTAATTATTCACAAACTGTGAAAAAATTCAAGTTCTCCAATATTATAAATTAATACCATGCATCTATCATTTACTTTATCAATTACCACGCCTGATTCCTTATTTTCAGCTGACAAATATGGCACATTGGCTTCAAGTACGTAACCTAAAGGAATTGCTGTGCATAAGTACAAAAGTTTGATGCTTTCTAACATTGAGTAATGTCACTTATAGTGGAGCAATTGAAATTCAGATTCTCACTACTAAACACAATGGAACATAGTGCAAATAATAATAGATTATTAATCTTCATCACTTCCTATATTAAAAAATTATATATGAAAAATTAATCAGCCTTATTATTTTAAATAGGTTGTTCTGGGCGTCCTCTACTTCCTTAAATTCTGAAAGTCTTCTAATTAATTAGAATACCTTATTGTGTTAGTAGAGGGAGCAAAGTACTCGTTATAGGGACTAACGCTATCAGGAAGTTTAATAAGTTTTTCGCTTCTTTGATTTAAATAAAGTTCTGGCATTTCATCATTCTTTTACGATTTGAGCTTTAATCAAGATATTAAATACTTATATACTTTACAAAGGTTGTGATTGTTCCGATATCGTATCTGCTCTGCCTAATCTCTTTGGTTGCTTATGGTTCGGAGTAAGATCTGCAATAAAGTTCTTGGAAAACTTACGAGTCACTGCCTATCTCAAAGAAACAACAGGCACAATTTTTATATCTTATTGTATTTACTCATGCAAAGGTAACAGTACTTGATATTAAAGATAAGTCATCCAGAATCCAAAAAAAGATATAAATATAATTCCTATTGATATAGCTTTTAATATGTCTCTCCTTTTTTAACTAAAATATAACTATGTATCATTCAATTCAATTAAAACAACACCGAAAAAACACATTAATAGTATGATCACTCCTAATACGAGATCAAATAAAGAAGTCAAAATGTTTAAAACAACCATAAATCGTCCTATTTTTATAACTGAATGTCGAAAAAAAAAAATTATTTCTGCTATCAGTCCCAAGATTAGAATACTGCCTATATTCTCATAAAGTAAATACCTAAACTTAATAAGGTAATTGTAATGGGCAATGAGAAATGAAACAGTTCAATTAAGTTCAAAATCCCTGAACCTCCCATTATCATTAAAGTAAGTCCTTAAATCCCATTAGTTATCATCATTAAGTAAAAGTAATGTTTAAAAGTAAAGAAAATGCAGCAATAACATATACCCACACTTTAATCCTTAAAATCCATTGCAGTATTGATTTATTTATTATCAAATTAATTGCAAAATACTACGTAATTCTAAACTCTATTACGAGTACTGACCCATGTATACAGTATTATAGCT